CCAACCAAGCGTAGAAACATAATAATTTAAACCAAAGATAATAACGTTCAGAAAGCAACTTGGAACTTGAAAAACCTTTATTCATGCAAGTTAATTTAACAATTACCCTCTCATACACAGTTGGCTTATCCTCACTAAAGTGAGTAATATCTTTCGTCATTTCAAACGGGCTGGTACTAGCTTAGTCATAGCATAAGACACGTGAGTTCATGGACGCCCCTTTCATTGTGGATGACAACACCAACGACGACTGAGCAATACAATTTGATGAACCTAGCGGTGAATCAGAAGCTGTTGTTGTTCGGCTTTTAGAAGGTTTTCTAACTGCGAGATTAACATCACTGCTGTCTTTTGTTATTAGCCAAACTTTAGCATTAACATCTGCCGATAGGTGGGCTACACGCCGATCATTTACACTGACGGTCTCATGAGTATCCATACCTTCTACAGCCGCATCTGCCTTTAATTCTACTTCACGTTCAAGTTGTATAGAACCTTTGTTCAACTCAGTAGAAGCAGGTATTCCACTCGTCCCATCATGATCAACCAAAAACAAATCTTCACTATCATGACCATCGTCACAAATATCCACTTTACCGCCGTTCGTATGATCGACTTCATCATTTGCAAACTTTATTGACAGTAGTAGACAATTTGGGTTCCTCCTCACAAATAATTGCAGGTTCTATACCTTTACTCTGACTAGTAATACCTTGAAAACCTGTGGAGTCAGAACTGCACTCTGAAACTGTAACTCTCTTCTCCTGCGCAAACCGTGGTGTCGTCTGTGACACTCTATTGAACAATGGCTTACCAGTTGCAACTACAGGCTTCTTCACTGAACCATTACCGTAACACAATTCGTAGTCGGAACTTGATGACGCTGATTTCACATTTAGCTTACTACTAAACTTGCTCACTGATTGACAGTTCACCTGTGTATGCACTTCTTTCAAACGTGTAAAACACAATCGTGTTTGTCTCGCAACTTGTTACCTATCTTTTGAGGATGTCCCACAAAAGCTGTTACACTCACTAAGTTTGTATGGATTACTAGACACCATAAAGCTTTCTCAATATCCACTTCTCTGAGACCCTTTCGTCATCAACGATTGCATTTTTCCCTCAGACTGCTCTATTCTGGGGTTGGGATGCAATATACTGGCAAACTTGCTCATAGATTGATCAACACTATATTTTACCAGTTTCAGAATATCATCGAACTTTGGCCCAATACCTTCATCCTCTACACGAGAGCTTCCTTTGCAGTCGAGTAGGTAGGCGTCTCGCTATTACCTCTAGGACGGAACTTGAGTTCGGATCACTCACGCAATTCATCGAAATCAAAGTAATCTTGTAAGTCATCAGATTATCCAAAAACTCAGACAGTGCTCTGGAATCATCTTGTAATTGACCACCATTACCTTTAACAGCCTCGAATACGTTCCTTACAATCGTCGAAGGTTTTCCGAATCTTCGACGCAGGATACGCATCGCCTCAGTATATCCTTCGTTTGGGGGCATGAACCTACAGCACTGTATAGCTCTTGAAGAACCCCAGTGCAGTACCTCAACAAATACATTGACTTCATTTCGTCATTTAATACAAAACCACACAACATGACTTCAAACTCCTTTACAAACTAAGGTTAGTCAGCTGGGTTTCCGTCGAAACACCGAGGTTCAAATTTAGGCCTATTATCGCTTGGCTGCGAAACATGAACAACAGAGTCATCATGCTGAGCATCATACATATCATTACATATAACAGACATGACTTACTTACCTGATCTATTCCATGACGCTCTGTCCCTTCCTTCACCCAGGCATTATTGAACTTGACCAAAAGATCCAGAAATGTTCCAGATAACGCTTTTTCGAAGAAGACTTGCAGACACCAGGAAAGACGAATGGAAACTATCCAAATACTGTCAGAAACTGTCAGTCAAGTCTCATAGACTTTCAATATCCAGCTTTTGCTACGCTGAACCTCACACTGTCCATTGAAGCCTTTCAGAAACGCTTTGCATTAACCAACGCGAAAACCAGAACACTGATTGGCGACTCAAGAATCCTTTATTCTTACGCCAACATGCAACCAACAATAATGTTATTACAATGAATTTCTGATGGTTTTTATTCTTCCTCTGAACAGCAAACGATGAGACGATGACTGACGGATTGGTGACTCCCGCGAAAAATATGGAGGAGTTGGGTTTGAGCAAAAACCCATGAATTGATCGTTCAATCTTCAACTACAGTGACAACATACTCTGTCAAATTTTGGTTTGAAACGCTTGACTGCAGCTTTTTCAGTACAAAGTATAAGTTCTCTGCTCCATGTCACCCTTGCACTAACGTCCCACTCGCCAATTCCATTTTAGGTTCCAATCGAGCAATGGCCTAACGCACGCACGATGTCACTCAGTGGCCAATCCATCTCCACTTTCTCCTGCATATTTGTTGGTTGGCGATTGGTTCTTGTTTTGTTTGTTCCCATAGTTTCTTGTTGGTGATTTATTCCGACCCGGCCATCTGATCTTCAGTATAGATCCAGCGAAGACATCTGTTGATAAATGTCTGCAACAGGCTGTTGGAAATATTGTTTGTGACCCGCCCGCCCGCCAAGTTTCTGATCCGTATAGATGAACTGACTGACTTGACGTTTGTATTGAAAATCCGAATTTTGTTGGTGATGCTGAGTGACGAAGATTTCCAGATTGATTTCAGGTTGATGAATGTGTTTCTCGCCTTCCCGATTCTCTCTCGATTTGACATCCTCGTCCGCTCCTCCTGTAGTTGAGACAATGCTCCCTAGATGATAAGTGAATGAAGTAACCCCTTTCAAATCCCTCCCATTGATGGTGATTGGCGCTGGGTGTTGCTGCTGTTGTTGTTGGCTGGTTACTTTCATAACCTCTGTCTTGTCTATGTTCACCTGGAATCCTGTCTTCGCTGGCTGCTTCTTCGACTAGTTTGTTGGTTTTCGCCTGTAAGTCTTCGATTTTGTGTGACATCAAACATAAATCATCCACGCGCGAAATCCAGGTCTTCTAGGTTCTTCACGTCGGTCGGTCCAGGATATCCCTGTCTTCTCGTTTCCCACTAACAGTCTGACGCTTAATCCAGTCCACCACAATTAGGAATATCATTGGTGATAGTAAGCACCCTTGTCTGAATCCTGTGTTCACTCCAAATGCCTGGCTGAGTTTTCCGCTGTGGATGACTTGACATGCGCCGTTGTCGTACAGCTGTTGAATAAGGTTGATAAATATTTCGGGTACGCCGTAGTACGCGGGAAGTTTCCAAATTACTTTACGGTCAACGCTGTCGAAGGCCTTCTCGAAGTCTATAAAGTTGAGGTAGAGGTTTGATTGCCATTCCATGCTTTGTTCGATGATGATGCGTAGAGTTGCAATTTGGTCAGTACATGATTTGCCTGACTTTCCTGAATCCAGCTTGTTCTGGTCGGAGTTCTGTCTCCGGTGCGTCCTTTAATCTCTCCAGGATGATGCGATTCAGGATTTTACTTGGCGTCGATAGGAGCATGATTCCTTGCCAGTTCTTGCAGAGTGGGGCGTAAGTCGCCCTTCTTTGGTAGTTTCACGAGGTAACCTCTCCTCCAGTCAGCAAGCATCTTTCCCTCCTTCCAGACGTTTTGCAATAATGGAGTAAGCATATCTGCTGTAGTCTGGGTCCGCTTTCACTGCTTCAGGGTGGGGGGTATTCCATCTGGTCCAGCTTCTATTCCAGCTTTCAGAAGCTTGATTGCATTCAAGACTTCAGCTTTGTTTGGAGGATTTGTGTCGACTTTCAGTTGTGTATGAGATGTTGTTGGTATTTATGGACGGGTTGCAGGTGGTGGTTGGTTCAAGAGTCCTTTGAAGTGATCCGCCCATTGTTTAATCTGTTTTTCTTCCTTGGTAATTGGGTTCCCTTGGCTGTCTTTTATAGGTTTCACTTGTGTTGATCTCTTCTCGGATAGAGACTTGGTTATCTGATATAGTGTCCTCAGGTCTCTTTTACCTGCTTCCTTCTCAGCTTCAGTGGCCAGGTCGTCGTAGATTCGTCTTTTGTCCTTCCTAGCACTCTTCTTCACTTCTTTGTCCAGGGTTGTGTAAGTTGAGCTCAGCGTCTCCTTCTCCTGTCCGTCTTTGCATTGAATCATTTCCTCTTTCACTATTCTCTTCTTTTCTATTTGCTTTCAAGTGTCCGTTGAGAGCCATTTCTTGTCTTGTCTCTTCTTTCTTCCTAGAACCGTTGAACACGTTTCGTTGAAAATCATCTTCAGAGAGTTCCAGTGATCTTCCACACATGATTCTTCCGTGATGTCACGTAGTATTTCCTGTTTTGCTCTGACAGTTGCAGTGAAAGTCTCTTTTGTGGTTGTGTCCTTCAGTTTTTGAGTGTTGAACTTGCACTGTGACCTATCCACAGCTATCATCAAGGCTTTAATCTTCACCTTGAATATCCCTTGTACCAGATAGTGGTCTGAAGCCACATCTGCTCCTCTCCTTGACCTTGTGTCCAGTAGGCTCCATCTCCACTTCCTTGAGAATGAGATGAAGTCTATTTGGTTCTTGGTGTTTTCATCTGGTGATATCCATGTCGCTTTATGTATATCCTTTTGTTTGAACATAGTGCCAACAATCAACAAATCATTGTGGATATCTACATCACTTTAGACACAAGCTTCCTGAGATATGCTTAGAAACACTGACAAAAGCCCTCTTTTCTATACTTCGAATGCTCCTGCAAGTTCATGCAACTTTGCGAACTCGGTTGGATGTGACATCAGTTTAGATTGGCTTACGGAGCACGTAGTGCTGCATAGTGTTACGAACTTAGGTTCAAGGGGGCAGCTTCTTATTATGCTTTCTATTCTCCGGTCAGTATTTTGTGATACTGATTGTATTATCATGCCAACACCTTTCTTAACAAGATTCCTAGTTTTTTCAGCCATAGGACACACTAATTGTTTAAGTAAGCTAAACGAAATGCATAACATTCGTCCGAAACTTTCACACTTACAATTTTTCCAATTTCACTCATGTGAAGTGGTTGGTTTATGATTGCGTTTAAGTCTCTGTGTTATGTTTTCGGTAGAAGTTTCTTCGATTTCCAAAAGTTTCTCACTGTGTTTAGTCGTTATGAGCATCCATTGTCTCTTCATCTAATCCAAGCTTACAATAATTCTAAACTAATGATAAACAATAATCTAATAATACCTTTTTATTGTGAATAAATATTTTATTTAACTGAAATAAACCCAGTTTGAACTAAAATAACGTTTATGGCTTTTATAAAGAGTAATGAACGCTCAATAACTGTGACAAAACAATATTGTTTTGTTTTTATATAAAAGCAAGATTTGCAGCTGTGATAGTAACCTTGGTGCCAAAATAAGGCTTACAGATAGCCACCATGCGCTTAATTAAGTCTTTTTGTTTTGAAGTAATGCCATTCGTTTCTGAATCTGGGCTGACGGGGTTGAAACTACGCTGATTAGCGAACCTAGTAGGTTCTGAGCTGCTTCTGAAAGTGCCTAGAAAAAGCACCGAGTGCCGAATTGGTGATACTCATAATGAAAACCAACACTGAGTTCTAGTTTGCGCGCATAATCAAACAATTTCAGAACGATTTCAGGATTCACTGAATATCATATTTTAGACTTAGTTCTGAATTAGCGAGATTTAATTCATCATTATAGTAAGCGTAGGAGTTCCGAGGATGTGTATTCATACACATAAGTATATCTGTATGTATATCTAACCCACTTCAAGTGGAATATCTACTGATTTCAGCCTCATAAATTGGTTATGTGGCCTCCTAGATGGCTGGTTTACTGAGAATTTCGAAATTAATGAGAATCTCTCTCAGATTGTTTCTAGTTGCCGGACACTTTCGGACTCTCATTTTACCATTTAACTTTTTGATATCTTTAACCTGACAAATAGTTTTTTTTGACCATGTAGTGTCCTCTCCTATTCCACTTTCATTTTTTTAGCAGTTGTGTTCAAATGACATAGAATCAGCTTTCAGCAACCAGAATGCAGTTATTTAACTGCATTTTAGTAAAAGCAATTTGGAGAAAATAATGGAACGAGAACATGTATGTTGATAAAGGTCTACCATTTCACCAACAATAATTTTGTAATGCAAATGGAACGCAATTTCGCCTTTGGCCTAGAATTGTATTTTAAAGCATGGTGAATAATTGTGGCCTACCGGGCACTGTTGCTCTGTATTAAAATTAAAATCTTCTACACTATAAGCATGAAGATGAGTATAAGAATTTCTTTCGTTCAAATTTTACTTGTAGCACGGAGGGCACTGAAATGAAAACTAAGTCAAGCATCAAATAATGTAACAAATTTCTTCCCTCTGACCTTTTTTGGTCCTCCCATATCTTGCTGATTTCCATGAAAGTGTTTCGTATGACCTTCTACATTAAGGAGTCAATACAGTCAGGTCTCACTGAATTCATAACTCCACAGCCTGTTAACTCTTCTTATTTACTGCACCCCGCGTAGTCTTTCCTGAGCTACTCAAAGAGTCTGCATCATATTGCGGAGATCATTAAAGGTTGTCGCTGGGGCGACTGGTGTGCCATTACGTCAGTTCATTATCACTTTAGTCGACAGACAACTGAAATCATGCGTCTAATTAGCTAAATCCATATTGTCTGACTTTAAGCACCTTCTTTATTTATAACCCGTCGTTTGCAATCCATCAGGTAGGACTATGAGTCACTATAAAATATTATATGCTGGCACAACTAAGTACAAACTCAGTGATGCCCTATCTGGCCCAGGTTCTGTGTGATATAGAAAGTGTTAGGCGTGAAATTGTGACAGCATTTCTACTATTCTATGATTCTGTTTGTCACCATCATTATTATCATTTTGTAATTTTGTATACTTTTGACTTTATTGTTACCATTGATGCCATAAAAGTTGGTATGAACAATTTTGTTTACTTATACCGTGTAATGTTGTTCGAGTGATTCATACGCAGTACTGCAACAAATGCCGAGAATTCCACGCTCTATCAAAAGTAATGTTTTTAGTGTAAAGTAAATTATTATTGTTACTATCCAAAATATGCACAAGCCATAAATATCCGAACCAAGTATGACAAATTTAGACATCGTTTGTGTGATACTCACTACTATAAAATTTTCTGTATTTCTCAGTGAATTAAAGGACAAAACGAATTTGTTTTTCTAAATTCTCACTACTCAATGCTAATGGCTTTACCAGTTCAAAGGCAAACCGCATTTCATTTTATCGCAGGCTAGATGTAGTAATTTCGTCATAGCTGTTCAACGTGAGGTAGCTCTCACACTGTCAAGTGAGTGAATTAATTAAGATAAAAACCATATGCAGATGGTTTTACATGGTTTGTCGAATTCGCCTATTCACATACTTGACAGCGTAAAATTTATCCCAGGCCGAAGAGCTTTGATTAAATTGCTGTGCCTATGCCGCGATTTTGTTGATCGTAGTTTACTGGTACTTCAATAGAGCTGGTAGCATTAATTGACAAAATTTCAGTAGAAACTATATTGCTTTGTTTTTCCTTATTTGTGGAATACAAGAACTGTTATGCTCAGAAATACAAGTAGGCTCTCTGTGATAGCAATTAAATCCCCAGAGACTTTTCAAACTTGATTTTTAAATTATTGTATTTGATTTTATTTAGCCATAGAAAAACCTATGGGCAATATATAATGAAAACAATTCTAACACAAATCTACTGGCCTTCTACTTCTAATTAATCTAGCGAAATCTTTAGAGAATCGAAGATGTTGTGTATGAGTATTTAGATATCTATATTTTGAAATATTTCTACAGATTCACATTGCGTCTTCTTATCAAGCCGATAAGCACCTGCAAAAATCCTAGATAATCAGTAAGGATTAACGAGACTCATATTTCAAGTTCAGACAACAATAATAACTGTGATTTGCATCGAATTGTGGATTAATGTATACGTTTTCAATAAACTTTCTTTACTCACTCTCCAGAAAATATTTCTCTTATCCTTACAGCAAAAAGGAGATCACCTGATAAGTTAGACAACTTCAGCAGTTCACCCATTTACTAGTAAGTGGGTGTTATTCAAGTGTGGGCACAACATATTCCAAAATGACTAAGGATTTGCGATTGTAGGTTGAAGTAATAATTGGCTGTACAAAAGTGTGCGGTAAAATTGGAAAAGAGTAAATAAATATTATTGCACTTTGCACTATTCAATGTGAGAAATGCTGCTTAGCTAAATATTTTGGTTGAATTCTACCACTGGGCTACAACTTCTTTAAACAGTGTTGTATTTTTCTTAGGTTATATAAATGGAAACCAACAGGTTTGAAGCTCTTTACTTCGTTATTACCATGCTACCTAGAAGGTTTAAATTGTTTTTGAGATTCAATACACAATTTTATGTTTGGATCTCAAATTTCTTCACAATAATATTAAAGTGCACATTTTTAAATTACCATGCAAGTGTAGAAACTTTATGTAACCGCAGTTATTTAACATATTTTCGTTGTCCACGTTGATTTTAACTTTGAGCGTCGGTGGCACAGTAGTTAGGACTCTCGCCGACCACGCACTTGGTCCGAGGTTCAATCCCCTGCCGACGCACACCTGATATCTATGGTTGGCCTGCAAAATTTAAACTACTGATATCCATGCTAAAAATTCCATACTTGTACCAAAAATACAGTGTGTAATCAAGCTGTAATCAAGAATAAAATAAAAATTTTGTTTTGAGTTTTCCAGTTATTCACGTAACATTATGTAATCTAAACATATGATTTCACAGGTATGATATAGTGTTCATTTTGTTGAAAATATTATATCAAGTAGTAATAAATTTTAAAGAGATTTGTTTGTTTTTGTTGTAGGTTAATTATATTTTCTCGTGTGAAAATATCATTTCGACTACAAGTCACTTTCGACTGCTTTAAACCTTTTCAAGATTACATTGTCATAGAAAAATATTAACAAGGACTTATGCATGTAGAAAGATTAAGACCCCAAGTTTTTCGTGACTCCTATAATGTTGGGACCTCCTATGATGGATTAAGCCCAGGAAGTTCATCTGACTATGATCGTAGTCTAGCAACTTCACGTGTTTACGAAAGAACACGAATATATACTTTAGCAGGTAAGTGAAATTCTTTATACTATTAATCGTATCCTTAAAGTGGAAAGACAAACAGTTCAAAAGAAGACATTCACAAAATGGGCGAATACATTTTTAAGGAGAGTGGGACTTGAAATATACGATCTTTTCTTGGATCTACGTGATGGGAAAATCTTATTACAGCTTTTGGAAATTCTGTCTGGGATTAAAATGGTATATTTTAAATTTAATTCTTGATTATTTCATTCTCCATCTCCATTTTATTTGTAGCCTAGTCCAACATTGGGAAGGATGAGGATACATTGTCTGGAAAATATTGACAAGTCACTTTACTTCCTAAGTAATTATGGTGTGCATCTTGAAAATATTGGTGCACATGACATTGTTGACGGAAATGCCAGAATAACTCTCGGTCTAATATGGATTATTATTCTTCGTTTTCAAATTCAAGATATAACATTTGTTGAGAAAATAGATCCACTGGGGATCCAAAGTGATGTTAGGAGGTATTCAAAAGATGCGTTGTTATTATGGTGCCAGTTGAAAACTTCAGGTTATCGAAATGTGGATGTACAAAACTTTACAACTAGCTGGCGTGATGGATTAGCATTCAATGCTCTTATTCACAGACATCGCCCTGACCTGGTGAATTTTGATGAACTATCAGTGAATACACCACTACAGAATCTGGAATCAGCATTTTTAGTTGCTGAAAAGAAATTGGGTATAGCCAGACTGTTTGATCCTGAAGATATTTATGTCCAGCAACCCGATGAAAAGTCAATTGTTACATATGTGGTTACATACTATCACTATTTTTCAAAACTTAAGTCAGAAACTGTTCAAGCACGTCGTTTAGAAAAGTTCATAAGCTATTGGCGTGATCTCCAGAATTCTTTTAATTGGTACGAGAGACGAACATCAGATCTTTTGGAGTGGATAGCCAAGACAGTTTTGTGGCTGAATGATCGTCATTTACCTAATCAAGTTGAAGAGATTCAACAGACTATGGTCGAGTTTAAAGAGTATCGTCTTCATGAGAAGTCTGATAAATTCAACGAAAAAGGTGAACTTGAAGCTCATTTTCTTTTAACAAGAATGAAAATGAGAACACTGGGCTTAAGAAATTATATCCCGTCTACAGAAGCACAACTATCCCAGATTAACCGAGCCTGGATTGCACTAGAGAAGGCAGAATATTCACGTGAGGTAGCTCTAAGAGAAGAACTTGCTAAACAGAAACGCTTATTGCATTTGTTCACACGTTTTGAGAAAAAGGCCAATCTACGTAAAGCTTGGATTAGTGATAATTACAAATTAGTTGAAGTTTGTGATGATGACAGAAATTTCGCAATGACTGAAGCTTCGCTAAAAAAATACGAAGCCTTAAAAGCCGATATTAATGCATATTCCGACAGAATACAAACAATACAACAAATTGCTGATGAACTAATCAGAAGTAACTTTTTCAAACACGATACAGTTATAAGAGTTAAAAAAGAGATTCAACATATGTGGCATCAGCTTTTAGCTATAATGAATGAAAGGTATAAAATCCTTGAAAATAGAAAGAATTTATTTAAAAAGTTTTCAGAAGCTGACTATTTAATGGAATCTATACAAATACTCTTATCAAAATTACGTAGTGATGAATTTGATGATAATTTAGCAGTTGTTGAAGAACGCTTAAAACAATATGAAATTATTGAGACAGATATACGTTCAATACACCGAAATATTTCAGTACTTTTTGAATTAGGATCTCAAATCGAATATTCTCCAGAGTTGTTTGGTTTTAAAACAAACAATGTTATAATGGATATTAAAAGACAGAACAGTATGTTAAAAAGTGCTTATACTGAACTTGTCCAACTAGCTGAATCTAAAAGACAGTCTATAGAGTATTTTAGACTATATCACATTTTAATGCATGAATTAGAAGAACAATTGTCATCAATACAAGAACGTATATCTTATTTGAAAAAAAGTGAAGCATTTGTTGATAATGGAAATGTCAATGTATTCTTTCGTCGTCATAAAGTTGCAGAGTCTGAATTAGAAGCACAAAGATCAGTTATAACTCAATTGTTTGAAAGAACTTCTAATCTTATTGATGAAAAGTCACAAAATTATGAAAATTTAAGCGATAAAGTTGAAAAAGTTGAAAAAGCTTGGGAGTATCTTATAAATCTTATGGCTAAACGTAAGACTGATTTGTTGTTTATGAAAGATTTACAGGGTTTTATGTTAAGCTGTGATGATGCTGATTTATGGATATCTGAGAAATTGGAACTCAGTTCAAGTGTAATGCATACTGCTATACAAACTGATAGTATTTATACAATAGAAAGACTAACAAAACAACATCAAGAAACTATTGTGAGTTTAAACAGTTTTCAAGATTCTATAGAACAACTAAGAATTCAAGGGGAAGAGTTGTTGGAATTTATTGACTGTTTAGCAAGTGAGGCAGAAACTAGTATAAAATCTAGGGAAGAAGTCAGAAATTCAGTAAAAAGCAGGGTCCAAAAGCTGTCGGATTCATTTGCTACACTTACCAGTTCTGTTCGTCAGACACAATTACTTCTGTTAGATGCTGTGTCACTTCATCAATTGTTCCAGATGGCTTCATCAACATATAACTGGATTATTGAAAAAGAAATCTATATGCAACTCTTAATAATGGATGACCTTCAAGAAGAAGAAATATGCAGGATTATAGAAGGTGATATCAATACAAATCAAGGCTTAATTCAAAGACTAGAAATTGTAAAGAATAGATTTTCTGATTTGGAAGAACAGATGAGCACAGCCGCTGAGCAGGTAAGTGGACTTTTCTGTGATTACTACGTCATACGGGATACTTGTTACAGCCTTAGCAAGCGTTATTAATCAAAATTTATTGCTTTACGAAGGATTTTCAGTGCAAATTAGAATTCTAAGAATTCTAACACTGTATGCTTACTAGACTTGTAATATATAGACCTATTCAGGAATGCTTGAAGATAAACTTTAAAAATACTCATAAGACAGGTTGTAAAGGGAGTTTTGACACCTTTGACACCGACTGCTAAAGTACTATATAACACCTTAAATATCTAGTAAGTTAATTGGGGAGTGAAAACCGTCATTTTTGATGAGATAATGTTAATTTAGAAAATATAACTCATATCTTCAGTTATGTGTATACTGAAATAATTTTGATAGCTACCTACTGATCTATCATTTCATTCAGATGCTGGTGACTGTATTTTATGGAAAAATTATTTGCATATTCCATCAAGCTGTAGGTTGGTACCTATTTATCCCAAATTGTCAAGATAAAGAAATGCACGCTTCAGTTGAAATACATAGAACAGCGGTTAAATTCAAAAGTAGTATATAAATGAAATAAGTTTTACTTTACTTTACTTTGTAGGCATAATTTTAGTTAAGTAATTTCTGAAGATAATGATGTCGGATAAAAGTTAATGAGTCGTTTGACAGCAGAAAGAAGTTATAGAGGTGAACAAAAAATTTATCAGGAAAAAAGAGATTATATGATTTCTTCAAAAACATACAAATATTTTCATTTCCTTTGTGACCTTGTTTTACGAGATGCATAAAGTTAAATCCTCTAAAAATTTAATTCAAATACTTTTTCAGATTGGATTTATAAGTATTCAAAATACACTCTGATGGCTGCCAAATAACTATGCGAAATAAGACCAGAAGTTTTGATAATACAGTTTTAAGTTACAAAGAGAATCTCCACTGATTCCATTAAATTGCGACACGCTGACAGTGAACTGGTTGAATTACTCATAACAGTAATACAATTATGAAGTTTCTTTTCTGAATATATATATAAATAAATATATATAAGTTAGCTGGTTGGAAGTGGTCAACAAAAATCCCTGCACCTAGGTTTCACACTTGGTGCCAGTCATCACTGAAGCATATATGCAGCCTTTGAGAAATTCCCATAAATTCCGACATTCAAACCCGAATCACACAGTGTTGCAGTCAGGGACTTGCCCATTAGGCTATTCGGGCTCACGATCGACTTCTTGCAGGACTGTACCGGACTCTGATTGGACACTAGTCAGTAACTAGTATCATTGTAAACTTGACTGCCTGCACCAAACAAAGGACTACAAACATGACACCAGTTAACTAGTGTCCAGGCAAAGTCTGACACACAGTCCAACAGGAGGTCCGTCGTGATTCCGAATAGCCCAGTGATAAAGTTTCTGAATACAGCACTGAATGACATGGGTTCGAATCCCAAAAAGGAAATAAGTTCCTTCTAGACTTCAGGTACGCCTTGCTTGGAAGTGTCAACAAGCACAAAGCCTAGTTCGATGGCTTCCTGCTGATAGCCTCCAATATATATATATATATATGTATATATATATATATGTATATATATATATATATATGTATATATATATAGTATTTGAGGACCCAAAAAACAATAAAAATGAGATCAAGGTATCCTGCTATACTGGTCGTTGTTGCTTCGTCTCAGCGTGAAGAACTGTTTGATACATATATGTATACATTCAAATTACACTGTTTAAATTCTCACTTTATCCTTTTATCGGTATTTGTATTTAGGTATCTCACATAAACAATATGATCACAAATTTTCTAAATGAACCTAAAAGAGATGACCAGGCATTAGTTAATAAAGAAATAACAATTGAAAAAGTTATCAATCTTCAAGATCATTTAAATTCTGCATGGAATAGAATTGCAGATGCTGTAGAATCTCACAGAGATCGTATAATTGAAGAATCATTTTATATTAATTTATTTATTGAATGTAAATATACTTCTGAATGGATTACTGAGAAAGAAGCTGTCCTGTTTTCAACAGATTCAATTGATGCTAACAGTTTATCTGGTTTAGTTGAATTAAGGAGGCGGTTATACAACATACAAGGAGATTTAAAAGCTATTGAAGCACGTGTTGAAAATATTGGTGAACGTATAGGAGAAATACTTAGCATTCGAGAACAAGGAGAAGTTACGTATGATCAGCAAGATAAAAGGTTAAAATCTCGACAACGGGCAGATTATTTAATGGAGGAACACATGAAACTTACACAACACTGGCTTAATTTAAAAGATGCACTTCAAGAAAGAGTTAATAGAATATCAACTGAAGGTCAAGTGAGTCGATTCTTAGAAAAACTAGACTCTTTTCAAGATTGGATGAGAAAGCTAAAAACTGATGTATTTGTTCGTGAATTTCCTAGTGATTTACAGGTGAGTTGAATCTTTAAAACATTGATTTGGAATTATTTTACAGAAAAGAACTTGTTTTATTAAAGTAGCTTTTATTTCCTTATATCCACATGTGTTAAGTACTTAATTCCCTTCTAGTATCTGATATTAGACACTCATTGTCAGTGTACTTCTCAGACAATAGCATATGTGAAAGTAACTTCCGGTATTATTAGAGCACGGATAACTTCAGACTTTGAAGTGCTGAATATAATGGGGATTATTAAATCAGTTAGCTGGAGATTTTCAATTTTTTTAAAATAAGAAATGTTACTACAGTGAGCTTGATCTACTCTTAGACAAGTATAAAACCAGGTAACTAATCTTAGGGGTTTTAATGAAAATTTAAACAGGGTTATAATTAAAATTAAAGTTCAATTTTTTATAAACACGATACTTTCACAAATATCTACTTTTGTTTCATTTTATACACAACCCAGTGTTCGTTATTTTAATAAATCTCTTAATTTCCATAAACGAAAATTACAAAATACTCTTCAGGCTCTACGACAGATTGAGCTGAACTGTTTACATAGGTCTCATGTGTCATGGAGTTATAGAATACAGTTGCATCTATTTGAACACATTTGTTTGTTTCAAAAAAAACATCACTCAAATCTTTTAATTAAGAAGAAGTTAATTTAAGTAAAATCTTATTCAGCTTTAAATGCACTTTGGTTCCTTTCTCTATTAATACCATAGAACATTTAAATAAATTTCAAAAAACGTTGTAAATATTACCATGGGGAACCTTTATGATGGTTTTATAGACGGATTGTCATACAAAGTGATTTAATGCACCAACTGAAGAGACTTTGAGAACCAATAAAGTGCATGACACTTCATGGGTGATTGTCATATGTTAAACAGATTGCGTAGATTGAGAATTATGATATGTTGCTTAATATGACAGTCTGACCCTTTAGATTTTAAATGATCAGCATCTTTGCAATATACAGTAAGGACTTCCTGGTTAAAAAGGGAAGAAGAACATGATTTAATATATCCCACATAGTGTTAGTTTGCTGTACTCTACAGATAAACTCTGATGATGAGTGATACTGAACACAGAGTATAATTTACAGGTGTTTATGTGTCACTTTTGAATAGCTGATAGACGGATATTGTCTTCGTAAGACAAAGTCTACCTATCTTACCTAAATCTAAGTACAACCTCTTAATTTTCCACACACTGATTCCACCAACAAGTGGCACAGTTGTGGTTAAATACTTAAATGCTTGTCAAATTACTACTTTTTGGTATTTATTTTCACCACCTTACAACGGGATATAAAGCACCATGGCAAAAGAAACTACACATTTATGTAGTTTGATTGAATATCTTGTTGGTATTAAAAGGCCAGTCAGCTAACAAAAGACAAAAAGGCGTTTTGTGCATGGATTTCTTCTTCCACAACCATACCATGGCAGATGCCGCTTCTTTGGTAGATGAATGACTCATCGGAAGTATTATTTCTAAGCAATTACCTAAGTAACACCTGTTATCCATAGTTTATTAGTCACACATGAAAATTACATTTGCATAAATCTCAGCGAAATAAAAATAAATAATTCCAAGTTATCACTCGACGAACTGGTCCGAATCACTTCAGCAAAATAATCAAAATAAAAATTATACAATTGGTGGATGGTGGCTAGCAGTGGAATCCAGGATGCGCATTTCGTCCTATTTGGGACTCGTCAGCTGGATGTACCTGCATTTCTCAGTGAGTGATGACGTCCCCACCGAAGTTCGAACCCAGTACCCATAGTTTCAAAAATTCAATTCAATAAAAATTATACAACCTGTGAAATCCAACGCACTCGAGCAGATACATGGATTATAACTTGGAACATTCCTTTACCTACAAAGTCACTGTCATTAGAAGCTTAACAGTTACTCCATTTTTGAATCAAATGATTAACCCAAAAACTTTGCTTAAAAATGCTTACTAAATGAGGATAATAATGAATCAAAACGTCTCACTAGGAAAAGTGCTAGTCCTATGGTGATTCCTTATCGCGAAGAAATGTCAGACTAACAGTCATGACATAAGAGTGTGTTTTTATGGCGCGAACAACTTACGCTCGTCATCAATAAAAGAAGAAATTTTGACCAGTATGCCAAACAAAAATTGATAGCTATTTATTTCAATTTTGCTGAGATTTATACAAATACAATTTATTTCAAATTCGCCACGCAGTGTTCAATGTCCATAGGAGTATTGAGTCAGCTGTTGGTCAGAGTTCATATCAAGAAGGCGTATCAGCTGACGAAATATGTAACAGAGGAGATTTATAACTTATGACTACGGAAATTGTTTGACGTCCTCCAGTCTGTTGTCTCATCACCAGACTTTGTAATGCCTTCAGTACTAATGCCTTTAAAATTTCCTGATGAGAAAAATATTCATAATTGTTGAATTACAGATTTTTCACAGTAAAATGAACGCCATGTATAGGAATTCCTAATTGCGAATCTCTCGTTTGAGATTTTTTCGCATGGTTATTTTGACTATTTACAGCTCTGTGCAAATATTATAATGAATATTGATTCGCACCTTAATGTGTTGACTGACCGGAATAACAGGGTCAGTCACTCTTCTCAGTTTTATTTTGTGCAACTGACGTTATAAGGGGCTGTAGAGACACACTGACACTTGAGTTAAAGGGAAGTATAGTTCAAGAGAGCTCTTTGCACTATATCCTGTAGCAGTGAAACTATTTTGAAATTTTATCTCAGCATTAACTGCAATCTCGAAGTTTTGTATTGAATAATAATTTGCCAGTGAAATAGTGAAACTAATATTGTCGGTAAAAAATAGTATTTCAAAGCCTGAGATAATAAAATCTTAGTTATTGAATTGATATACATATATATTACTCCGACTGTTGATTTTTTATGTGAGAATAAAGCAGACATCTCATTTGATGAAATATACAAATGAAATAGACAGTTTGCTGAATTTCTGTTCCCTAACACGCCTAATTTAGTAAACAGTTATAAAATAAAGTTAAGTGAAGTGTGAAATAATTAATTAGTAGTCAAGTTAAACTTTATCATGGTTGAGTTATTCTGTGTGACAGTGGTTATTTCAAAAACGTGAATTACATCGGTCAACTATAACATTTTATGTTATTTAAACGGTCACCAAAAAATTTTTTATTTTAACCCGTTTTCAAAATTCGTCAAAATTTTTCTAACAAAAAATATGCTCCTGAAAAAACCTATAAGTTTATTATAGTGACTAAATTATATTTCTGAAGAATATTTTCAGTTTTTTCTTGTTTTCAAACATGTTCACTGAAGTGACTTTTAGTTGATTTATGAAAATTATTTGAGAAAGACAAAAATGTCTAGCATATTTTATTAGGGATTTTCTGCTGAAGGATGTATATGTTCAATTCTACTATTCCAAGGTCGTTTGGCATAACACATAGAAGTGCAGTATTTAATTTTCTGCATAGTCATCCAGTAAACAACACTGAGAACTGCATCAAATAAACAGCCTAACATGAAATTACATTCTACAATAGTGCGCACATTTAAATCTTATTTATTCTTACTACTTCCTAAGTTTAGTTGTACTTCGATAAAGAGTTGTGAAAAAGATATTAATACTTAAGATGGAGAATCTACTTAAAAAATCCTTGTTAGGGGTTTAATAAAGTATCAGGACATGCAGTAAACCTTCACCTGCATAAATGACTACCTTGCAAAGGTGAAAACTGTGTTAAATGACCCGTTAAGGTTTAAAGTTGACGACTGCCAGGAAGACAAAACAGATTTAGCTGAAAAACGCATCACAAACATACTGAGAGATCTTCTTAAGGAGGAATTGACTGACAACAATACGTGCAATCATTTGAACTCCCGAAGGTCTCGTTTTCCGCATACTTATGGCTTTCCAAAGGGACAAAAAAAAGTCCCACTGAGACCTATACTTTCGATGACAAACTCGCCTCAGCATAGGGTTGCTCGTCGGTTTGCGGATAAGTTGGAACCCATTCGTCAACAGCTAGACATGCACACCATGAAAGACTCATTTCATTTCAAATAAGTTCATGGTGTCATTTGGTGCAACCTACTTATTCACAAGGATCTCAATAAATCAAACTATTTGATATCCTTTTCCAGCAGTCGGATCTCCTACCAGAGTCGTAATTCAAACGCCTACTGCTGACGTGTAAGATGGATGTACTATTCCAGTTTGACAACACTCTTTATCGCCGAATAGTTGGTGCAGCGATGGGTGGTTGACGTGTTTTAGAAGATATATTCATGTCCAACCTTGAGAAAAAAGTTGAAGCATGCAGTTGACGAAACAACTTCCTGTTGTCGATATGTCGATGACACATTTGTAATGTACAACAGTGAAAGTCATGCTTCCTACCTACTCGGATTATTCAGCAACGCGAATACGAATAAAGAGTTTACTATGGAGCATGAAAATGATAAAAAGTTCCATTTCCTTGACATTGCCAGTCAAATCCTGGAAGATGGTAGTCTACAGAGGTCAATTCACCAAAAGCCTACATGGAATGGATAGTACTTACATTTTGATAGTTTTTGTCCAAATAGCTATGAAAAAGCATTAGTCAAGATTGTGTGCTATAGAGCTAGAAGAATATTCGCTTCAGAGAAATTGGAGGAAGAAGTTCTGATTCTCGAAAAGATGTTGAAAAACGACGGTTACCCGCAGAGATTCATTAACAAATATGGAAGATGTGAAGGGTGGGTTGTCAAACAAACCAAAGTGGAACAAAAGCCTACCTTCATTCAACTCGATTTTCAAGGAGAAAATATCGCAGCAATAGTCAACAGAAGATTGCCGACATCACTAGCCAAGGCCTATCCTGTAGCAAAGTTGGTTCTCGTTTATCACAATCAAAAGTCGACATATATATCCTTCTCATATTAACTGCAACCGTGTATGCGAATATACGTGTATCTGCGGGAACACTTACATCGAGATAACAAAGAGAGGCACATGCCCAATTTTCTGAACATACACTGAGAAGCCTGCATCTTAAGCGAACAGGTGCTTACAATGTTGCCACTACCAGGCATCTCATTCATACATGTCATGAGGTGGAAATCGAAAAATCCTTTAAAATTATCAATAGACAAAAATGCTCAATTATCCTCAAGTTTACCAAAGCACTCTCTAACAAACACCTGAAACTCGATTAATATGTTCAGAAAGAAGCAGTTTTCAGTCTTTCCTTGTCCACCCTCTAAACTGCAGGCCTTTATTTCCTCTTTCATTAGATCACGTAATCTTTGGCTTCAACCTCACACACACTCTTTGATACAGTGTAATTTTCCTTGCCTCTCGTTTCTATAGTTTCAGCTGAACTCACCATATTGTTACTTAATTTATTAGTCACTCATCATCTCGCTCACCTCTCGTCTTTATGACGCATGTCCTTCACCATAGTATGCACACATTTACTTTGTATTAACTTGAACTCCCTGTTCAAATACTATATAAGTGTAATTATCTGAGCATTGTTGACTAATTTGGGAATCTGCTGTCAACTGACATCATGTAGCGTTTGCAAGTATGTTGAAACTTCTTTACATAAACTTGTTAATTTCTTTAGGCTGTACGGAGTTGATGAGAAGCTGACGAAATAAATGATGGTAGCATATTATTCTGCAAAAACTGTTGTTCTTGCTTTATTGACTGTATGCGGAGGGTGATTCTTCTTTTTTAGAATTTATAACCGTTTAGAATGATGAGAAGTATGAATAGTTGAGGATAAATGAAAATTATCTGCCGAAAGAAGCTGTTGGATTTTGCAATTACACAATATAAAAGTAATTCTTAAAGTTCACTTTCATCTATACAGAGGAGGATCTACTATTCAACAAATATAACTAATATACTGTCGTTAAAATTATTCACATAGTCTAGATAAGTAGACAGAAATGCAAAATACAAATGACTCTGAAATTATGATCAGTATCCGCCATCTTCTAGCCACTTTATTGTGAAATCAAAGTACTCATATTGTTACTCATTTGTAACTACATAAATCAGCTTTAATGATCGTCTTCTTGTCTTTCTTTAGTTTTTCACCTGTACCTTTTAAAAATCACTCTTGGACTCGTAAGCCGTTTACTGTTTTAAATAATGTTTATTAATTTCGACATCTTAGCATTTACTGTCATTCTCTGTATCCTTTCCACATTTATTTAAATAGTGTGCTCTTCTAGAGTTTGAGTTTCTCTATGTGCAATCCTGGGATGAATGACAGCCTAGATCAATTCATAATTCTTAAAGCCCTTAGTGGATTTCACATGTGCATCAAGTTTCTTAATAATTTATTTACATGTAGGTAGCATCTTTTGTTTACAAAATAAAGAAAAATATTTAGGAATTACAGAAAGAGTAAAAACCTTTTCATCTCTATAAGTCTACAAGATCAATTGTTTCAGCTTATTTCATCCTTGTTAATTCGTAAAGTAATTGATTTGTAGGTGTGATTTTCTTTATCACTTGTAATGAGCAGTTTGGGTTCTCTTATGATATCGTTTAGTAAACAGTCAACGATAGTTTTAGTTTACTTTGAGTATGACGTTTGTCATGGTTTGCTTACAACCGATCTATTTAAACCTCTGACCACTAGTCAGTCTAGTGAATATTATATTTCTGTATAATAAGCTCAATGTTTAAGTTTCGAATAATTTTAAGACCATAATAAAACAATTATAAGATCACTGAGGGTTAGAATACTTTACAGAACTGTAAATTTTATGTTCAAGTAGTAGTCAACCTGTCTTTGAGAGAGAAGTAAGGCAAACTTATTCTTAATAATTTAACTTTAATACACCATGTTGAATAATCTCTCTACTTATATATTATATTTGTATTTTTCTTAAAAATTTAGGAGACTGAAAATCGCCTAACAATTATAGAGCAGAGTGTTCAAGAGATCAAAGATTATGAGAATGAAGCAAATCAACTATTTGAAACAGGCAGACAAATACTTAAGGGTTATTCTGATACACCACATATAATGTTAGGACAACGATTAGCTGGACTTGAAGAAGACTGGAGATCAATTCAAGCATCTATGGTTGATAGTACTACACGACTTCAAGAACGATATGCACTACAGGTAATTATTTGACTTATTTTGGGAAGCGTTTTATTTCTATGTATTATTTAAATAAATGATTTTGATATTTACACTATTATCGTAGGTAAATAGATTGTAGATTCAAATTTATGTTACATCAGTGATAACAAAAGTAATTTTCAAACATGGATAACTTGCTTGTTTGGGGACATATATTTAAGTTAAGCCATTTGTCAAAATTATTTTCAACTTTACGTCGTTTGATTTTAGTTAAACTGGAGGAAACTGAGACCCGTTGCGTGAGAGGTTGCTGTCAAAGCTTACTAGGCCAGTGGATAGTATTTTAACATTTGATATTATGGTTCCCGATCTGAGTTTCAGTGGGAGTAGCATTACTCTCTGTGGATGCAGGTACATACAGTTAACTAACCTCAAACAGGACAAAATGTAATGCCTGGAATTCACTACTAGCATCACTGACTATTACATATGAAAAAGATTCCCCCAACATACTGAACGTACTTTATCAGTGGTTGGATTTGAAATGACCACGAAACTAGGTGGCTTAGCAGTCAAATCCTAAACGTATATTTCATGCTAAGATTTTGCGTTTTATGCGGATTTTGATCAGTTTCAGTTTAGAGTTCATAAGTTCAGCACAACAGCCATACTTTTTCTATTTGAGGATGAATGACTTGAAATTCTGAAGAGAAGTTGTGACTGGTAAGGTCCACTATATTAAGTGCGAAGTGGACGCTTTTCTAAGATACTGACTGAAAGTAGCGCTAAATCTCTGATCGACGGAAGTTAGAACTCATGATTCATTCTCTTCTAATCCAGTGAATGGATGGCCAATACATCCACCATGTGAACTGAAGTCTGTGAGTTTGCATTTTGCTAAAGTGGTGGTTGTGCACTGCAGAAGATTTCTAAACTAGGAGGAAACTGCTGTCGAATACTGTTTGGTTTGCAGTGATTCTTTCTGACTGATGTCGTTTTGAGACGGAATCTACTGCAAAACATATTTTATGGTTGTTTCCATGCTCTGTGATCAGTCGCATGCGATATACCACCGAACAAATTTGGAGAGAGTTTTTATCGGTTATCTTTTAGTAATGGTCACATAAGTCGTTGCAGTTCAGTAGTTCATCGACCAATCAGTCTACCATCCATTTTAAGAGCTCAAAAGTTAACAGTGTGGATGACATAATATGCCATATGTTTTCATCTAGAGAATATGTAGTACAATACAAGTAAAATTTATTTGTCAGTTAGTCATAAGAAATAAAAAATTAAACCAAATGGTTATATGGTAGACTTATCCAATTCTTCTAATACTTACTGGTTAACATGCTTTAGTTAAGCTCTTAAGTAATAGGGTCTAATTTTTGATAGGCAAGTAATCAATGAATTACTGTGTGTAAATAATATCCAGGTTAATATATTCCGCTTAGTTATTGACGTTTAGAATAATTTAAGGCTTAGATATGTAGTTTTTTTAATTTTATTTTGCTGAAACGTGTATATTTTATTGAGCTCCTTGTCTCTCAACCCAATATAATGACAAAAGTTACGATTTCCTACACTCTTATGGAAATGTAAAGAGAAAGTGAATGTCGAAATTCAGTTCGCGACAAATTTTTCGAAGCGGCGTATATTTAACAAGATTTCAAGGGTTAACTAAAGTGGAAGTTTGAATGACCAAACCACCTTCTTTGCAATACATGCTGTGTCACCGATGAAGTATGTTTATATATTCATGGTGTTTCTTTAGCTCAAAAGCCGTAGCAAAGAGTATTATGAGACTTCATGATGAAAGAAGGCAGATGTGCCCAGTATTTATTGTAACTGACACTCTACTAGATGAGACAGTCAGAGTCATTAATGGACGAATGTTTCATTTCGTCTAAGTATTTACTTGTCATATAGTTGTTATTACGGTTAACAGAATTCCATGAGATCACAAGTGGTTTTGATGTACTTTTATTTAGTTAACTGGGTGTTTATAACCGAGAGCTGTTTTCAAACAATTTATCTTTCCATAAGGAAAGTGATTTGCGGTGGGACAGAGGTTACGACACTTGCTGGTCATGCACATGGTCCGGGGTTCAATCCCCGCCGACATACACCTGATATCAATTGATCGACCTGCAAAATTTGGGATGCCGACATTATATACTAAAAATTCCATACTTGTACCAAAAATACGGTGTAGAATCAAGCTATAATAAAAAAAATTTGAAAGTCAAGACAAATATCACAGGTCACCACCAATATACAGATGTCACACTCGCCCCGTGAGAAGTCAGATTTAACTAATAAAAGATAGGTGTTCACTTCAGTTAATTCCATTCCAGTGTCTAAATGATAAGCAAGCCTGCCTCGTAACTTGAGGCTGCTGGATTTGATCCCCAGTGGATTCATGGATGCGTACTGATGAAGAGTCCAAAACTAGGCTGAAAGAGATGTTCAGTATTCCATTCTTGCAGCTTATGCAGTGTACTCCCTGATAATAATTTATTCAGCATTTGTCTAATAAGCTGATCATGCGTTATTAAAATATTTTTCTGTCGAATACTTAGCAATGACAGGTATTTCATTCACTGCACTGTGATATTGAGGGTGGAATTCAACCCTTGTCTTTAGCCCACTGATGTATCCACTTCAATTTAAAATGATTATCCAGTCAATCTGTTTACAAGACCTCAAATTAGTTATGTATTTTATGAAATGAAAGTTTTATATTGAAGTAAGAGATGGAGATGGTTTACACAGGAAAAATGAAGGCTTCACAATTAACCACCTACCTCAGAGAATACTATCGTGCCATGCTTAAATGACTAAAAAACACACAGAACCGAAGAAGCATATGATTGGTAGCATTAGTCAATATGCGCTTCTGAAACCAGAACGGGTCAAGAAACACCCACAAAATAAGATTTCCAAGAGAATTTAAAATTTGCTCAGTTGAATTTAGTGGCATCAGTGTTATGCACTAAGTTTACTATACTGAAATTATTTCGTTTGAATACCTAATTATTTTAACTTTTTCTTATATATTTTTTTGATTTCTAGTGCTTTTTAGCCGAATCTGCACTACTAGAAGTAACTCTGGATCAGCAGGCCACATTTTTAAATAAAGAGGATCCACTGGTAAGTCTGAATACAAACTGTTTGTTTGTTTATAATATGAATTCACGGGGTTATAAGTTTTCAAAAAGATCGAATGCTATTTAAGTCTAAGAATGTATCTTTCACAGACTGTAGAATAAGCATCTGCACGCCGAAGCGAAAAATATTCAGTGATTTTTAATAAGCATTTTATAACAATTAAAGGGTATTTATCAATCATTTTTTTAAATACTCTTTGCATTCACTTAGAAATCATTTATTCTTTGATATGAGCTTTCATCAACAGAAGTATCAATGTAACTGTATATCTTTCAAATTCTCTCCTACAGTGTTGCCATACAAGGAGAGAATCTCCATACATCAAAACCACACACGAGGGTATGATACTGCTTACAACTTCGAAATCATTTCAAAAACATATTTGTCAGCCAAAGTTCTACTTAGTGAGTGGTTTATGAAACCTACGGAAATCGTTAGTAGATTAAGTTCTGGTCGAACTGACAAAGTTACTGACCCTGACAGTTATTTGAATCTAAGGCTATGGATACTAGTCTAGTGTAAAATCTGGGGGAAACTTATCTGTAGCGTAGATTGTAGTCATACACTGTCACGATGTAAGACCCAGTCACAGTTCTTATGAGTAGCTTAAGAGCACGTAAAAACAGAGTGTTTAAAGAAGAATTGACTGGGGTGGTTTAGGCGCCAAGAACCAACGGTTGCAGGCTGTTGGAAACATGGCTCCAATTCTCCCTGAGTGTCACCGATACATTCGCTTGACGTCACCTTTTAGACCCATTAAATCTTTGTTATTCTCGGTATAGTTATTATTTTCACACATTTCCATTATTTTTCTTTTCTCTGCCTTTGCGCGTACTTGTCTGAATTATAGCAACTTGAACTTCTACACTCTTGTGCATAGGTTTAAGTTGAAAATTTAGTTCTGTTTAGTTTTTTTTAACAAAAATTAACATGTTCACAATGCTCCTGGAGTTCTGTAGTGTCGCCAAACATATTCATTTGATTTATGAATTCAAGTCCACCATCAAAAGTGTTTTTTCTAATTCATTGTTTGCAATTAAGTAAGCACGTTGATTTGATGATATTAGATGGTTGGAGGCAATCGGCAGGAAGCCTTGGACCTAGGTTTCGTGCTGGTTGGCACTCGTTAGCAAGGCGTATCTGCAACCTTGAAAGAACTCATGTTCCTTCTGAGCACTTTTTATTCGAGTTATCATCTTGCTCAAATGATATTTCGTAAGGTTGTACGTTAGATATTCATTTCTAACTATTTCTCCCAATTCAAATCATCACCAAGCTTTTTCATTGATTCTTTATTCGTTCCACTCAAGACAAAGTAAATATTGTTTAGTCACTTCAGTTCTTGTTACTGAGTCCACTTTTACTATGATAAAATTTACTGTAGTGGTTCTAATTATAACCATAGTGTTTCCTTGACTAACATTTATGATTCTTTGTTTGTGCGCTATTTTCAAACCCTTTTGTTTGATTAGCGATTGTTCTTTTAAGTTCATACATTTATTCATCTTTATGAATTTTAATAAAGCGAAAACAACTGTTTGTGATGAATAAGTTGGTAACGTTATTTATTTCGTCAGCTTCTCATCAACTCCGTACAGCCTAAAGAAATTAACAAGTTTATGTAAAGAAGTTTCAACATACTTGTAAACGCTACATGATGTCAGTTGACAGCAGATTCCCAAATTAGCCAACAATGCTCAGATAATTACACTTATATAGTATTTGAACAGGGAGTTCAAGTTAACACAAAGTAAATGTATGCATACTGTGGTGAAGGACATGCGTCATAAAGACGAGAGGTGAGCGAGATGATGAGTGACTAATAAATTAAGTAACAATATGGTGAGTTCAGCTGAAACTATAGAAACGAGAGGCAAGGAAAATTACACTGTATCAAAGAGTGTGTGTGAGGTTAAAGCCAAAGATTACGTGATCCAATGAAAGAGGAAATAAAGGCCTGCAGTTGAGAGGGTGGACAAGGAAAGACTGAAAACTGCTTCTTTGAACATATAAATCGAGCTTCAGGTGGAGCTCCTTGTATAAATAATGCATAGGTGTAATTTTCTGAGCACTGTTCATTAATTTTGGAAGCTGCTGTCAACTGAGATCATATAGCATTTGCGAGTATGTTGAAACGTTCCTTTACGTAAACTTGTTAATTACTTTAGGCTCTACGGAGCTGATGAGAAGCTGACGAAACAAATGATGGCACCATATTATTATCCAGAAACTGTTGGTCTTGCTTTATTCAGATGTTTTTTTAAGAATGATGCAATTCATTGACTGTCTTCGCAGTCATTATTAAATTAACCAATTGCTCACTTTTACCTGTTAGATTTCTTCACGAACTCACGTCATCCAGAGAGGATTAAAAGTATGAAATATTCCCATATTATGAATTAAAAGTCAAAATGGACGAAGAATATTCTTTTCAATAATTTCTCTTCAGGTTCTTACAATGATAAAATATAATATTTTATACATTTATTCCCCTTAATGAATTTGAACAAAGCAAGAACTACAGTTTTAGCAGAATAAAATGGTAACATCTTTTATTTCGTTGCCTTCTCGTCAGCTGCTTACATGGCAAAGACATTATTAAATATGTCTACAACAACAATTTTAACATACTTGCATAGAGTTCAGTTTAAACAAAAATCAAAGGGAACAAATGCTTTAAACAGTGCCATCACCAGGCATCTTCTTGACACGGGTCATGAGGTGGACGTTGAAAAGTCGTTCAAAATTATCAATAAGCAAAATAGCTCAATTCTCCTTAAGTTTGCTGAAGCCATTTCCATCAAGCGCATGAAACCTGATTTATGCGTCCAGAAAGAAGCGGTTATCAGCCTTTCTTTGCCCTGGTAACTGGATAATTTCACCTCTCTTTCCTCCGAATGTGAAATGCTAAAAGTTTCCATTGTGTTTGATTATTATTGTTCGGAATAGTGGTTAATATTGCATATTTATATATGTATATATTTTTAGTGTATGAGTATATTGATCGATTGATTTTTGTTTAAACTGAACTCTGTGTGGGCAAGTATGTTAAAATTGTTGTTGTAGATATATTTAATAATGTCTTTGCCATGTAAGCAGCTGACGAGAAGGCAACGAAATAAACACTGATGGTACCATTTTATTCTGCTAAAACTGTAGTTCTTGCTTTGTTCAAATAAAATATTTGTTGTCGTAACAATAAAGGCCAGTTATGCGGCGGACACATTTCTTACATAGAATAACAGATTAGTTATGGGGTGTCAAAATAAATAGTCGTATTTGTGTGACAAACATCGTGCTAGGCTGAAATCGATTACCAAAATATTGTAAAACGGGAGACAATGGTGGTGATTAGTCATAATAGATTTGTAGAGTGTGGGGTAGGAAAATTGACAAGTCAGTTCAAGGTTATAAAAGGTGTCAGGTGAGTGGCAAGTACAAAGTGGTCTGTATTAAACATGAGAAAGTAAGACTGCAATGAGAGGTTCATAATGAAATAACAAATATGTGAAATGAAACAGGTGGAGGCATATATTAAGAAAAGAGATAATATCACTAATAATAAGTCCGGGTAGTATAAATGAAAAATTCTATAGTATTGAGGGAATGTTTGCATGAAGGGCATAAATTATGACGAGTAATAATAATATTCGACACTAGTAACTAGTGTGATGCGTCTAGTCCTCTGATTGGTGTAGACTGAATTCTATCAGTCAGGTTGTAATGTGACCACCATACCATCAAATCAATGTGCACGGTGATGGTAGGCTAGCTAGAATGGTGGTCACATTACAACCTGACTGATAGAATTCAGTCTACACCAATCAGAGGACTAGACGCATCACACTAGTTACTAGTGTCGAATATTATTATTACTCGTCATAATTTATGCCCTTCATGTTCCAGGTATCCGTAAAATTTCAGTCCTTCGCCTAAAAGCAGTGAAAGCTGGTATTAGATTGTTTGGAAGCGATCGGAAGGAAGCCTGCCACCTAGATTCCGTTCTAGTTGACACTCATCAGTCAGTAAGGCATATCTACAACGTTGAAGGAACTCATGTCTCTTCTGATATTCGAACCTGCCTCCCCAAGTGCTGCAGTCAGAGACGTTACGATTGAGCTATTTGAGCTCCTAATCGACATCCTGCAGGACTGTATTGAATAGTTTTGATTGAAAACCAGTCAGTGTCTGGTGTCTAGACACATTACACCAGTTACTGACTGGTGTCCAATCAAAAGAAGTGAAAGCATCGTATCATTGAACCAAACCTGAATGATACTCAAAAACCTATTGACTAGATTCAGCTGCTATGCCGAACAGTATATTCATTGAGAAAGCCAATACGGAAATTTTCACAATAAATTCCTCCCAAAGTGAAATCTAAAAATTTGTCCATCAATTTTATATAATAAGAATAGGAAAACAATAATTTTGTTTCTTCTTCCACATTTTTTCCTCTTTATGGTTCTTGTCTTGACATTTATTTTATTCCTTTACGTTCCCAATGGAACACAGGGCTTCAGGGTACAACACTGAAATTCGGGTAACAGTGGTGTCTATGTTTATGGAACTGAGTTGTTGGCCTCACGCCCTTCTCTCTTTATCAGTCTTATTACTGGCTTAGTGAGGTTAATGAGTGCATCTGCCGGGGATGAAAACCCGAATCGCATGCGTGGTTGACAAGCATTCTATCGCTGTGCAACCGACGCCCTTTGTCACAACTCAAATGGTCTTTTAATTTTAGCTGAAATGTACTCAATCCTGTCAATCTGGCCACCCAATTTACTTATTTTATTTTAATTTCGCCCGTATTCTGTAATTGTTATCTGAAACTTATAATTTTAATGATATGTCTCTAGAAACATTCGTTTTACTGCCACAATAACGTTATGTATGTATATATTCATGCGCTTGAACCACTTGAGGATGGCATCTCCAAAAAGTGCAACGTTTCACTTCATGCCTCTTCTTTGATGTGACAATAGGAATTTTTAAGCAAATAAAACGATGTCTGTCTTTAAATAATTAACAGATCTTTATGCATATCTTACCTAGTCTGTTATATAAATAACTATCATCATATTTTTATTCTTCCCTTAATTTTATAGACCAATTTAGACGCTGTACGTGATGTACAAAAACAGTATGAAACTTTCCGTTTCTCTTTATTAACATGTGAAGATCGAGTGAATGCAGCTTTAGAACTGGGAAGAAAAGTCGCTGAAAGAAATCCTGCAAATCGTGATCGTGCATTAGCCAAATGTGAATTATTTAAACAAAAGTAAGTTAATTAAATTTATTAGAATTATAATATTACTCCAGCTTTACAATGATTTCTAGCAGGTCATAAAAAAGTCTTATGGGGATCTGCAATTATGAGTACTTACAACGTGGATTACTTGAGGTAGTCATAACTAGTTGAGGTATTTATCTATACAGATATCAGACAGAAGAGAATAAGAAACTCATCGAAGACAACTTTTCTGCGATTTAATCCACAAAACAGCAGTACAGTCAAGTTGACAGTGTTACAAACATGATTTAATTCAACGTAGTAACGAAAGCGGATTAATGGAGATTATAATTTTTAAATTGATATAAAAGTTTGAAGATGAGACAGAAGATTATTATAGATCCCATAAGATATAGTGACATAATTACATTGGATTAGAAAAGCGCTTGTGCGACATGTTTTCGTTAATATGCTGAATTAAACCGTAATTTAAACGTTATGGAATTATCTATAAAAATGTAATTTTAAAGCCCTATTTTAATTATGAAACTGTCAAAAATGCCTTTGCTGAGCTACTTGTGCTTTATTTTCTATCTAATATCCTGATAAATGCAGGAATGACAAAAGAAGTCAAACGAAAGGTGGATATAAAACATGGGGAAGGTAGTATAAGACCTCTCGTTTAATAAATATGTACAACCCAAATAAACTCGAGTTCATGAAGTACATATGAGTTTATTCAATGAGTTGTAAATAAAACTGAACGCTTATTCCTAATTTCTCAGCTCATCTTATTTCATTCTTATAAACTACATTCCAACAGACTAAGTGAATTGACTATACAATTGTAAATGTAAGAAGAAAACATTTCCATTTTTCTTGAATCTAATTGTCAGGTATAAAAGTACATGGACTTAACCTAGATCATGTGATCAGTGTCATAGTATTGATTCCTAAAGGTATAATGGATTGTTTCTTAAACATATCAGTCTTTTAATCATACTGCAATTGTTGTAGTTCATAGAAAGTTTTTAAGGAAAGTCATTTCAAATTCCTTTACACGAAATTTAGTACAGTATGTATATTCACTTATGAAAATTATTTTGTTATATAAGAAGATGAAATCTTTGTGGGACTCTGATTGCTCCATGTATAGTAGATGTTTAGTTGTCGATGGTAATTAATTCCTTTTACTATGCATTGCAATTTATATGGAAACAGACCTAAGTGCATGTAATATGAGATATTAGTAAAAATTAAATGCTACATTAGGAGGTTTTCGGAGGAGGCGTATTTTTATTCTATCTAAGTACAATCATACATATAATTCTAATCAAAGTAAAGATATTATTATGGTTATAGTGAGTACAAGAGAAGTATTCAAAGTGAATAGTAGAAATTACTAGCTTTCTAGTGATTTCCAAAGGCATAAATGAAATTCTGGATTCTTCTGAAGCACTGAGAATAAAATAACATCAAGTATTATTATTATTTCCTTGAGTTACAAGTGGAACATAGAGCTTCAACAGAACATCTCCATATCATTCTCTTCTCTGAGGTCTTCTTTAGCTGTCGCTTTCTGATGCCAAACTCGTCACTTCCCATCTGAGTCCCGCTCGAGCGATGGGCTGGCACTCGATCTTATTCAACGGTCTCCTCACCTTGTATCCTATCCATCTGCATTTTCCACGGCACATTCTTGGGCAGTGAGATCTCTCTTGGTCTGTTCCCAGAGTTTCTTGTTTCTAATTATTTCTAGTCACCTCATCTTCTGTATGGAGCCAGGGCTACCACCATAGACCAACATAGAAGAACTGACTTAACATCGGTGTTGAAAATCAGCACCTTCTTGTTTACGCTGAATGGAGAAGATTTCCAAACTGATTTCTTATTGACGGTCTATCTTGCCTTCCCGATCCTGCCTTTTACATCCTCAGCCGTGCTGCCACTTGTAGTTGAAGCGATGCTGCCTAGGAAGTGTCCTCCTTCAATTTTATTCTGTTGATAATGCCTGGTTCTGGTTGTTGTTGGTTGGTTATTGTCATCATCTCTGTCTTCTCTATGTCCACCTGAATTCCTGTTTTCACTGCTTTTTCTGTCAAGTTGTCGGTTTTCGCCTGTATGTCTTGCAGTCTGTATGGCATTAGATAAAAACCGCTGCTGACCTTAAGAAATTAACCTAGCAATTATATTTTAAAGAGAATTCTATCTTAATATTTATTTAAAGCATTAACGAACCTGTTTGATTGTTATTTTAGGAATACATTATAAATCACAAGCCTAAACACCCTAATGCTTTCTAAGAATCAGATGAACTAGATGGAAATTTCTGTGAAAGAAAATTCACTCTAACTCCAAAGTCATGTTGTTATAAGTAACGATTTCATAAACTTGTGAAGATTATTATTCTACAATATATTTCGACGATGTGCATATAACAAATACTACTGGTTGATGTGAGTGGTATGCAACTACTCATCACAGTCAAAGAGTAGTATATAGTTTTATGCACTTATGCTTGGTTTGTTGAATATCATTTTTGGTATCGAGCAGATCACATTTTGTGATCTAAATAATTTTGGTTCCTGAATAAAACAGGAGTAAGACAGGCTGCCTGCCTTTTATGACCGACGATACTCTTAACTGCAGTGGGCTGGATAATGAGTCAGACTGTGCGTGGGGAGCGAAGAGTCAGGAATACGCTGCACCACCGATAGGAAGACACTTGCGGAGGATTTATGTCCGATGTCACACAAAGTCGAAAATTTCCAGGCGAAAACCAACAAACTGGCTGAAGAGGCTGACAGTGAAGACAAGACTTCAAATGAACATACAGAAGACGGAGGTAATGAAGATAACCACGCACCAACAGCAATACCACAGCAACAACCATCACCAACCACCATCAACGGGAGATATTTAACACAGGTTACCTCGTTCACTTATCTAGGAAGCATCATTTCAACTACAGGAATTCGAAACGGACCAAGATGTCAGAGTCAGAATCAGAAAGGTGAGAAACACCTTCATCAACCTGAAACCAATTTGGAAATCTTCTTCACTCAGCCAGCATAAGGGAACAAGATCCTCATTTTCAACACAAATGTGAAGTCGGTCAGTCAGTCCTTCTATACATGTCAGAAACGTCAGGTGTCACGGATAGGATTACCAACAGGCCAGTTCAGATTTTCATCAACAGCTGCCTTCGCTCCATACTCAAGATCAAATGGCTGACAACAAAACAATCAAGAGCCGATCGCTCAACAAATATGTAGGTGAAAATGGACATGGATCAGTCATACAATGAGGTAACCGTCCAATGACATTACGCACAGTGCAGGTCATCACTCGAGTGGAATCTAAATGGAAAGAGAGGAGTGGGTCGTCAGTGCAAGGGTGACATACAAGGGATCGTTTGAGGAAGAGATGAGGGATTGTGGGCAATCGTGGACCCAGATGAAGATGCCAGCAGAAAACAGAAGAAAGTGGAGATGTTTTTTTGAAGCCATATGTTTCACTCGGAACCCAGGGAAGCAAAAATAATAATAATACTTCAAACACTTTTAAACTGTATGTGATGAAATAGGTAATGATAACTTAAAAGAATATTGGTCTTTATTATTTTTCTTATAAAAAGAAGTCTTTTATTTTACAACAAGATAATAATATTGAGTATTAGCCAAAATGTTTTTAGTAGATAAATTTCATATCATAAAATTCACCTGTCTTTATTCCCAGTCATCAGATTTACTTAGAAGTGGATTACTCCATTATCACTATTATCATTGTTGTTGTTAGTAGTAACCCTTCTATTTTCAAAAAGAATAAATAATTTCCGTTGTTATGACATCATCTTTAATTTTATATTTTTTTTATACTAAGAAAAATGAAATAGAGAATAATGTGATTAGAGAGTTAAAATGTAAATAAATTTAGTAGTTAAGTGAAGACAGAACAAGATCAGTAGAATATGATCTCAGACTCAATTTTTTCATCTTGTTTTCTTTTTTGTATGTTATCAGAATGCAGAAGTTTAGGTAATATTTTCAACAAAAGTGTTTTATGCTGTAGGAAATTCTTGACCTAAGTTTAATGTATATTTTTTTATCTGATTGAAAATAAGCAGTTGGAAACTCTGGGTCAAAAAATATGTGCTTGCTAGCGCTCACTAGCTTGGCGTATGTGCAATCTTAAGGGAATTGATCTCCCTTGAGATATTAAAAACGGAGTCTCTCACTATTGTAGTTAGAGACATTACTGTTGTAAAGTGTTAACTTGGGCTGTAAAAATATTTTTAATCTTGGCGAGATGCTTAATGCTTTATGTAATCGGTAATATTGTAACAACAGAAGACGAGGGCCAGGCAACAGATCCTTTATTAAGGAAATCAATACATATTTATACATTTTCATGTGCGTATTATAGATTATTGTTAGCAGAAAGACAGTCCTCTGATTGGTTGTTTCTCGCAGAAAGTTAACCTTGCACCTCTTTGTGACTGTTTCTTGAGTGTCAGATCATCTATATGTCAACTGTATCCGCCTACGCAAAGCCTTTGTCCTCATGTTTCTCACGACCAATATTGGGAACATAAACATTGACGTAAATTACTGTCCACCAATTTTTACTAACAGCCAGCTCTTACCACAATAATTTCAGTAATTTCAGTGTGATTCATCTGTATGTTATAGCACACACCGATAAAATGGTGTTCACTTGAAGGCGTCTTCAGCCCAAGTTATCTGTCATAACCAATATGGGTGTCAACTCATATTTTCCAGTGTTGACAATTCAGAATGATACTTACAATGTTGATTTTAAATCAAATTAATTCCACATGACGAACTGGTAAAACTGTGATTTGTGTTCAGTGTCTACTGTATTAGGGCAACACGTTGACTGGTTCATTTAACTCGAATATAAGAGTCACAGTTGCAGACTTATACATCTACGACTTCCACAGCCTAATTAAATATTAAGCAAAAGACAGTGAATTTCATGCATCTGAACTCCTTCAGTATGCCCAATAAAACTAGTCATGAGATTTCCAAAAAAACTTTTAAAAATTGGCTTTATCTCTGATTAGTCTAACTGACAGTTTTGACTGTCTCGTATGATGGTCATCAGTAAGCAAACAGAGATCATGATTCCAATGAGTATAGTTTTATCGAAATTCACTAGGTAGGAAGGCAACTATCTACGATTTGTAGTACAATATTTGTACATGACAAAAAAACAACTTTCAAAATAGAAATTTTCTAACATTCCAATGCTTGTTTTTAAGTATGGAAATGTGCATTAATTGTGCTTTTTCGTCTAACTGTACAATAAATCTTACAAACATTTAGAATAAGCCTCAAAATCAGTATTATTTCTTGAAATTTCAATTCATTTCTGTGAACACTAATATAGAATATGAAAAGGTTAACATTTAGTTAACTATGAAATTAGAGTAGGATGTATCAATTCAATATGAATTTGTTTCCTATAGACCACACAGTGTAACTTGATCGTTTACTGGCTGACGTTTCGTACACAATTTATGGTTCACTGTTACACTGAACTGAGTTTCCAAGTCCTACGGTTTCATTTCACATGATAATGAGAAATAAGTTGTTCGAAATGTCATCCAGAATGGTTTCAATATAGATTTAGTTCTGAACCAAGATCACTTATAGATCATTGGAAAACTAGGAGCACTAGACACATGTGTTTTTATTTTTTCTTTATTTTTTATTTTTGATTACAGCTTGATTCCACACCGTATTTTTGGTACAAGTATGGAATTTTCAGCATGGATATCGGTAGCCCAAATTTCGCAGGCCGACCATAGATATCAGGTGTGCGTCGGTAGGGGATCGAACCCCGGACCATGTGCATGGTCGGCGAGAGTCCTAACCACTGTGCCACCGACGCACAGTCTGGGACTCCTCATCAATGCGTACCCACGATCCCACCAGGGATAGAATCCAGGACCTTCAGTTTACGAGGTCAACCTCATTGACCATTAAACCATTCGGGGAGGTGTGCAATGACCCATGGATTGATATGCTTTTTTAAACTGTTATAGTCACTGTGATACATTATTTTAAACAAACAGATTTCCGTTCAAAATTTTAATTACTTCTGAAGATTTATTCCTGCATTTTAATTTTGATTATTGATGCAAAGCTGAATCATTGACAAAAAGAACAGAACATAAATAATTGTGACAATAAATGTTCACCTGTTTTGTACAAGTTGAAATAAACGCAATTTAAGGATATTCTTCAAATGCAATTCTGCTTCAGCTGATCTGAATTTAAGTACATGACCTTTCGATAGATTATGGTTTTATTAATCTGAACAAATAAATATTATGTGTAAAATATAAGCTGTTAAATATTATGACTGATTGAAAAGGACACCATTTAAATAATTGCGGCATGTTAATGTGTATGGATTCAAAATTCAAACATCTGATCTGACCACAGGCAGTGATTTTTGTCGAAATATTATTTAAATAAAAACCTGACATTATATGCAAACATGCATTACAAATGAATTTTTTTCTGTGGTTTCACACATTCCTTTGTATGCGCACCTTTCCATGAACATCTTGAATGTGTGTTTCGTGAGGGACATAATAGTTTCACAAATGAACTAAATGCTTTGTTAGTCCAACAATAGCACGATATTTTTCAAAGGATATTATGAGGTTACCTACCATAATGAACCTGATCAGTTCGGTCAAATATATCATATATATATAGTCTAGTTAACTAGCTTGCTATTTTTCTAGCCGGTCCCAAGCCCGGGTAAAGAGGGAGGGTTAGGCGTGGGACTAGCAACTCTACACCGCAGAAGCTAGCAAACTCCTAGAGAAACTTCAACACACAAAAAGTATATTAAAAAGGGGAAGCAGGATCTTCAGGGTAGCTCGTAGACCATCCAGTAACTTCCAAGACTTCCTCTCTCTATAGGTATTTGATTTGTTTCAAATTTTCAATGGTTCTCTAGATCCAATCAACCCGCGATCAGACTGGGAACAATTATTCTGTTGTTTGGTAGTGATTTGCAGTGAAATTGAAACTTTGCCTTACTTTTGCTATCGATATGTTGATATTATAAATGTCTAACCAACATTTCACTTTATTTCCGATACAAAGTTTAAGAACTGTACCATAAAATGTGTCCCAAGAATTTCATCAATATAATTTTTAACTTGTCTACCAGCTGATGTGATAGATTCGGGGGAAATAAGAAGACATGTGGTGAGAGCAGGCTGCTAGCCAATTGGAAGACATTAATCTACGTCAATGTCTAGGTCACTAATATTGGCCGTGAGAAAATATGAGCAAGGCTTATTCAACAACCAATCACAGCAGACTTAACGCGGGCAAATATGATTTGCAGATAGATGGCTCCACTTTCCGAGGTTACCCGAAACAACCAATCAGAAGACTGTGTTTGTCTACTTTAATAAGCTATAATAATGTACATGAAATATATATAAATACGTGTTGATCTCCGTAGTAAAACAATCTGTTGCCGGCCCTTGTCTTCTGCTGTTACAGACAAACAACATGGCTAGAAATTGAATTCAAATTTATGTAGTCAAAACGTGAAACATTCATTACATAACTAGCTAAAAATTGTCTTAAAGCACTGTGTTTGAGGAGACCCCTGAGTGAGTTAATTTGAGTTATTTTACAGAGTCGTGTTCAATGCAGATCTAAACAGATAGTCGTCCCTGATACGAATAGTCGAGTGATGAAAAATAGAAAGCTGAAATCATTTTGTTGATCACATTATTTTTTGTGTACTATATCTGTGCTATTCACACTTGTATGCACTTCTTCTCAATATATTTTTTAAAGATATGAAGCCAATCGAATTAAAACAGATGAACGAATTACATATTTACAGGAGAAAGCACAACTTTATGAATTCTACGAAGAGCTGGAAGATGTGAGTATCAAGTCAATATTTCAAAAATTGTTTGCATCAGTGAAATCATATTTGTTTGAGAAAACCTTTGACTAACATTTAATAACAGAAAACAATTTTTTCCCTATCCAACTGATGTACTCGTATTATGTACGAAGTCACATAGGTAAACTACAAATGTTGTAATGGTTACTGAATACTGATTTCGGCATCCGAAAATATCCTTGAGTTATTAGTGTACTGTTCAGAACAGCAAGTGAAAGATATACCATTACAATTTCACACGGTATTATTATTATTTCTCTCTTGGGATCCTAGTGGAACATAGGGCTTCAGCTGCACGTCTCCACTTGCTTCTTTCTTCTGCTGTATTTTTCACCTGCATCCATGTTAGTCCGTACTGTTTCAACTCCTCTTCACACGATCTCCTCCATGTCACCCTTCCACTGACGTCCCACTCGTCGCTACCCTTTCGGGTTCCACTCGAGGGCTTGACGCGCGATGTCACCCAGCGGTCTCCTCAGAGAGTGTCCGATCCATCTCCACTCTCTCCTGCATATTTGTTGGGCGATTGGTATAATTATTGGTATCATTATAAGTACATCAAATCCTTTTATTTGTTTCCCCAGAACTAAACGCCATTAATACTATAAATGGTTTCGACCAACCAATGATGCTACATGTGCTGCCCTAGTCAAGTAACTCTGAGGAGTTTCGCCTAAAGATAACTTTGTAGAATGATGCTGAATTTATAGAAAAGTACTTTCAGTAATGAGTGAGGTGATTTTATCAGTGTTCTGGGACCTGTACAGATATTGATTAGTTTACTTTCCAATTAAGATCTGTTGCTTTGAACTAATCATTTAGAAGTAAATCACATATTTCACAATGTGATTTCAATCACAATTAACACCGTTTGGTGTCAGTTATATGGTAGTAACTGTGTATGATTCCGGGTTTATAAATGTTACCTGAATTTTGAGCAACTAGTCATTGTTGTCGCGGTAAAGTGTTTTCTGTCGCAACATATTTCAAACGGCTGATAAAATAATTCCTGTTCAAACACTGATAATTACTCTATTCGACAGATAACCACTTACTGTGACGACTTGGATAGCATTTATCAGTCAGCTTTTATGTTCAACTTTCACCATGCCTACCAGACACTTGATTGACGCTACCCACCACATATAGCATAGCTGTATATTGATTGGTATTTGCGGATGTATGAGTTGGAAAAGATACATCAAAATTTCAGATGAAAAGTCTAAGGACATTTTAACAGGGCCCACTGAATGCTTTCAACATTCACCTTAACAGTACACTAAATTTAATAATGCAATAAGGGCTCGGTATTGTCATAGTGCGTAACTCGCTGTCAAGTCTTAATACGTTATTTTCTCTATCAATCCAAATTATTCAGATTGCAATATGTGACCAGCTTCACATCTTCACTTCGAATACACAGTTAATAAGCGTGAGAACGGAGAAACTGTTTAGTGTTCCAACTACCTAAATCTGGCCGATGAGAGCTAGCTAGTGGTTGACGTAAATGACCTTCAGTAATTCATATGAATCAGCAAACTGCACCACGCTGTATATGTATATTAGTTTGTTTATTAGGTAATTTATCATGCAATGAGCAAATTTATATATTCTAAAACGTGCAGAAAAAAATTCACTGTTTATAACGGTGTATGATAAAACTGCACAATTTCACAACCTATCCCTTAGAATTCTAGTAATTCTCTTTAATTTGTTAAGTAAGTAAAACCATTTTCGTAGATATTCGAGGAGTCTGATGTAGCATTATAGGTGAACACACTTTCTGTTGAGCCAATGACACGATTAGTGATTACAGCCACTACTTTTGCCTACCTGCCTGCCTGCATTATCGTTCTGAATTTAGTTACTTTCTGAAATATCTGAGAGGAATTGTAGCTCAGGTAGATGATTTCGACTTGGTCATGTTCTCTGCAATGTGATTAATCCAGTGAACTTTGTTCCACATATTTCGAAAACTATTTCTGTATTTACTGTTGTTAAAGGACTTGAAACAAAATAAATAAACAAACAAACTTGTTTGCACTTCATTGAACAAAAGTGTTATTTGTTCTGAGAATGAATTCATTTTCAGCTGATCGTTTGCATTGAACACTATTCTTTTCTTACGATATGTAAATAATTCGCTACCATGGTAACCGATTGGTCCTGATAATTTATCCTTTGTACGCGAGTGTTCCCTATTGTTGTATATTTTTTCGGAGAAAACACTTGAGCTGTTCGACCGGACAGTTTTCAGCAATATACTACAAACATGATTCTCATGAATCCAGTCCAGTTTAGCTGGACGGTTGCATTTAAGAATTGTTGGATGTAGAAAAAGTGTAAAAAAGTCAATTATTATTAGTGGAAGGCTCATGAAGGTAAAGTTGTCATAAAAAGAGATACATAGTTAACAGATAGTATACATATGTAGTTAAATGGAGAAAATATTTATTAAGCCAGCATTTTATTTTTTATAATTTTTAGACCAATCGGATGCTGATTAACTTTGTCCTCGAAAAATGTATTGGTAATGTAAGGTGTAACCTAGAAGGGATGACTGCCTGGAAGTTAAAAAAGAGGCAGAAGTTGGCATGGCGTAATAAGTGTGAGATAATGACTAATTAATACGTTCGGGTAGAATGGACAGGAACAAGTGGAAAGACGATTAAGTGTTTTTATATAAAATCTGTATGGAAAAGCAATGTTATAGTATAGAGTGGTAATAAAACATAGATGACGGGAATAATAATGATGATAAAATAATAGTAGTAGTAACAATAATAATAATGAACTTACATAATAAAAAAAGAGAAGAAGCAAAATTATAATAAAAACTTTACTCTGGCCACGGTAGGGCGAGAGAATGTATATATCACTTTTGAATGGAGAGGTCCAGTTTCAGATCTCGAATAGTTAATGCTTCAGCTATGTACAGATGGCGTATGCGAATTCCCTTTGTACAATATTGAGGGACTCTGTATAGCACTGTAGAGCATTCATGCAGAGGTGCTCGATGTCCACAGATGACAAGGTGTTCGAGGATAGAGCTGCTGCTATTTTCTTATTTTTATATTTATTTTTAATCACTTACGTTCCCAGTGGAACATAGGGCTTCGGGCTACTGCTTTGAAGTTTCGGTAGCAGTCGTGTGTTTACTTCTAAGAAGTGCGGTTGCTAGCCTTATGCCCAACATCCCCTCTTCATTGGCCTTGCTACTGGCTCAGATGGGTCTAGCAATGTGTCAGCAGAGAATCGAATCCCGGACCACATGCAGGGTTGGCGAGGTTTCTGCCGCTGAACCACTGATCCACACTTCAGCCAGCATTCCATTCTCATAATTCTTAGTGCACTGTATGAGTTATTCCAATTCACATTCCCTCAGTTTTTTTGACGACTGACATAAGTGAAGTTTATTGAAAAATGTCTATGATGCTAAGAATGACATGAAATATGAAATACTGTGACGAATTAGCTTTGGAAATGCAATTCTGTCAACCGACTTTTTAATAAATATTGTTTTAACACTTGCTGTTGAATAAATTTTTCGTTGTATACCTGCGTTGGATAATTCAAGTTTAATTTCAAGAATTAATTCATCCAGAGAAGTTAAATTGACATGGTAGACTTCAGGGTGTATATAAAAGATGGATAAATTGGTATCTAGTTTTGCAGTTATTATTACCATTTATTAATTTACTGATACACCACACAGTTCGTAGACTGAAAACATTTCTTGGATGAACTGTACATTGTAGGAGTTCATAGATATCTTTAGCTGACCGTATTCTCAAATAAGTGATTTCATTTGTGATATGGTGGCATTTATATGAATATGATGCAACACCTTGATTGAATTTTTACTCCATCTCCCTCTGTGTCAAATGTTTTATCCTTTTTATTTTACAGTTTGAAGACTGGATTTCAGATAAAACGAACAGTCTAATGGAAATTCAACTGGCGATAAAGCAAAGAGCTCACTTATCCTTCAGTCGTATACAGGCATTTGAGGAGGAAATTGAAGTTAATCGAAATCGTGGAGATCATTTTATTGAGGTTAGTCAGTTTGAGTATACATAATTTGCAGTATTCCTTTACGTAATATTAGCGTCTATTTCAGCCTATAATTTCTGTTCAGTATGTACCACATGAATAGTTACTTTTCATTAAACTGCCTGTGGAAATATGCAAATTATCGGTCAACTTATTTATCCTGTAAGCATAAGATTTTGTAGAGATGATACGTTATTGAATTTCAGCAAAGTTTTCTGTACAATATTACAAATTTAGACTTATATGAACTTCTTTGGGTCGGTGGTTCAAAGATGAAACGCTCGATGACCACGGAGGAGGTTCGGATTTGATTCTCAGTAGGTGTACACCTAGTCAAGCCGGTAGCAAATTCAAAATAGATGGAAGGTTGGGGGTGAGGCTGGAGACTTCAGGTCGTAAATCAGTCGACGTCATCGCCGCTGAAGCTTTAAAGTTTGAAGCTGTATGTTCCACACAGAACACAAAGGAATCATCAATTAGACTTAAGATTCATTTTTAAAATGTCTTTTCTACCAGGGCACTCCACAGCAAAACAAAGCAGTGTGTTATTTCTTTCAATCTGTCAGCAAATTTGCAATTTATTCCAAATGAAAACACAATAATCATTTGAATCACGTTTTGACACATATTACAGGATACGCCTATGTGGATAAGGAATAAAATATTTGTAAAGCTGTACGCGTTTTCATATCCTTTCAGACTGAGCTATTACGATCTATGTGAAGAAGTCTTTGCTAGAAGCTGTTGTGAATATAATTGTGACATTCTGTTTATATTAGCCTATATAGGGAATAACCACACCAAGGCGGGGCAGTAATTTTATTATTTTATGTCAGGAGTTTTAATTTACTGAAGTGAAATTAGAGGGATATAATTCAGTGTCATCTGATGAGTTCCAGTGCCTCTGAAAATTACCCATATCTAGATGAATCCTGTCGCCATCACAAGTACAAAACAGACTGAACAAATGGTTGGTGTGTCCTCACGTAGTGATTATACTTTTAGTCTTTCATTGATATTTTTCTAATTGTTTTCCATCTAAGTGAACTTTTGTTAGGCTTTATGTGATAAGTTTTCTGTGTCAATCAATGTGGATCTTTATATGTTTACCCATTAGGTTATAAGGCTATTTTCAAACTATAGAAATTTCAAGCTTTTGACATTATCAATAGAGACAGGATGTGTTTACTTCCAACCAACCAGTATTTCTTCCAAAGGCACCGTGATGATAAGTCTTACCTGACTGGACGACCACATTACAAGCTTGGTCGTCAGAATCTATCCATTACTAACAATGATAACTGAATACATGACACTGAGTGCACCCCAGTGATCAATCAGTGGATAAAAGTTCGTTCGTAAACATTTCCCATACATTGAGAGTAAAATATTAGAAGTATAATTCCCACATTTGGATACACAACACACATTCCAATTAGGTTTAATAACACATTGTATGTAACGCTCTGAAATCCCTTAGTTAAGAAGTTTTATGCATTCCGGTTTCTTATGCCGTCAAGTATTTCATTTAGATATAGAATTTTAAAAAAGATAACGAGTAGTTGATATATTTCTGCTATCTCACTGATGTTGGAAAGGGTTACATTTTAATTTGCACAAGTAGAACATTATAGGATACCTTTTCGTTTTTAATTTCCATGCATCGTTTTTGCTAAAGACTTTATTCATAGAATATGAGACAGTATACTAAAAGTGAAGTAACTTGTTTGTAACAATTCCAGCTGCGTAATGTCTGCTCACAGTGCAACTCAACACTCGAATTACGAGTCTATCCTTTGCTAGAACAGTTAACTACGGAGTTTATCACAGAATGTCATGTGTTTATTTTACTAGTGCTTGAATGTATTACACTTTCAAATCTCTATTTATGCTGTATGGTACTAATTATTCATGAAACTACTCACTCAGACATAGTTTGGAGAAGAGTAACATGGGACGCCAAGTTTAAGTATACGTAATTTCTGCTTACAAACACCTCTCAACACATAACACTTACTTAATTGGTTAGCGTCGGAGTCTTCGTCATCTGTAATCCAATTCGTCAATTATTCACGTATTAGCAGGCTATCCTAATGCAATTTTGTTTATTTATATCTACTACGGCCACATTTATCCTTTTCAAATTTCATGCAGACGTCTCTACGTGTGACATGGGGCGATGGTTGCCTCTCCAGACACTGAAGACGTTCAATGGAGAACTCTTAGGATCTTTACTATGTGTGTCAAATATTCGTATGATATCTACCTAGAATCATATTGTAGTCGCACCGACAATATTGACTCATTCCGTTCAGATTTAGATTGAATGGGTGAAAGTGCTGAGAGATGTGTGACACTGATAAGAAACTTAATTTATATCAATCTTGTGGTAGCCACCAAAGTCGAAATACTAGCCGTCACACAAGATTGGCATAATAAGTCGTACAAAATACTGTAACCTGTTAGGTCAGAAGTTGAATAGTAACGATTTTCGACGATATTTATAACTTTCGTTTGTATAATGAACTAAGTAATTTCCTATGATAGTTGTGTGTATAACACAAATGAAGGATACGAGGGTGAAAGTAGGCATTTAGTGGACACGTATTCGCCAGTCATTTAGCTAGCAATTTTTAAAATGCTTCAGACTTAACGGCACAGCAAAAATATCACGGTCGGGAAGTCAACGAGTTTTTCACAGAACTCACTTTCTGGTCGGTAGTTTATGGATGCCAAACAAATGATAGATATTGTAAACGGTTGTTTGTAAAACAATCACTGTTCATTCTATGTGATGTGTCAACTTTTCATTTATATTCGGTAGTAGTAAGGTGATCGAAAGCCGTGTCATTCATAGGGGGCTTGCATCTATATATCCTTTGTCCGTATTGCGATACAACAGTGAACATAATCATCTCTGACTTATTATCTATAACAGTTACATCCAAAACCACTAATTCGTTATTTTTTGATTGTTTGACATACTTTTCTCTGTTTCAGGTTGGTCAGAAGCTTATTGAAGTTTATCCAGATTTGGAATATGATGTGAAAAGACATCTAGATCGCCTGCATACACGCTGGGAGGAACTAGTTGAATTAGTTCGACATATTTCAAATGTAATTGGTCAAGATAATAAAGGTGAGTGAAGAATTTCATTGGAATTTATTGGATGCAAACAACATATTTTAAATGCAACACCACAGATTCAAAGACACACATAGAATTGGTGAGAAGTGTTAGAAAAGATAAAGTGTATTTTCTGCTGTTGAAATTTCACATTCCTCGAATACCAACAAAATATTGATTTCAAAGCAAATTTAATCATGAATCCACTGATTATCATGTAGCCATGAGCAGCTATTTTGTCTGTTTAATATTCTCGGAACTGCTCACCTGCCACCTCCTCAAGGGTTGAATCGACAACCACCAGGTCACTTGACGAGTACCATGACCACTGAAGCCACCAAGTTGGAATTCATTGACCCATGCATTCTAAATTATGTCAATTTATATGATACAGCATCAGTGCCATTTCTGATGGATAGTAGGCTTTACCTGGCTTTTAGTGATTCACATATATAGCTGAACCAACGAGATGTGTATATTTAATGGGTATATATATTCAGACTTGTTCACGCATACATTTGATTGTAGGATAGGTTTGTTTACATTGAATCTACCAATATCAATCCACAAGAAATTAAACTGCAAATCTGACTTTGTTCAATAGGCTTCATCACGAATAAACATTTGATGTAAACACCGTTTTGTAGTTGATACTACTCCGAACAAGTTATTCACTTTGATGAGATGGATATTTTTATACTTTCTTTATATTTGATTTGAATTCCATGTATGTTGAGCTGTCCTGCGTCGTTACATGCTAAGTGAAGCTGAGACAGTTTCTTCCAAACAGAGTTTTAGCTTTCACGCAATAAATTTTGTCACTTTTTCGAGTATGCTGGACAGTTCGGACTGATGCTTTCTTAGTGTCATTGAGATATCCATCAACTACATGAAAAGCGAATAGGATTTTTATGAATTGTATCTTTCTCCTACTTCACCATGGTGGATCCTGTCAGGAAAATCACTTTTACTCGCGAGATAATTAATTTGCAGTAGATGAAGTATGTTGAACAAGTTTAACCCATAACATATTTAAGACGTTATGATCATTAATTTCCTGAAACAGGTTTGTAAATCGACAAAGTAGGTTGTCAAAATAGAGTGAATTGCATGAGTGATCACCTAATTCCTGTTAGTACCCCTGTTTACTCGAATAGCAAATATCAAAGTTAATTGGGCTTAGTGTACATATACGATTATTAATATTAACATCACCGAAATCTTCGAAAACGTACTAGTTAGATGAACTTCAGTATATGTCACTTGTGTGCCTAATTGGTCAAACATCAAATGACCCTGTGCTCCTTATCTTTTGTTTTCCCTGACTAATTGTCCTACCCAGTCAACTAGACTTTTATGTCTTGTATATCTTCAGTATCTTGAGAAATGGATTCATTGTGATCATGAGTCGTACGATGAAATCCACTAAGTAAGAGAGTTCTGAATTCTTTTCGCCTTAACAGGAATAAATGAAATTCTGATGTGACGACGGCTATTTACTCATTGACTCTACAACGGCCAATTAGCTTCGTATAGACGCAAGGAGATATCATCACTCTTCCTACAGTCATATTCAGGAATTATTTATTACTATGATAAATGCAACATGGTTTGCTTAGATCATGTTGTCTTATCGATAAAAGTGATACTTGTTGCTTCACCAGTTGAAATATCAGGATATTTCAACTTCCCACTACTTAAATTCATCATAAACCCTTCTGTACCACGAAGCACCATAGTTGGCATGATTTTGATAGTTTATGAATACTTAGGATTTTTCAAAAATATAAGCAGACATTGCAACACAAGAAAGTGAAGCTCCGCCAGATGTCTTGCACAGAAGTTTCAACACACGTAGAACCATGGAACCGAATGTGAAGGAAAACAGGCCTATGGAAAGGTTTCATGTGAAATGTAATGACATCGATTCTACAATAGCATTATTTTATTAGAAAGAAAGCACAGTATTATAGCATTATTTGTTTATTGGTGACATCGTCAGGGTGCAATTTATTGCTAATATGAGTCCGAATTTAAATCGTATATCAAAATACTCACTTACTGGAATTTCTTTACCAAAGTCTGTCGAGAATTTTGTACTAGCGTGCTACTCTACTGTCAGCAGATTCGTCTCAATATCGATTATTGAGTGACTCATTTGGGTTCACTATTGTGTGTTTGCAACCTCAGTTGCTTTCACTCAGCTTGATACATTGTCTTTCAAATGTTGGGGCGAATGTTGCCCATCACTGTGTGAAAATCTGGTTCCCACTCCCCTGTCGAAACATTCTCAGACCCCAGACATCAGTTCCGTCCTAAAATGTCTTCACGAGTTCTACAAAGTTCGGTCAAGATTTTTATTCCACAAACGTAAGTGTAGTCACCCTGTTTACTGCACTCTTGGCAGAATTAGCTGACATATCTTTAAATTCATATAATACAGTCATTCATATCATTTAACAGTTCTTTATATGCACACACATACACATTGACTAATTAGTGTATACTGTGGCGCAATTCTATTCTGGTTTTCATTGTAGTCGGACAATAAATAGACATCGACCTACGTTCTATGCATGTTACGTGCTCATCGAGAAGGTGGATTCGCAGAGTGGAGACGACGCATACTCTACTGATTGTTCAGAAGTTCGGTATGCATGCAGAGATATCACTATTATAAGAGCCAACCAACTTGAGTGGCGTACATTTCCTTGTCAACTTGACCGCTGCTACTACTAAGAATAACACCATACTCAAAATTACGCAAACTGTATATTTAACAGTGGTCATAATCACTGAAATAATGTTCATAGAACAGTCTTATTAGCCTTCTTCTAGCTCTGGTTTGTTTTATTATAACTCTCCACTAGAGTTTATTCATTAGTAGAAACCTCAACAACTAGTGGAATGAGACAATTGTAAAAAGGTTTAGTTCAAATTGTGATTCCGTGATATACTCGAAATACTGGAATTCAACCAGTGAACATTAGTTAATCAATTAATTATTGCATAAAATCAGTAAGCGTTTTGGCTACACTATTCAAGGTAGTTTTTTACGAAATACTGAGTTTTATTTATCAGAATTTGAACTGCTGTTTTGATTTTAAGCAGTGATTCCATCGGAAGAAATTATGGAAATGAAGACATTACCCCATTTCACCACTTAAAATGTGGTGTAATGCAATTTTCACACTGTATGAGCCTACCATCAGTATATTCACGAAGATGCAAACACTCAAATGTTGAGTTTTAATTTTTCATCATTCGTTATTCTGACCCAATTGAATGAATAAGTATCAAAATTGTTCTTTCTCTTTTATCATTTTCCAGAAAAGTCGATGAAAGAGGCTATTCAAAAAACTGCTGTTTGGCTGAATGAAACGAATGCACACTTACAGAAAGCAGATGACAAGTTACCACCACCTGATGAACTTGATATGACCACATTGCAAACACAGATAAAGGAGTTTGAAAAAAGACTTAAAGATTATGCAGACAGGATCAGTGTTATAAATATTTTAAAGGTAAAAAAGGGAAATCTTAAGAAGTATTCGACTTGATTCAACTATTAATGTCGCTCAATAGCGTTTCTCTATGTCTTTTGATTTTGTCTCAATATTTAGTGCTTATCACTACGTTATTGATATAAGTATAAAAATTGGGCTCATCACTGTGGTTTCATCTGACAGTAAACTTTGGTGTTCTCATCTGTAAGATATAATTGTCAATATCCACAAACGCTCGTTGTCTAGCTAAACCTGACCCTAGTGACATTATACCAGTTTTAGAAACTTGCAGTCTAAGTACGTATGTCAAAGACTAATTCATGACGGTTAATTTTTTCATGAGACTTATGTGAATATTAAACTAAACACTGCTTAAATAAGGTGAGAAATATTAACCTTCCGATAGAGAGCCACCCTTAATTAAAGTCTAGTACATTGGATACCGAAAAAAAATTTACGATGTGTAATTCGGACGTATTGTCCTGTTGAAAGTGAATACGTTCATTATAAATGTGGCCATCTAGTAACTATGTAGCCACAAATTTGCAAAAGTGTGCGTCAAATGTTTTAAAGCGAAATGCGTCTGCATAGGAAGATCTGTGTAATCAGATGAAGAGACGTTATCCTGGCAACAGGTTTGATGTATTGATGAGTGACAATATGATATATTTTACTCGCGTAATCGATTATTCATTTTGGTGATTAAAATCTAGAAGTATAAATGCACGGCCTATGAAACAAACCTTATGTTTTAACAGTCTTGGTTTAGTTGGAACTTAGGTTAGGACGAAGGTAATTTGAATCTGGCTGTAATCAAGGATTATGCAGATGGTTGTGAAGCATAAAACGTCTTGTGATTTTGGTTGACAGTATTCGCATCTTAACGTATCCATCATTTCAAATATCTAGTGCTTTCTAATTTCTGATTAATGATAAAAGCACTGAGGAAAGCGGATTTCTTGGGCATATTATTCAATATACAGTGAATATTCATACAGAATTCTCTCTACGAATTCTTCATCTTGAAGGTGTACATTGGGGATGTTAAGAATACGATCGTAGCAGTCTTGATGACCGAAACCGACTTGCTGTGGTCTGAACACAGGAAGCCGATTTTTTCCTTCTACTGTATAGCTGAACAAAACTTCCTACATTTACTTACTAATAATCACGAAATGTCCCGTTGACAGCTGAAAGAGAGTTATTGCAATGAAATCTACGTTATTATTTAACGAAAATAACATATCCTGAAGCCAAATTACCTCAAGAATGCCGTCAGGCAGCTATACACCCCAAATTCCCTCTCAGTTATAAATTAAATACCCTACAACAAAGTTATTTAGCCAAATCAACCGCGGGAAGTAACTGAGTATCCAGCAGAATATTTTCAGTAAAGTAGGATAATCAGTCTGTCGGCACGAATCAGACGCCAAAACGATTCCGTTGGACAGTCCAAGGTCAGAATGACCTTGACTCACTCAAACACGGTGGCAGTGGTAAGGCAACACATCATTAAAATTATCACACAACCACAAAGAGAAGCAGTAAAATTAAAGTTTGAATGGGAACAAAGACGAACAATATGGATTAAGTCAGTCGGTTGTATGCACACGTTAGAACACTGATATGTAGGATGGAGAAAAGAGGCAAATAATTAAAACGTTTGTTGAAACATCCAAATAAATATCAATTTTGTAACTGTACCGTTAAGGAGGTATTCTCTAAACAATTATTCCGTTAAAGTAGCAGTCACTTCTACTATGCATTTCTTCAGTGTTCTTACCCTCATCCAATGAATATGCAGAGGGAAATGCACATGGATTGGACACACGCTGAGATGTTCAAGTGACATCAAAACCTTGATACTCGAGTGGAACTAGAATTGGAAGTGACGATGTGGGATTCCGAGGGAACGAATAATTTTAATTTAGTTCCAGATCTACACTGGAATTCATGTATTCACCACTAATAAAATATCATTCATGTCTTACTCTGATTCAATGTCTTTCAGAATCAAGCTAGTGCACCTGATTTCAGTCAAAGAGAGGAGTTTTCTGCAATTATCAGTGATCTTGAGCGTAGATTATCAGCATTAAATGAACCACTGAATCAAAAAGTAATGAATTTACAACTTCTGCAAACATCAACTAAAGGTATGGTAGAACTAACCTTGGAAGGTGCATGGGTCAGAGAGAAGTTGTCACAAATTGAAAACTTATCGGAAGCTTTGGAACTTGATCCATTAAAAGCCTATCAAATTGGTCAAAGATTAATGGTAATACACTGTTTGCAAAGACAGCTAAAAAGTCATATACTCGAAGCCAACAATCGTAGACCAAGAGTAAAAGCTTTATGCAAAGTAAGTCCACTTTTCTATTCATATTCAGAATGCTCTAATTTAATTTCATTTAAAAAATAATTTCTTCCTATACTTTCATAGATTTGAAGAACATCAACCAAAACAGTTTACTTTTCTACGCTGCACGTTCACTGATGAAGCATTTGGAAGACTATTACTGCTAAAACTCACAGAATTATGAATAAAAGGATACAATGGCTTCACAACACATTGCTCAACGCGTTAGTTTCATCTATCAAACGCTGTCATAACAGAAGTCAACCTTACCAAAGATAATTTCATTGTCAATACTAACAGATATTTCTTAGTGTCAGACTAATGACAGACTTAATAGAATTCGTTACAAGTATTAGTCGTTAGGCAAATATGCGCATTCTCGGAGACATTAAATTTTCCAGTAAATGCAACGAGTTCAATCAGTGAGTGAAGCAATTCCAAACATCTGTAATCATTAGGTTGATTATAAAACATTAGAGATTATTCCAATGAAATACAATAGTAGATTTATCAACTATTGCTTTAAGAGGACGTTTAATCAAAGAACTTTTAAATATAATTACGGTCTCATTCTTTAGCAATATTTGTATTGTGTTGTGTTTTAGGTGATATATAATTCACTATTTGTAAAATACCTACAACCTCAACTCTTAGCATGTCTGCTATTTATTCTGCCATTTGAATTGTCTGCTTCAAAAGCCTCTTTTTTATTTTAAATATGCGTTACCACTATACTTACTAGCTTACAGTTCGGTTGGATTTCGCAGATTGCAAGTTTGTGACATATTTTCATTAACGGTGGATGATAAGAAAGCTTTAGTTTGCCCAGTTGTCATAAAAGTATTACCTCAAGTAGAGTTATCTTCACAAATAAAGTGATGCCAGTATTTTGTTTTGTAACTCATACTGATGTACGGTGCAATAAACTTTCAGCATTTTTAAGGTAGCCGTTACACCTCATAGTAGGAAGTGTAGGTTTAGGAATATTGTTCATTATTGTATATTTATTGATAAACTCTTTTAAAACGCTTTATATACATGTCTTTTGCGTCTCTGTTGGGTAGAATGGGTTCTTAGATTCGAAAATCTACTTGATCAAAAGTGTGGTCATTTTGGTCGACCAGTAGATAGTGGCACAGTGATGGAATACCTGTACATGTTATATCACTTGATCATTCGATTACTGAAACGATTAGTCACCTCAGAGTTCTTAAATCTCTCACATTATTTTCTACTTCTTCTGGATTGAGTAGATTCGAATCTGCGTACACCAAGCTCTTCATACGCACTTAGGTTAGAAATCTACCAGGGTTTGCATGCTTTCCATATATAATCGAGGAAATTTAGTTGATTTCTTGATGCGTATTTATCGATAAAGCTCCTTTGAGCATATTAATGGCTACAAAATTGCTTTAATTGTTCTCTTCTACCCAGTTTCGAATCAACTACTTTTTCATCCACTTTTGGTTGTTATGCTGTCAGTTTAAATGTTTGTAAAAATGGTTCTTGCATTGTCAAAAAAAAAACGTCTCAACATACTTTCGCCTTTGTACTATTGATTCATATACATTTACATATATAGTTGTTCGATGATTGAAGGCACTTGTCAGGAAACCTTAGACTCGGGTTTAGTGTTTGCTGGCACTCACCAGATGCTCTTGTCTGCAAACTTGAAGGAATTCATCCCCTCGAACCCTGGTCACCTAGTGTTGCAGTTGGAGACTTTACCACTGAGATTCCAACCAGCTAACAACAGTTCATAGTATACAGACGTATAGGTAATAATAAGGTGGATGTTTGAAAAACAAACTCAATAACTGAATCGTAGATACTCAGCTTGTATCAGTCAATACCTCAGAAGCATGCCACATATGTTGGTTAGTATCACTAGTATCTTATACAGACAACTTTTGAGTATGTTGTTTATATCTGTCTTCTTCTCCTCCATTTTTAGAATATGGAAACTGAATTCTGTTTACAAGGGGAGAAAATTTCACCAGCTAGACAACAGCAACAATGTAAACGTCTTATTGAAGATATCTTAGAATCATGGCAGAAGCTGGACAGAAATTTAACACGCCTACTTGAACGTATTACAATGTCTGAGTCAGTTTATCAATTTTTATTTGATGCTAGTGAATTAGAGTCATGGATATCGGAAGAAGATTTCTACTTACATGGGGTTGAAATCCCTAAGGTTAGTTAAAAAGCCAATTACAGAGTTATACTGTTACATACTATAAATTTTTAGTCACCTTATATGTAGTACAACAATTTATATTACTTTATTCCCTCGCGTTCCGAGTGAAACACAGGACTCCAACAACATATCTTCACTTCCTTCTGTTTCCTGCTCTCCTCTTCAGTTGGGTCTTTGACTGCCCACAATCTCTCATCTCCTCCTCACACGTTCTCCTCCATGTCATCCTTGCACTGACGACCCACTGGTCGCTTCCCATTCGGATTTCTTTCGAGTGGTGGTTTGCATTGCGCGCTATGTCATTCGGCGGCCTCCTCAGTGTATGACCAATCCATCTCCATTTTCTCCTACATATTTGTTGAGCGATCGGTTCTTAGTTGGTTTGTTCCCACAGTTTCCTGATGCTTATTCTTTCTGGATATTTGATCTTCACTATGGAGCCAGAAAAGGCAGGTGTTAATGACAGTCTGCAACTGGTTGGAAATCCTTTTAGTGACTCACACGCAGTACACATTTGTAACCTGTACAGAAGGAGTGACTGACTTGACACTGGTGTTGAATATCCAAATCTTGTTATTAATGCTGGCTTAGTGCAGAAGATTTCCAAACTGGTAGTAAATCAGTTTACTGACTCCATTCGACAAAACTAGTGGTTTTAAACATGTGATTGTTGTATAACTGGATCAACTTTTATCAGTTTGTTATTTTATGCATTAATATCAAGCAAATAAAGTTCGAAAGAAATTCGACGAATCTAGTTCCTTATCATCTACTTGAAAATATAATAATGTGAAACAATCATTCTCCCCAGGAAACCCACTCCTCCCAGGCTGTTTTATAAAATCTTCTGTCAAGAGTTGCGTATAGGTCTTAAGGCATAAGATTTAAATTTAGGCCTTCGCTTGTCCAAATCTTATTGTCTTAACATTAATCATAAACACACTCACGTCAATGGTATTTAGTCTGCAAAAAAATGTAAGCCTACTGAAAATAAGTACCTCATAATACTAGAGTCTAACTAATTACTCTGTGCGTATATTTGACGAGTAGTGTCAAATTTATGTATGTACCTATGTAAGACCCTGTGATCCGTTCTCTTAGTATCTTGTGTCTTTCATTCGAGGGGCTATTGTTAGAAAGAATAGCCAATGAATAAAGTTAGCTTACTGCTGACGGCTTTATAAACTTATTTTAACGAATAAAAGTAATCTTAAATGATTTAAAACAAAGTTGGAAAATATCATAAAATATCACATGTCATTAGATTTGTCGTTTTAGGCATACTAAACTAGACGATTATTTGCCATAACTTGCCTATTTGACGAATGATATGCATGGATGGTAAAATAAAAAATCTTGTAACAGAATTTCCCCCTGCAAAAACTCTTACCGTTCTGTTGTTTTTATCTTCCTTTCAAGACTTCCGTAGAATTTCACAAGGATTTTTTACTCCTTCTCTTCACAACTTTATCTGTCTCTTCACTATTCAGGATTGTTGTGGAAGGTAGTACACACACAATATAGCATTAATAAATTCGTGTCAGTAACACACACCAGAACAATCACAACGTTTTGCGTCTACAGTTCCTTGTTATGTCTCGGGAGCGACTTCTTTAATACACTGTATCCATCTTCAAGGTTACTTAACTGAGATTTGTTTAGACTAACATATGGTAACACAACCAAGCTACGCAACTCAGATGAAGCGAATACGTTTGTTGGGGATTTTTTCATCAAGCTGTACATTGTGGCCAAAAGGATTAAAGATCAGCCATATGAATGATTAGACAATAATCAAGATGATCATAATAATAACAAAAACGAATTCCTAGTAGAGTTTATATAACTTAGTAGCTAATCATTGTAGATGTGTAAGTAGAATGTGTATACCTATAGATGCAGAGGAGAAAAGTAGCTCTTCTCTCACAGCAAATAGATCCAGATACAGCAATAAGAAAGTCGTTTGCAAACGATGTGGAAATGATGGAATATTTTTCTATGTATAGTGACTAATGTAGATGAAATACTAGTGCTCCTTACTTCCTGTCTATTTGTAACTGAAATTAACAGTGTTCACAGATTGCTGTGTCTGAAACTTCTCATTTTGTGATAACTTTCGGACAATGTCACCATACCACCCATAACTATATTTTAAACGCAAATGAACGTAAAGATCAGTTAGGTTCCTGTATAAAGAAGAAGTAAAAAAATGTTTTTCTACACTCGTAAATGGCAGCACTTATATCCCTCACCACTACGAGAGGTTAACACATTAGATTAGAAATATGAAGTATAGTATTAAGTGACAGAACTTTTTTTAAATAGAAAAGCAGCATGTACTCTAATTGATTTAAACATTCAAGTGTCATTCATTAAGAAAACTTGAAATCAATTTATTAAAACTCACATTTGTACATAAATAAGCGAAACCAGGGAACGAATTGTCTGAACACGTGAATCTTAGGTACAATTAATTAGGGTTGCAATCCAACGTCACAATTCGTATAAGGTTCAGAAACTTCTAAAATCTTCTCAATACACTGTTTAGTTATTTATTGTCAGGTGTAGACCGCTACGATATCTGCATGTATCACTGGTGTGGTAAAAGAAAATAGTCGTTTGATCTTGCATGATACAATTCATGGACAACATTATGATTCTTTCAAGTTTCAGTTTACATTTATCATAATTTACTTTTATTCATTTGTTATTTTTACACAATGATGTCCAGAATGAACAAAGTGCATTGAATAATCTGAAGAAACACCAAACCAGATCACAGACTATTGAACAATGGCATGAACGTGTTAAAAATCACAGTGAACAAGGTCGTATACTTAGTCAACAGTTAAAAATTCAGCAAACAAAATATCCTGAAGCAAATATTATTCAAGAATCACAGTTTTATTTGAAATTAATTCCAACCTGTTTGGATCGTATCAGTCGTTCTTATAAAAATCTTCAAGATATTAGTAATGATATAGCCATGATGTTGAAAGCAAGTGCTATTAGATATGGTTTAACTCGTGAAGCTGAGGAATTAGAGGTGAGTACAAAATTTATTTAGTTATCTCCATCGAAACTAGTATTTGTTAAATAATCACTTGAATTTTATTTTGGAATCATTCGGTCATATCTTGATCACAGTTCATATGAAGTACATTAATCCCTGATACATGGAGACATAATAGCACGTTGTCTTTAGAGAATTGATATGAAAGTGATGGAACAGGTTTCATCGGTAATTTTAATTTCAGCAGACATATAACACGTATTTGCTTATTCGGAGTAAGAAGGTTGAAGGATTCCTTGGATCATATTATTATCATCATCATTATTAACAATAATAACATCTTTATTCTGGATAGAGTGCTTACACAATATACAGAATCCTCTGTGTAATATACTGCACAATATTTTCTCCTCATCCAGGATCTTCGACTTCAATAGAAATTTACGGCACATCAAGTGATGCACTTTTTTATCAATCTGAAGCACAGACTAATCTATTATGACGCATCAACTCCGTCTCCGAGATATGCGCACCGGTATTTTGAGAGCCAATTAAAAATATGCGTGAATACACTTTACCACTCAAGGATACAATTGATTGGTTAAAACAACAAGAGTTAAATATTTTGTTTATGTTTGCATTTGAATTCAGCAGTTACTTTCCTATTGTCTTCAAATATATAAATTCCACTATACAAATCTATAGAAAAGAGGATATCAGCAAGTAATACTTGTGAACATCACAAGTAAAATAAGACTTATACGTCGGTGGCACGCTGGTTAGGAATCTCACCGACCATGCACATGGTCTGGGGTTTGATCCCCTGCCGACGCACACCTGATATCTATGGTCGGCCTGCAAAATTTGGGCTACCGATATCCATGCTGAAAATTCCATACCTGTACCGAAAATACGGTGTGGCATCAAGCTTTAATCAAAATCAAAATAGTTTAATACAAAGATAGCTACCCTCAAATATTCTCGTAAAAAGATAAAAATGTAGAATGGAACGGAGATTTTGACTTGCGAAGTACACATAGTATATGCTTTTGTTCATAAATCTTTGAAGATGCTGTTAGATGTGTTGTATAATAGGAACATTTTATTCAAAACAACTTCCGTCGTACCTATCTCATTGTTTAATTACTTATTACCCATAGAATAAAAGACTGGTTATTCAGTTTCAGTCAATACAATTTCATGTAAAATAGTTCAAAGAATGCTGTTTTTCATTTTTATGAACCGGCACTTTTCTTACCAGTGCATGAATAGGATGGTAGGTAACTAAGGGAAGCTTTTAAGTGTTTTACACCTACTGTGAAAGCTACTAATGTTGAGAGAAATGTGAAACTTCATTTCATGCAGCAAATAATCAACTACGATAGGCTTTCATTTGTGGTTTTCGCTCACGAAATTATATTCATCTAAATTTTGTAGATAAATTTGCCTCCCTTTTAACCTGGATATATAACGTCATTTCATTGTCATAAAGTATGTGACTATCGATAGATACCCTGTATCCTGCCTGTTTTTTCATTTATTCCGTTCAATTTTTTTACAGTTATGGATTAATAAACGTGTTGCTCTGGCTACTAATGATGAACTTGGTGTTGATCTGGATCATTGTTGTAATCTCCGAGATAAATTTGTTATATTCTCCAAGGAGACTACACAAACTGGTTCACAATTAGTTGCATCATTATCAGCTAAATGCGTACATCTTATTGCTTTAGGCAAGTCTGATTCAGTTGTAATAGCATCAATTAAAGATAACATCAATGAAATTTGGGCTGAATTATTGGAGTTAATCGAGACAAGAAGGCAGTTACTCAAAGCTGCATTAGACATGCATCGGTTTGTTAATGACTGCAGGGTAAGTTATTCTACAACTATCACAAATCCTAACATTGAAACAAGTCCTCTAAGTTTTCTAGTTCAGTCAGGATTGTTTTACTGCCACTGTGGTATTTATTATCAAGTCCCGTGTAATGTGCTCTTTATTCTCTACAAATGTAGCATGGCGATGTCTACCATTTTCAGCATCTGACCATTATATCCACTTAATAGTATTTCTTCTCTTCATTTTTACCTGTCTGCGTTTTTATTACTTAGAAAAGTCTCATTTTCAGCAAAAGTATACCTTCAACAACCTAATTCCTTGAGAAAGTTTACTTCATTGAGACAATTTAGTAATGGTAATTTTTGATGATATCAGATGGTTGAAGACAATCGGTAGGGAGCCTTGGACTTAGGTTTCGTGCTAGTAGGCGAGCTACCTAGAATGCTGACCATATTGCAAACCTGACTGATAGAATTCAATCTGTAACAGACAAAGTACTAGACATATCACACTAGTTACTGGTGTCCAATCAAAATAGTAATTTTTACTTATAGAAAGCATAACAGCCGCAATTAAATTATGAACAAATTAAACGTTAAAAATACAAAGTAAAAAACTGAGATAGGTCCTGAGGATAATGTTGGCGATGATTTTGAGTTTGCAGTTGAAACTCTGCTAATATAACTAATTTCTGAGAGATTATTCAGCCTGTAGGTGAGTAAGGTTAACCACATTTGACCATTATGATTTTCTCTAAAGCAAAAGTCAAAGCTTATCGCTGCGAATTCAGTTGCATAGAAGGGGGGCCATGAATATTAGGAGATAATAACGTTGACTTAAAGTTCATCTCAGATTCATTTTCCCAATGAATGAAAAACCAGATGATATTGTTTTTTACTGACGGATCGGTGTTTAATGCTAATAGCTTCTCAAAGTATTATCAAACCAGAATTTCGCATAATCTCTGCTTATTTATAACAACTGAACCATCGTTCATCAGCATGGGGTAATTTTCAAGTTGTCATTTTGGCCAGTTTGTAAAGATAACCGAACCGATTGTAGATTACTTGATTTGATAAGTGTATGAAATTATACAAGCAGGGTAAACACATCCTGCATGTTTTTTCAGAGTAAAAAGCATAAAAAGCCGCAATGCTGAACCGCAAAACATTTTGAATATACTCTAACTATGCTGCCTCACTTTCTAACGAAACTACAATACGTAACTGATTATTTCACTTTTATGAAGTCAGTATCTGTTTTATTTTGTAGTCAGCGTTTACTTCCTATCGCCTGATATTTCTGGGTTGTGATTTCGACCTAAATAATCTCTTAAGAGCATGCAGAAACTGAATGATACCGATTGCAGTTTGGTCTAGCGAATTACACTTACGTGATTCTATTGAAAATCTTATAAACCTAAAGAGCTGAAAATTCAGAAGAAAACCCATAGCCTGATATATCTAACAAAAGTGGATTTCACACTGTTAATAGACACTGTAGATATTTTGAATAAAGTCATAAACATTGCCGAAATTATTAAAGACAGATGACAGTGAACACTTCAGAAGATAAGTTGCCTATAATGACAATAGATTTTGTGCACTGTAGTAGACGACAATTATATCACTGAATAATTTTATTTAATATATAAACGTAGAGTGATACAGTATTATTTAGTGAAAGCGTTTCGAGCACAACTTGTGAGTCACATACTTGAGTGCAGAATGGGATGAAATAGAAGAAAGTGTTTGAAGCTTACTGTCGATAGGCATGACTGTTCAGTATTTCTGGACACCTAACATCCTCTGCAAGGTCACAGAGACAGAGGGTTTTCTAGCCTGCTTATAATAAAGACAACTAGGGGGCATCAAATAAAGCTTTCATCTCACACATACTGAAAAAGCATCTAACCGACACAGTTCTGCTTTTAATCTCACATCTGCAGAGTTTGTCGTGAATTAGATATTAGTTTATTCTGCTTGGAAGTTTAAACTCGCATAAATCTGAGACTAACTTCTCAAACTCCTGACGTTTAATGCCCTATCATCTCAATTTAATCTCATCTGAAATTTCCAGTTTATGAAGTTTTATTCCTTTTTTGATTTTTGATATTGTGAAGAAACTCAAAGAGGTGTTTTGAGATATGAGATAAATCTTAATTTTTACCATTACTTCATTAATTTATCAAATGGACAAAAAGTTTCTGCAGCCTAACACATATTAGTCCCCATATTATTGTGGATTTTACTTGTATTTGGTTTACAGTCGCTTCTTGATAGCCTGGATCAAAAACTAGTGAAGGTGTTCAAACTGAAATGGAGACTTGAACTCACTTATTTACTGTCTGTATCATTCAGAAATCAGAGGATACAATTTTCCAGCTAACCCATTCAAAGAGGGGTTTAGCAATTAAATAGCACATCGTTTGATTATGCCTTCAGCGTATTATGTACTCTTTACATTGGAAACTGATTTTGTGTAAATCATTTCATCGAAATTCAGTTGACAGGTGATCCGGCAATATTCAAGCTCCCTTGTGTTTTTTTATATAAATATGCTCACTGTGTATTGTACTCACATAAACGCTGGCGTTCGTTGGTATACAAAGCTTGTAGTCATTGATTAGTTTTCAATGGGAAAGTTTTGGGTGTGTCTGTGTTTTTTCTTCTTTCTACTTATGATAAGGATATTTAAAGGGAAATGGGCGTTTTTATGACTCACTTTACGTTCAGTATAATGTAATGTTGGCAGTTTACCTGAATTATTCCTGAAAGTTGATAAAATCCAATAAGGCGTTAACTCTAGTGCATCTCATGACAGATCAGTTACATGATAAAACAGATCACATAACATTATGTTGTTTTGATTACTAAATATGATATTTCGTTTATCACACGTGTTACTGATGATAACTTCGACAAGTCGTGCTTTATTTGCGCTTTGCATATCATGTTACCTACTGAGTAACAAAGAATTGAATTGGGGAGTTAATTGACTCATTCAATTCAGGACATATGTGCTACTACAATTTCAGTACAATGCAATACAGTTCATTTAGCTTACTACATGCAATAATGACCTCTAATATAGCGTTTAAAATTCGTTTTTCATGAAGTGATTACAGGACAATACACTGAATTCATTTATTTCAGCCGTTATTTATAACTGATATTACCAGGTCAACTAACTCACTTAACAGTATCACTCGTACTATTCTCATAAGTTAATTTCAAAATATAATGAACACTTTTAAACAGACATTCCTTGTTCCTGACTTCATCTATACTGTTAACTCGCTCTCATTTCACAAGGAACAAGTAAACAACGTCCTGTTATTTTGATTTCTCGACGAAATTCCTCAGTTTCTCTTTAAATCAGCCATCAGTCGTCATCTTTCATTCACAGTTGCTTGTTAATATTCTTTCCTTCCATTTTTATATTCATTGCCAAACAAATAAACTGTAGGATTTTGAAGAGCGAATATGTCATCGTCTAGAATATCTTCCTGAAGCTCCATCAGATTCCATAGCTTCTGGAAGAAAACAAGGTTTACCAGGTTTACAAAGAAGTCACAATTTATTAGAACAAGAGCTTGCATGCTTCAGTGATCAGTTGAAACAGTTAGATTTAACAGCTAAGCGATTGTTACCTCGTTATGCTGGCGTACAAGCTGAACAGTTACAAGCACATCATGAACGTGTTCAAATGATATGGAAGCGTTTATTAAAAGTTATTCAAATAAGACGTGAATTGTTAAAGGAAGCCAGTCGATTATATGACTTTTTAGTCAATGCTCGTGAATTAATTTCATGGTTAGAGTATGCTAAAGATGTCATGGAACACAAAGAAAGACCAAGGTTAGTTTTTATTTGTTCAGTTGTAATTTCATCTCATTTTCCTATTTGTCAATCACTTCAAAATCGATAATGAAGTAACTGAGGATTTCACCTTCACAGGAAGTTGTATTTAATTTATTAATCAACCATGATAGCTGCGCATGATTTTTATCCCCTTCTAGTCTCTTATATAACATTCATGACATTTTATTACCCTACGGAGATTTCGTAATAATCATTCGAATTTTCAAGAGGACATTAGTTACTTTGTAAATACAGATATGACTAGCTGATGAGCACCAATGAGCTTGAAGTCTTGGTCCTTCTCAACATCACCGTTTATTCATCAAAATGTCAAACACAGTGTTCTAGTGTCCTTGGAATTCATGTAGATGTGTAGTTTTATTTTGTTTTCATGGAACTCAGTACATAGGTCAAATAAATATGATATTGTTTAGGCATGCGAAAAACATGGAATGTCTTTAACAATAGGAGGAATCGGTCAAACAAAGAGTTCCACAGAGAAACCTTTTGAAGTTCACACATATATGTGTATATATTACTTCTCTTTCATCCTGTTTTGTCCACAGTAAAAGCCCCTGGAATAAACACAGGAAATTATCAAAGGTGGGTAAAAAAGCAGTTTACTGACCCATTTCACTACCACAGATTCAAACCTCCCTTACAACTCAACAATAATTCTTTATTCGTACGTTAATTCGGTGTGTCATCAATCCTCATTCGTTTTTTCTTCCTTCTCATCAAACTGCTAACTTTACAACACACCTTCTACATATTTAGAATCTCTTCCTCTTATAAACGATATTCCTATTTCCATGCTCTTACAAATTCAGTAATATTCATTTCTGGGTGAAATGTTCCACTGAAGTCTTTCGGACTACCTAGCAGTACTCAATCAAGTTTTGCAAGGTATTCATCATTATTTTCAGATGTTGTTTCACAAACCAATGTTAATAACTAACCATTGTAGGCGTTTAAGTAACGCCACAAGACGCCACCGAAACAGTACTCTTTGCTCGTCTATTTCGCTTTGATTTATTCCATATGGGTGTTTCGCATATCATCAAATATGGAGGACAACAGGACAACACAGGTCAGAAGTGTTCTCAGACATCATCATCATATTACCTGACACGAAAATCGTTCAAAACCGTGCTTCAAAAGTCTTATCTGTGAAATAGAATTCGAAAACACCAGTTGAAGAAGGCGAACTACCTGTGGGATATTCGATTCCAGCTATTGATAGAACTAGTTCTCATTTAACCAGATGTACACCAAGTATTCATATTTGGGTTTGTAGTCGTCGAGTATACATCAAAATCAATAAATTAGGAAGCCAATTTCTTTCTCTGTTGATCTGAACAGTGAAACTGTAATGAGAGACCGTTTGATATTATTGGCCTGACTAATGGAAGAAGCGAAAACCAAAGATAGCCTTTCAAAAAGTGTTATCACATCCTTGTCGTGAATGTTTGCATCAACGTAAATCGGACATATTAAGAATTTAAAAAATGAAAAAGACACTCACTGATGAACAATCAATGCAAAGAGAGTGTGTCATAGACAACCACAGCAGATTTCTAGTGATGCAGGATCCACATATATTCGCTTGTACTTAAGAGTTCCCACTTCAAATGCATTGTCGTTTGAAGATAATTTACTTAACGGTTACTGGTGTAAAAGAAGGAGGCAGGATACGGATGCCAAGGTGTACTTTCAAGTGATCGAACTGCCTTAACGATATATATAGTTTTGTATTCTCTAAGAAATTATTGAGCTTGTGATTTTTGCTGACATTAAACGACATGAAATAAAATGTCCAAATATACATAGCATTCTGTTGCTGACGCACTATTGAACTGTGGGAAAAGCATTCTGTCTGTAATAGCAAAGAGAATGTCCAAATATATATATTTATGTACTATTCTGTTGCTAATGCTGTATTTTATTACGGGAATATGTGAGAATAATATTCTGTTGGCACACATTTTTTGTATCACAACACCAGACTAAGATACCGTATAGTATCATATGTTCAATACGCAGAAAAACTGTTCAAATTATTTTTGGCTACTTATTCAGTTTTCAGTAGTCTTGTGATCGAAATCATTTTTTTTATAACTATTACCTTTATTCTAGAGATATATCCGGTGTTGAATATTTGATTGAAGATCATAAGCAATTACGCGTGGAGTTAGAGTCGCGTAACCAGCGTATTGAAGAGTGTCTAAATCTGGGAAGAACTTTATTGGCCGAATTCGCGGCTAGTGAAGCAAAACCATCACCAACACCGGTGAAACCAAATTTAGTGGCTACACGTACTGAAGTCCGTGAACGATGTGTGCAATTGGCAACTGGTCGTATTTTATTAAATGAATTATGGCGTGAAAGGTGGGATCGTTTACACTTGCTACTTGAAATACGTCAATTCGCCCGAGATGCAAACAGTGCAGAAATATGGTTAATTGGCAAAGAACTGCAACTTGAATCAGCTCGTCGACAGCTGGGGGAAACATTAGCTGAAACTTTAGCCTTACTTGGTGCACATTATGCATTTCAACAGACTTTAGCAACAGCCGATGAGAGATTCAATGCACTGAAAAGACTGACCACAGTAAGCATCTTATTCTTATTTTGCCTGAATACGATTTCAAGAAATCATTTTGCCATATTTTCATAAGAAACAATAAATAGGAGTGTTGAGGTTAGCATGAAGCATCCATGATGGAATGAGTCGATTTCTAAAGACCGATATATCTATCCTCAAGTTTAAATTACTCACTTAAGGTTACCGGTCTTCAGTGCTGATATTTTGATATTTTATCTCATACTGTTGTGTTCTTCACAATTTATAGTTCCGCTGACGAAATTGTTCTGCATTAGCTTATCAGCTCGTTTGTGTCATTCAAGATCTGGTCATCAGGTGTATCTTTTGCATAAATAAGTCTGTCTAATGATTGCTTAAATAATGATTATGCAAAACTCCGAAGTCGTCTGAAATCATACTGCTGAGTAATTTTATATCAAACTAATTCGCCCAATATCAGCTCATATTAGCTCTTTGGTATGAAAGACAAATAGGCCATTCCACGTCCTCACATTCATTCTCGCTTTCATCGATAGCGAGAAGACACATAGACCGACTGGCTTCTCAATGGCTTTCACCAGCCCGCTGTGTCATTTCGCCTCTCCGATTCCAACAAATAATTAGATTACCACTTGAAGTTTTGTATTACTAATATATATTCCGTGCATTGAAGTTTCTCTAACAGTCTGAAAGATTTAGTAGTGTTCGGGTGCTAGCCTCACGCCCAACTCTCTCTCTTTACCCGGGCTTGGGCGCTGCTAGAATACTAACGAGCTAGTTAACAAGGCGATGTTATCACATCCAGTGATTATTATTTAATCATCTGTCATATCACTTCAGCTATTTTATCATAGATAAATTAATCACACATGGCTGTTCAAAATATATACTGCAGTCAGCTTGAGACACAAGGATGTATTCACCAAACAAGCACTATTTAGTGGTTTGTCACATCTATAATTGTAGTATTTATCAAGAATTTTATCATCATTCATAAAGTATAATTATTACTGATGATTTAAATTAACCTCATATCTGTTTCCAGCTTGAACTTAGGGCAATGAAATGGGATCCACAAGAAGCTACAATACGAGAAAACGAAAAAAGAGCGAAGGTACGAAACGCTGTCAAAGAATTTCTGCCAGCATACGTAGAGGAACCTGAGACTTTGAAGAAACCAACCACTGCCTTACCATTTCATACAACTGCTATCACATCGACAAAGTTACCACTTGTATCTGCTGCATACATACAACCACCACCTGTAAAACCCTTGAGAAAACAAACTGAAGGAGGCGAAACACCAGTTACACCTGGAAAAGTTACGAGCAAGTTTCAACCAGCATCTGATACTATGCAGGTGTTGGGTAAAATGACCACACCTACGAAAGTGCATAAATCGCTTAAGAGTAGTGAAGAAGAATTAGAACACCAGGAAGCACTAAAGTCACCCAAGCCTGTTAAGCGAAGTCGTTCTAAGCAAATTCCACAAGGGACCGTCACTAGAAGAGTTTCACTTGTTGTGACCAAAGAGGAGAGTTTACCTGCAACGCGTGAATCAGATGATGGTAGTCAGATGTCTAGAACTCAGTCGGAGGACACTGAAACACATGTCAGGAAACCACCCCCAAATCATCGTCAAATTGAGGAAGCTAGTGATGGGAGCATAAAAGCGCATACACCGTAAGAATATTTTATTTAATCTGTTTACAAAATATGATTTCATTTCGTCTTTGAGAGTGGGATAATAAGCTGAATCAGACACAAAATACTGATCATCAGACAGAATCAGGCGTAGGTTCGTGAAGAACATAGTGATCAGTATTTGAAGAAGAACAATGTGAAGTCAAGTATTGATATCTAACTGACACAATTAACACATAATCATGAGGAGTTAGGGTAGATGACTTTCTCGACACATCTCCTTGTATTCAGGATTTTCATCATGAGCTGACATTAGTTAGAGAACCATTGGAAAACCTGGGAGTACTGGACAGCTGTTTCGTCCTAGTTTGGGACTCTTCAGCAGTACGCACCCACCGGGATTCGAACCCAGGACCTTCCGGTTACAAAGCGAGCTTGTATACCATTAAGCCACTGGGACCCTATCCAATGGTCCTTGAATTCTAACTTCTGCCAATTCACGACATAGCGCGACCGCTAGCCAATGTCTTCGGCGAGTATTTGTCCTCACACCCGACCAGCTGCACCCTACTGGTCACGACTTCCCACTGGAACCCAGGTAACTACCTACCTGAATAGGGCCAGTCGCCAGTGAGCATCTCATTGCTATTCAAGTGTTGGTTTGTAGGGATTTGATTGGTTTCAGGATTTTCATCATGAGCTGACATTAGTTAGAGAACCATTGGAAAACCTGGGAGTACTGGACAGCTGTTTCGTCCTAGTTTGGGACTCTTCAGCAGTACGCACCCACCGGGATTCGAACCCAGGACCTTCCGGTTACAAAGCGAGCTTGTATACCATTAAGCCACTGGGACCCTATCCAATGGTCCTTGAATTCTAACTTCTGCCAATTCACGACATAGCGCGACCGCTAGCCAATGTCTTCGGCGAGTATTTGTCCTCACACCCGACCAGCTGCACCCTACTGGTCACGACTTCCCACTGGAACCCAGGTAACTACCTACCTGAATAGGGCCAGTCGCCAGTGAGCATCTCATTGCTATTCAAGTGTTGGTTTGTAGGGATTTGATTGGTTTCAGGATTTTCATCATGAGCTGACATTAGTTAGAGAACCATTGGAAAACCTGGGAGTACTGGACAGCTGTTTCGTCCTAGTTTGGGACTCTTCAGCAGTACGCACCCACCGGGATTCGAACCCAGGACCTTCCGGTTACAAAGCGAGCTTGTATACCATTAAGCCACTGGGACCCTATCCAATGGTCCTTGAATTCTAACTTCTGCCAATTCACGACATAGCGCGACCGCTAGCCAATGTCTTCGGCGAGTATTTGTCCTCACACCCGACCAGCTGCACCCTACTGGTCACGACTTCCCACTGGAACCCAGGTAACTACCTACCTGAATAGGGCCAGTCGCCAGTGAGCATCTCATTGCTATTCAAGTGTTGGTTTGTAGGGATTTGATTGGTTTCAGGATTTTCATCATGAGCTGACATTAGTTAGAGAACCATTGGAAAACCTGGGAGTACTGGACAGCTGTTTCGTCCTAGTTTGGGACTCTTCAGCAGTACGCACCCACCGGGATTCGAACCCAGGACCTTCCGGTTACAAAGCGAGCTTGTATACCATTAAGCCACTGGGACCCTATCCAATGGTCCTTGAATTCTAACTTCTGCCAATTCACGACATAGCGCGACCGCTAGCCAATGTCTTCGGCGAGTATTTGTCCTCACACCCGACCAGCTGCACCCTACTGGTCACGACTTCCCACTGGAACCCAGGTAACTACCTACCTGAATAGGGCCAGTCGCCAGTGAGCATCTCATTGCTATTCAAGTGTTGGTTTGTAGGGATTTGATTGGTTTCAGGATTTTCATCATGAGCTGACATTAGTTAGAGAACCATTGGAAAACCTGGGAGTACTGGACAGCTGTTTCGTCCTAGTTTGGGACTCTTCAGCAGTACGCACCCACCGGGATTCGAACCCAGGACCTTCCGGTTACAAAGCGAGCTTGTATACCATTAAGCCACTGGGACCCTATCCAATGGTCCTTGAATTCTAACTTCTGCCAATTCACGACATAGCGCGACCGCTAGCCAATGTCTTCGGCGAGTATTTGTCCTCACACCCGACCAGCTGCACCCTACTGGTCACGACTTCCCACTGGAACCCAGGTAACTACCTACCTGAATAGGGCCAGTCGCCAGTGAGCATCTCATTGCTATTCAAGTGTTGGTTTGTAGGGATTTGATTGGTTTCAGGATTTTCATCATGAGCTGACATTAGTTAGAGAACCATTGGAAAACCTGGGAGTACTGGACAGCTGTTTCGTCCTAGTTTGGGACTCTTCAGCAGTACGCACCCACCGGGATTCGAACCCAGGACCTTCCGGTTACAAAGCGAGCTTGTATACCATTAAGCCACTGGGACCCTATCCAATGGTCCTTGAATTCTAACTTCTGCCAATTCACGACATAGCGCGACCGCTAGCCAATGTCTTCGGCGAGTATTTGTCCTCACACCCGACCAGCTGCACCCTACTGGTCACGACTTCCCACTGGAACCCAGGTAACTACCTACCTGAATAGGGCCAGTCGCCAGTGAGCATCTCATTGCTATTCAAGTGTTGGTTTGTAGGGATTTGATTGGTTTCAGGATTTTCATCATGAGCTGACATTAGTTAGAGAACCATTGGAAAACCTGGGAGTACTGGACAGCTGTTTCGTCCTAGTTTGGGACTCTTCAGCAGTACGCACCCACCGGGATTCGAACCCAGGACCTTCCGGTTACAAAGCGAGCTTGTATACCATTAAGCCACTGGGACCCTATCCAATGGTCCTTGAATTCTAACTTCTGCCAATTCACGACATAGCGCGACCGCTAGCCAATGTCTTCGGCGAGTATTTGTCCTCACACCCGACCAGCTGCACCCTACTGGTCACGACTTCCCACTGGAACCCAGGTAACTACCTACCTGAATAGGGCCAGTCGCCAGTGAGCATCTCATTGCTATTCAAGTGTTGGTTTGTAGGGATTTGATTGGTTTCAGGATTTTCATCATGAGCTGACATTAGTTAGAGAACCATTGGAAAACCTGGGAGTACTGGACAGCTGTTTCGTCCTAGTTTGGGACTCTTCAGCAGTACGCACCCACCGGGATTCGAACCCAGGACCTTCCGGTTACAAAGCGAGCTTGTATACCATTAAGCCACTGGGACCCTATCCAATGGTCCTTGAATTCTAACTTCTGCCAATTCACGACATAGCGCGACCGCTAGCCAATGTCTTCGGCGAGTATTTGTCCTCACACCCGACCAGCTGCACCCTACTGGTCACGACTTCCCACTGGAACCCAGGTAACTACCTACCTGAATAGGGCCAGTCGCCAGTGAGCATCTCATTGCTATTCAAGTGTTGGTTTGTAGGGATTTGATTGGTTTCAGGATTTTCATCATGAGCTGACATTAGTTAGAGAACCATTGGAAAACCTGGGAGTACTGGACAGCTGTTTCGTCCTAGTTTGGGACTCTTCAGCAGTACGCACCCACCGGGATTCGAACCCAGGACCTTCCGGTTACAAAGCGAGCTTGTATACCATTAAGCCACTGGGACCCTATCCAATGGTCCTTGAATTCTAACTTCTGCCAATTCACGACATAGCGCGACCGCTAGCCAATGTCTTCGGCGAGTATTTGTCCTCACACCCGACCAGCTGCACCCTACTGGTCACGACTTCCCACTGGAACCCAGGTAACTACCTACCTGAATAGGGCCAGTCGCCAGTGAGCATCTCATTGCTATTCAAGTGTTGGTTTGTAGGGATTTGATTGGTTTCAGGATTTTCATCATGAGCTGACATTAGTTAGAGAACCATTGGAAAACCTGGGAGTACTGGACAGCTGTTTCGTCCTAGTTTGGGACTCTTCAGCAGTACGCACCCACCGGGATTCGAACCCAGGACCTTCCGGTTACAAAGCGAGCTTGTATACCATTAAGCCACTGGGACCCTATCCAATGGTCCTTGAATTCTAACTTCTGCCAATTCACGACATAGCGCGACCGCTAGCCAATGTCTTCGGCGAGTATTTGTCCTCACACCCGACCAGCTGCACCCTACTGGTCACGACTTCCCACTGGAACCCAGGTAACTACCTACCTGAATAGGGCCAGTCGCCAGTGAGCATCTCATTGCTATTCAAGTGTTGGTTTGTAGGGATTTGATTGGTTTCAGGATTTTCATCATGAGCTGACATTAGTTAGAGAACCATTGGAAAACCTGGGAGTACTGGACAGCTGTTTCGTCCTAGTTTGGGACTCTTCAGCAGTACGCACCCACCGGGATTCGAACCCAGGACCTTCCGGTTACAAAGCGAGCTTGTATACCATTAAGCCACTGGGACCCTATCCAATGGTCCTTGAATTCTAACTTCTGCCAATTCACGACATAGCGCGACCGCTAGCCAATGTCTTCGGCGAGTATTTGTCCTCACACCCGACCAGCTGCACCCTACTGGTCACGACTTCCCACTGGAACCCAGGTAACTACCTACCTGAATAGGGCCAGTCGCCAGTGAGCATCTCATTGCTATTCAAGTGTTGGTTTGTAGGGATTTGATTGGTTTCAGGATTTTCATCATGAGCTGACATTAGTTAGAGAACCATTGGAAAACCTGGGAGTACTGGACAGCTGTTTCGTCCTAGTTTGGGACTCTTCAGCAGTACGCACCCACCGGGATTCGAACCCAGGACCTTCCGGTTACAAAGCGAGCTTGTATACCATTAAGCCACTGGGACCCTATCCAATGGTCCTTGAATTCTAACTTCTGCCAATTCACGACATAGCGCGACCGCTAGCCAATGTCTTCGGCGAGTATTTGTCCTCACACCCGACCAGCTGCACCCTACTGGTCACGACTTCCCACTGGAACCCAGGTAACTACCTACCTGAATAGGGCCAGTCGCCAGTGAGCATCTCATTGCTATTCAAGTGTTGGTTTGTAGGGATTTGATTGGTTTCAGGATTTTCATCATGAGCTGACATTAGTTAGAGAACCATTGGAAAACCTGGGAGTACTGGACAGCTGTTTCGTCCTAGTTTGGGACTCTTCAGCAGTACGCACCCACCGGGATTCGAACCCAGGACCTTCCGGTTACAAAGCGAGCTTGTATACCATTAAGCCACTGGGACCCTATCCAATGGTCCTTGAATTCTAACTTCTGCCAATTCACGACATAGCGCGACCGCTAGCCAATGTCTTCGGCGAGTATTTGTCCTCACACCCGACCAGCTGCACCCTACTGGTCACGACTTCCCACTGGAACCCAGGTAACTACCTACCTGAATAGGGCCAGTCGCCAGTGAGCATCTCATTGCTATTCAAGTGTTGGTTTGTAGGGATTTGATTGGTTTCAGGATTTTCATCATGAGCTGACATTAGTTAGAGAACCATTGGAAAACCTGGGAGTACTGGACAGCTGTTTCGTCCTAGTTTGGGACTCTTCAGCAGTACGCACCCACCGGGATTCGAACCCAGGACCTTCCGGTTACAAAGCGAGCTTGTATACCATTAAGCCACTGGGACCCTATCCAATGGTCCTTGAATTCTAACTTCTGCCAATTCACGACATAGCGCGACCGCTAGCCAATGTCTTCGGCGAGTATTTGTCCTCACACCCGACCAGCTGCACCCTACTGGTCACGACTTCCCACTGGAACCCAGGTAACTACCTACCTGAATAGGGCCAGTCGCCAGTGAGCATCTCATTGCTATTCAAGTGTTGGTTTGTAGGGATTTGATTGGTTTCAGGATTTTCATCATGAGCTGACATTAGTTAGAGAACCATTGGAAAACCTGGGAGTACTGGAAGGTCCTGGGTTCGAATCCCGGTGGGTGCGTACTGCTGAATTGTCCCAAACTAGGACGAAACAGCTGTCCAGTACTCCCAGGTTTTCCAATGGTTCTCTAACTAATGTCAGCTCATGATGAAAATCCTGAAACCAATCAAATCCCTACAAACCAACACTCGAATAGCAATGAGATGCTCACTGGCGACTGGCCCTATTCAGGTAGGTAGTTACCTGGGTTCCAGTGGGAAGTCGTGACCAGTAGGGTGCAGCTGGTCGGGTGTGAGGACAAATACTCGCCGAAGACATTGGCTAGCGGTCGCGCTATGTCGTGAATTGGCAGAAGTTAGAATTCAAGGACCATTGGATAGGGTCCCAGTGGCTTAATGGTATACAAGCTCGCTTTGTAACCGGAAGGTCCTGGGTTCGAATCCCGGTGGGTGCGTACTGCTGAAGAGTCCCAAACTAGGACGAAACAGCTGTCCAGTACTCCCAGGTTTTCCAATGGTTCTCTAACTAATGTCAGCTCATGATGAAAATCCTGAAACCAATCAAATCCCTACAAACCAACACTTGAACATCTCCTTGTGTTTAAAATTAGAATTTAGCAGTCGTTACAAATAAGAAAACCTACATAACTATGTATGGTTTTAATTATCGTTTTCAGTAAACATTACTGCCTTTGACTTCACAGGTAACGTTTATTTCACAAAAATAAAGTGCTATTTAACCCTTAGTCGAACATTAATCGAACTCATTCAGAGCGAAGCTGAACATATCACGTTGTGTAATATCAGAGCATGGGGCTGCTGGAATTAACTACAAATACATAGAGTGTAGTATTCAGATGGTATTATTCAAAGAACAGTAATTATCATGATCAGCAGTATATAGCCAAGTGCGTCACTATCATCTGAACAATCCTACCACATGGTTCATGCATATTTTGTCAGTTTCTTCTCCATGTTATTTGAAAAGCATTTTAACCGTAAAGCACAGTTGTATTAACACTATTAGTCTTATTATATAGGTCTTGTATTCTAATCATTTTCTTCCTTAACGAGGTCACATTTTCCTACCGAGAGCTTCCAGTATCAGTGTAACTGCTTTCAGAATTGTTTGATGGAGGAAATTAAAAATAAGACTATCTGTGAAATCAAGCTTTCAGAGTATCTAAATTGCTATGATGTCTATATTTCCGGAAAAAATACACCTACCTATGAAGCTACCAAAATGTTATTTTAATGAGACCCTTATTAGAACTGATTATGTTTAAATAACACATGATGATTTATATTTTATTCCATAGTGAAACTAGTGAACAATCTCACGAACACCAACAGGAATCCCGACATCGAATTCGTCTAATGAGGGCTACATCATCTCCTTCTGATGTGCCCTCTGCAGAAGCTGCTAGCCCAGTAATATCCAGGCTAAAGGTTTCCAGACATGATGACGATCCAGGTAAATCTTCACAAGTACCTGAGGTATCAACAAGTGAACAGCCATCGTTGCCAAAATTAGAGGGCCCAGTCATTAGAAAACACGATGTAGATCCTGGTGGATCACTTCATTCAAGAAGTCATGGTCGAAGTTGGCTACCACTGTATTTGGTTCTCGATTCAGGACAACTGTATGTTTATAAGGACAATCAGAGTCGTCGTGAGAAACCAAACACTTATTATCACGATGAAGCACCCATAAGTTTGTTGTCAGCCAGAGCTGCTCCTGCTATAGACTATACTAAACGACCATGCATATTTCGTCTACGTCTTGGCGATGGTAGTGAATACCTTTTCCAAACTGCGAACGACAATGTACTTCAACGTTGGGTATCAGCTATCAATGAATCAGCTAAATGTTTAGCTAGTGAAGCAGGAAAACACTCTACCGCTCGATCATTGACACTACCTGTTAGAGGTTATACAATGAGTTCACGGAGTAATGGACAACGTCGGTCAATTAAAAATTTTTTCTCTTTACGTCGTAAATCGTGATACTAACCGAACAACCTTGTAGTGCTGTTACATAGTTTTTGTCTAAGAAACAATGCATAATTATTCATATCTATATCCTTAATTCAAATTATCCATAAAATGAATTGTCTCAGCTTTCGGTATAATTCCATTTTTACATTCGTTTTCGTTGTTCGTATGAAATTAAATTTCGATAACTACCTTTCGCACAGTTTTGAAAATCTTTTCGATATTTTGAATGAGAATCACTTTCTCATCCCCTTTCTGTTTCTCTCAGACAAACACTTTCCTTGTCCACTGAAATCGCATGTATAGAAGCAAACATTCCAGTCTTCTTCCTTTAGTGATTAGACTTATATAATGTTCGGTAATCTTAAGCTCGAAATTTCGATTCTCTGTTAATAAACAATATTCTGATCTTTAATTCAAATCACAGCTAATTTGTTGTCGAAAGATATTTGAAATTAGTTCATAAGAACACTGATATCTTGTAAAAGCATTCATTAGGATTTTTCGAATTATCTGCTTTCTCTTTCGTTGTCTCAAATTATGTAATCTGTCTTCAGGAGTGCAATCATCAAAAGATCACTGAATGTGAAAAGCTCAAATCGAAGCCTTTTTTGAAAATATTCATTCCATTGTACATAAATCACATTACACATTTAAGTATTTTACAGTTGTTTAGACACAGAAATGATTACTTCTGATTAACCTGTACAATTCCATAAACGAAAAACATTTCTGAATGAATTGTGCAGTAATATAATTGCAAACAACTCCTTTCTTGTTCACAGCTCCGCAACATTCTGTATCACCAATGCTTTTCAAAAACATTTTACGGCTCTAACTATTCATAGTAATCAATAAAATATAATGAATAATCGCTACTTTACTTTTTCATACAGATTAGTAATGAGTAGGATGAGGAATATTTAGAAAGCGCTATGAATGTGCTCCTCATGAAATTAATCGTTCGTATAAGTGGTTCATTCACTCAAGATGTAGGTAACTATCTACTGACAAGCCTACTGTAAACGAATATTCGTACACTGGAGCCTAGGAAGAGAGAACGAATAAAATTAACATTGACTTCTGATGAATACGCATAGATGCAGGTTGTAATGCAGGGAAATCACACTGCCGATCTCTATTTCATTGATTGACGGAAGTTATAATTCATGGGTCATTCGATTCCAACTGATTGTCTAAATGATCAGAAGTCTCCCTGCAAAGCTTGGAGGTCTTGAGTTCAATAACTGTTAGGGTAATGGGTCCGAACTGCTAAGTAGTCCCTAACTTGTGCGAAACAAACAAATTTTCAGTGCTACCCAATATTCAATGTTTCTCTAATTGGCGTCAGTCTGTGATGAAATCTACCTTCAGTATCTTTATAATAAAAAAAACTTATGAATAAATAATGCATAATAATCGAGTATATTGTAAATACTAATCATTTCAGCTGGCTAACTTATGTGCTTCACATATCGAACCAATATTTTCTCAGACAATGTCACTTGATCAATTGGGATTATTTTAGTGAAAGGCTATAAGTGATCTCATCAAGAAGTGATTTCTACGCAAACATTTTCTGAGTACTACTTTGAATTTTGATTGGAAGAGGAGATGATCTGTCCAGAGTCTTTGGTGTAATGCAAACTGCCAGCGTGAGTGTGTTGGTAACGAGACCCTAAATATGTCACAGTAGTCTAGACACTTATAGTTTTCCATTGAAATTCCACGTTCTTCCTGACTATTACTCGAGCGGTTTTCGTCCATATCATAGCTTCATCTGATCTCTGTTCATTTTAAATGATCTATTTCTGTGTATGACAAGCAATAACAACCAATGGATCTCATTTACATGGTTAATGATGAAGTAGGTTTTGAAATTTGCTAACTCCATACATCTGAACACTAGAAGGTCGATATTATTTTTGTTCGCAAATCAATCACTATCGGAAATGCTACAGTGAGTGATACTTGTGATTCTCTTTTAAATATGTCACCGATCCACTCATAAAGAGTAGTCTTATTAAACAAATTTGATGAAATGAAGCAAATGGTATAAGTTGCATTAGAGGATATTGAGTTAAATATTTTCTTTTTGACGATTTTAATTTCATAGCTGTGCAATCGTGTATATATTTATGAATTACGGTAGACAATAACAATCAGTTTTTATGTGTGTGTGTGTGTGCGCGTGTGTTTCAATGTTTCACATTGTGTGTAAATAATAAAGTGCGATAGTATTGGTATAAAGGATTAGTTAGGGGTTACAACTGATTAGATTCAAATATGCATGGAATAAATACAGGTCAACCTAAAGTTCAATAGACTAGTGTGAAATAGGTGATCGGAAAAGGAAGTGCATTCGGGAATGTGAATATGTGAATATAACATACTGGAGACAAAGGATGAGTGAAATGTTGTCAAAGTGTAACAACAGAAGGCAAGAGTCAGGCAACAGAACGTTTTATTACGGAAATCAGCACGTATTTATATATATTTCATGTACATTATTATAGCTTTATCCAAGCAGACAAACACAGTCTTCTGATTGGTTGTTTCTTGCTCAAGGTGACTGGTTTCTCGGAAAGTTAAGCCATGTATCTGCGAATTTTATTCGCCCACGTTAAGTCTGCTGTGATTGGTTGTTGAATCAGCCTTGTTCATATTTTCTCACGGCCGATATCAGAGACCTAGACATTGACGTAAATTAACGTCTACCAGTTGGTTAGCAGCCTGCTCTCACACAAAAGTACTAGACAGGATAAAATGTTAGAACATGATAACATAAATAAATTATTTAAATTAATCCCAGCGTGTAAAGAAAGATATAAATCTGCTGAAGAAGCTGTGGCTTACATGGCGAAATGTTCAGAAAAATCTTGTTTTCATTTTCTTAACACGCTGGGATTAATTTAAATAATATATAAAGAATCAATCTGACTCGGCGCTCAAATTATTCCAGGAAATTCGTAACACCTGCGGTCTGGAAACCTATAATGATAACATAAAGTTAAAGAAAATAAAACAAAAATGGAATATGGAATAAAGAAGGATAACAAAGTTGTTATGTGAATTGCATAATAAAATCAAGACTATGATAACGGTAGATATCGTACAAATTGTTTTTGTATACAAAGCCCTGTCTTTATGTTATGTATTCTCAAAGTCACTGCTATACAAACCAAATGTACTCGTGTCCCTTTCGGTAAATATTATCGGACTTTTTGGACTAAATGGAATAATGTCAGATGCTGTGTGGTCAGTATCTCCATCCATAACTGAAGTCGAAAAACCTGCCTGCAATCTGAAGATAAGCTAATCAGCGGGACCTAATGGAATGCCACAGAGGTGTTTAAGGAAGGTGGAGACAACTCACTCTCTGCGTTAACTGAGTATTGTGAAGCGTCTTGGAATCAGAGATAGTCCTGTTTAGCTAGTGTAAGTTATTGATTTTCCTGATATACAAGAAGGGAGACAAGTCTTAATGTGATAATCACAGAGGGATTAGCTTTACTAATATGGCGTCTACATTTCTACTTTTGAAATGTTTGGCTGTGAAAGGAAAGCCGAGAAAACTCGTCACACTAATCAAGGTACTCTACTCGAACTCATGCAGTCAGCCAGGTGAGAGTCTACGGATATTTGTCATATGAGGTGGTGATAACCGACACCACTGGTTGTCGTCAGGGATGTCCACTTTTTATGTTTAATTTCGTAATAGACTACGTACCAATGAACTTAACCACAACTGACTTCAGTAACTCAGGGATTGACTTGTTACCAGGGAATAATCTCGTTGACTTAGGATATGCAGATGATACAGTCCTTCTAGGTGAAGACGCTGACAGAATAGAGTAGAATCTTGTGAACACCCTGAGGAGCAGCAATCTTCGAATTTTTGGCACGCTATTCACTCCCGTCAGATGTGGGATGATGAGGCTACAGGGCTGGACCACATCGACTCCTAGTTTAAATATAGAAAGTGAAGTGGTGGAGTGTGTTGACCACTGCACTTGTTTGGGAAGTTGCATTAGCCAAAGCCATGGGGTTGATCGTTGACACAATCACAGCAAGGATACCGAAGGCTCGTTCGGCGTAGACTGGTTCACACCCTCCCTGCCGTAGACGAGATATCTGGCTGCCCGCCAACCAAAGGGCGCGTGTGCTGCTCAACAGGTCACTTAGTCCTCCTTTGTGGCTATCAGTGGGACATGGCCATTGAGAGCGGAAGATATGGAAAGACTAGTTGTCCTTGATCATAGGTATCTGCGCTGTATCTGCCGTGTTAGGCGGCATACTGGGATGGCCAATATTGAGGTTAGACATCGGTTGAGTGTTAGGTAAGGAGGGGAAACCAATCGATGCGGTTGTGACAATACACCGATTGGGCTAGATGTTTAGGATATGCGTTACGCATACATCTCTAGAAATCGCCTTCCTCGACCGACGGGCAATGTTAACTGACTGATAAAGGATGGGTCAGGCTGGAAAAGTGTTGGCTAATGATGACCAAACCAAAACACGGCTTCATCAGTCAGTGAAATCCATAACCGTAATTTTAAACGAGAAATATCGGGAGATGTGCACTTCCTGGTTGGTGTCTTCCAGATGGTTATAGCCAATGACTAGAGACAATTGGTGATATGGCTCAAAATCGTTCTCGATGAATAGCGCAGATGGATCCACTCTCTGTGATTTATCATATCCAATAAAACTCTATTGTTCTCTCATAGTACCACTACATTTTTCCTCATTCACACGCTTTCTATTCTTTCCCTGTCTTTCCAATCCCTCTTTACTCTCTCCTCTTGCTTTGTGTGTTACAAGGAGGAAGAGTGGCAACTCGAACTGCTGCACATGTGTGCAAAGTCCTGTGTTGAAACCACTCAGTCAGTCAGTCGCAGTCCATATCCATTCCACGTGCTCTCGCAGATCCCATGCATTTCCATGCCGTACCTTCTCACTACTTTGGCCACCTGAACAGCATTCCAACCTTCGTAAATTTTGCAAGCATTCCACATCCCTATTCTCATTCTTGACTTCATCGAAAGAAGATACATTGGCTGACTGACTGACTGGTTTCACCAGTCCACGTCATTTCGTTTCTCAAATTCCAGTGAAGAACAAGTTTGTTTTTAGACATTTGTTGTGCTCTGAAGTCTCTGTAGTGATTTGATTGGTTCTCGGTAGTAAGATTGCTAGCCCCATGACCAACTCTCATTCAATGTCCGGGTTTGGCACCGGCTAGAATACTGGGTGAGGTTGGACCGATACCCACTAAGCAACTTTGGACATGAGATAATAATAATAGTTCAGTCATGCTAATTTTCACCTCACGGGTTCCTAGTGGGTCGTAGGTCTTTGGCAGCAAATCTTTATTCCACGAGAGTACCAAAGAACACATTATTGGTCGGCCTGCGAAATTTGGGCTACCGATATCCACGCTGAAAATCGCATACTTGTACCAGAAAAATACGGTGTGGAATCAAGCTGTAATCAAAAAATAAAAAAAAATATTGGGAATTTGAAAGACATCTCCTCAGTTGCCTAGTTCTGCACTGTCTTCTAGTGCCTGCTGTCTTACCATCCTCACACAGTATGGAAGTAAATTAATATTAATGCAAAATGTTAATAACTTCAACTGTTCGAATTTATTGAATTACTTAGATACGTGAAACTTTTCGAAGACATCTCAGACTGATAAAATCCGTTCGTCATAGTCGTGGCTGTCAACATGTATTTAGTGGTCACCTAACAACAGTCATCGTCCTTTGTATAGTTCTGGATGTTTGTTCTGGTTGAATTCTGTCAGTGAAGCTTCCAATGTGGTTGACAAGTTTTGGACTACTTTTAGATGATGGGTGAGAATCGACATGAATATCTAGATTTGAGCTTTGTGTCTAATAGCATTGGTAAACAAGGAGTATCTGTAGCCTCGAAGGAAGTGATACTATCCTAGAAATTGGAACACATGTCAATGGATGCAGCAGTCAGAGATGTCACCACTGAAGTATTTGAGCTGACACTTCACCTACTGAAAAGTGACCAATCGATGTATTCATCATCACAGTTGTATAACGGGTCAGCCACCAACCTGACTAGTTCAGTTGTTAGCTCTCTGACGACTAGATATCACTGACTTAGGGGTGAGAGATAAGTTTCGCTGACGAATGTTCATAGAGTGATATAAGTATAAAACTTTTGCGATGTGGCAGAGTATAATTCCATTAAAGATAAGATTTTATTTTGATAAATCACGCAGTGTTGTACAGTTATATGAACTGATGACGTTTCGAGCACAAACTATTGCTCATAATCATATCAAGTTACTCACACAACTTTGTTCTTTCATTTATATACATGTGTAGAATCGATTAGATATTGGATTAAAAATCAATGTGAGATAATGTACATTCAGAAATAATCGTACGAGTGTTGTTGATCAATTGCAATTAGATGGGAAAAATCGACGAGTGTTTTTACAGTCATAATAAGCTACTTGTTAGAATGCTGTGTTTGAATGTGTTTGAATTGAAATAGAATTTTAGGATTATTTATTATCCTCTTCTGATTTGACCTGCGGTAATAATATCTTCCATATCTCTGGTATTTGCATTGAGTCATTTTTGTTGCATGTGTTGGGTGTAGACTCGATAAATAAGGATTCCGTAATCAACCTCTCTCTCCACTTAGCTATATTACTTTTTAGAATAAGACCAATAGTAGATTTTAGAAATACCCCCACTTATGAATTATCAAAACACTTAGCTCTAATACTTTGTCCTATTAGAAATCGTTCAAACTCTAGACTAACTAATTCATATGAGATGAAAAGTAAGCTAAATGCCATTCGACTAGAGAATGATGAAAAAATGGTTAGTTTTGATATAACTAGTCTTTACACTAATATGCCAGTCACTACGGCTTAGAACCAGTTAAAAAAGAATTAACTGCGGATCCTGAACTGAATCATGGACAAAGCTGCCCATTGAAGAAATTATGTTAGGGATTCAGTTATGTCTCACATCCACCATCTTTAAGTTCCAAGGCAAAATATATAGACAAACAGAAGGTGTAGCAATGGGATCACCAATATCCCCTATTGTAGCAGACATATTTATAAACAGCTGGGAAAGTAGTGCTCTTAATACGTTTAACCCCACTCCAAAAATATGGTGGAGATATGTGGATGACACCTTCACGGTGTTAAAAACAGAACATATCTCTAGCTTCCTGAAACATATAAACTCACAAGTAGAGGGAATAAAATTCACATTTGAATCAGAAAATGAACTAGGAGAATTAGCTATGTTAGATTGTGAAATAAAACGAATAGAAGAAGGCAAACTACACACTAGTGTTTATAGAAAACCAACGCATTCTAATAGATATTTAGACTTTAATTCGTCTCATCCGTTAACTGTTAAGGCAGGCTTAGTAAAGTGTCTAACAAATCGAGCCATAGCACTAAGTAGCACAAAAAAAAAGACCTAAATGATGAAATAAAACAGATAGAAGAAGCGTTGGTGTTGAATAACTATCCTATAAAATTCATTAGGAAGATCAGTAAAAACCAAAAGCAAAATAAAAATAATGGTGAAACTATTAGTGATAACACAAATAAGAAAGAATATAAGTCATCCACTGTTATAGCATATGAGGAGAGGACATCTGAGGCCCTACGTAGGATTCTTAACAAAGCGGAATTAGGGTGATATTCAAACCTACAAACTCACTCAGAAACAAGCTCTGTAGGCTAAAAGACCCGGTGGATCCAATTAAACAAAATAATATGATCTACAAAATACCCTGCAATGACTGTGAGGCCAACTACATAGGTCAAACTAGTAGGTCAGGGATAGTCAGATTAACAGAACATACGAATTTAGCTGAGTTAATAATGGTTGACCCTGAAAAGATAAGTAATTTAGAAAAAAGCTCAGCTATTGCACTTCATGCAATAACAAACAACCACACAATAGGGTGGGATAGGGTTAAAATTCTAAAAAGTAATATAGCTAAGTGGAGAGAAAGGTTGATTACGGAATCCTTATTTATCGAGTCTACACCCAACACATGCAACAAAAATGACTCAATGCAAATACCAGAGATATGGAAGATATTATTACCGCAGGTCAAATCAGAAGAGGATAATAAATAATCCTAAAATTCTATTTCAATTCAAACACAGCATTCTAACAAGTAGCTTATTATGACTGTAAAAACACTCGTCGATTTTTCCCATCTAATTGCAATTGATCAACAACACTCGTACGATTATTTCTGAATGTACATTATCTCACATTGATTTTTAATCCAATATCTAATCCATTCTACACATGTATATAAATGAAAGAACAAAGTTGTGTGAGTAACTTGATATGATTATGAGCAATAGTTTGTGCTCGAAACGTCATCAGTTCATATAACTGTACAACACTGCGTGATTTATCAAAATAAAATCTTATCTATAATGGGTTCATAGAGTGATTGTTCACCCACCACATGCAATAGAAGTGATTCAGCGTGAATATTACAGATCTTGAAGATATTATTGCCAGTCAAATCAAAGGATAAGAAATAATGATTGAGTTTATTTTAAATCACATTGTAACATTGTCACAAGTTATTTATTTCACTAAAATACATCTTAATTCCCATCTTCTTGATTAAACACACTCGTCTTATCTTCCATCCTATTATATTTTGTTGACAACAGTAATATTGTTTCCGAATGCACTTTATCTTCCATTATGTTTCACGCAGGTCTTATACTGCTTCTATTCACATGTCTAATCAATCGTTACTCATGTACATGAACGAAACAAGAAAGTTCCTTGTGTGAGTTCCTTGACATGATTATGAGCAATAGATTGTGCTCGAAAAGGCTTCAGACTCTGAAGCACATAGAAGCACTGACTGACTCCACATTACTGCTGAAAATCCACATCTTGTCCTTTATACCTAGAGCAGCAGATTCCCACACTGACTTAAGTGTACTGACGATCTGTCTTGATTTTCCGATCCCACCTTTGATATTTTCTTCCATGATACCATGATACGATGCCGCCTAGAGAAGTGAAGGAAGTGACCTCCTTCAAACTACTCCTATTGATGGTGACTGGTGCTTGTTATTAGTGGATGGCTATCTTCATCACCAGTGTCTTCTCTGTGTTCACTTGAGTTCCTGTCTTCGCTTCCACTTCTGTCAAATTACTGGTTTTCGTCTGTAGATCTTCGAGTTTCTGTGACGTGAGAAGTAAATCGTCCACGAATTCCAGAACGTTTGGAGTATTCTTGTCGGCCAAAATTGCTCCTGTCTCCTCACCCATTAAAGATAAAATCGAACAATGTGTAAACGAATATCGTAGAACAGAATATTTGATAGATATGAATTCTTCGTTTTGTATTGTGTACATGCACTGCGTGGATATCACTCCTTTATATCAAACAATGACTACGGAAAACTAGGTAGTGTTTATAAAGAAGTAGATCGAATATCATTTTGTGTGATATTTATGTGAATAAGTGTTGTGCAGTGCAGAACAATACACATTCATTTTCGTTGGTTTATTTGATTTCACTCGACCAGTGGGTTGTTGAACACAATTTTACTGAGTATAATCCAATCGAACCAATGATGACTCACGCTACTGAACTTGAATTTACTTTTGACTAAGCCTGAAATTAATAAAAGAATAAGACACGTAATTCTGAGAATATTTTCCCTTTGATGAATTCATTTTCGTTAGCTGCACAAACGCATTTGACTACACTGTTTTCTCGTCAGAGAGGAGAATGAGAAAGCGATGAATGATAATGTGAACAGTTGCTAATATTAATCACTACACGTTGAGTGTATAAGGGTGATTGAATTACGTTATGAGATGAATTATTCATTTTTTTAATTATTTTTTAATTTTGATTACAGCTTGATTCCACACTGTATTTTTGGTACAAGTATGGAATTTTCAGCGTGGAGATCGGTAGCACTAATTTCGCAGGCCAACCATAGATATCAGTTGTGTGTGGGCTCGAACCCCGGACCATATGCATGGTCGGCGAGAGTCCTAACCACTGTGCCACGCACAGGGTGTGGATAGAAAAAAAGGAAATGTTTTGTTACTCAAGATTTAATGGAGGAGGGATAGATGAACCAGAGAGGGTTGGAGAGTTGAAATAGAGAAAAGAGTTGACTTGAAAATAATGAGGACCTCGTCTGATGATTGAGCAGGATATTTTGTGTGATATTTATTTGAATAAGAGTTGTGTAGTGCATATTTTTAATTAATATATAGAAACACAAAGAATTTCAAAGTAGAAACAAATGGTCTAGTGAAAAGTTACAAAGAATATACTCACAGAGGAGATTTTGCTAAACAAACTCAAAGGTATGATTCATAAGTGATTTGCAATGTGAAACGTTTCAATCTGAAAATGACATTGAAACAAATGGACACCAGATGGACTGTCTTTGCTGAATGACAGAACATTTTGGTTTATAGTAAAAGTCCCATTAGAAACTTGTTTAAATGCTGGCTTGTAATTTTCAGTTTCCAAATTCTTTCCGAAGACACTTTTCACAGAACATGTGTACGTATCATTAGGGTTTAGTTCAGTCACAATCACCTCAGGGCCAGTTATAACGAGTTGAATCTTGTTCACACCTGAAATGAAGCAGTCACAATAATTAATAACTCAACCGTGGTAGATAACATAACACTCTTCAATCACTTCATCGACATATGAGAGAGAGATTAAAGCGATCGAAATCAACCAACTCATTTCATTTCAACAGCTGGAAATCAGCTGAAGTGAAACCATTCATGACTGGATTTATTTTATTAGATAAGCTTCTATCACAAAGTCAGTTCTACTTTCACTATGAAAGAGATTACTAGGCTGAAGAGATTTCACTATTCTCTATATCATTCTGCAGCAAAAAACAAAACCAACCAAAATGAACGTCCATCTACTAATTAATATCCTTCACTTGTTTCCCAGACAGTTAACATGCACTTGATCTTCGTCGTCAAAATATTTCACTTATTATTTGGATTCTGAAAAACTGCTGTTAGGCATAACACCAGCTGGTGGTGGTGATATTTTTAAAATGTTTATGCTTATACACACTACCTACTTATTGATACATACCGAGAAATAGAAATTTTGCTTTTCTTGTAAGAAATTGATTGAAGGCACTGCATTTTACAAAGTATGAGAAAGATATTTTCGTCGGACTTGAGGAATCAACTATCAGTTTATTACCGAAGAAATTAACTCCAATCCCCGATTTCGGTTCCAGTGAAGGTTCTAAAATTTCACATTGCATTTGTATGTCTTTCAACACTTGAAATTGTCCTTCTCGTTCACCTTGTAACGGGATTGCGAAGTTGAATTCGATTTCTCCGTCAATCTCAAATAAATAGTAAGGCTTTCGTGGATTAAGCAGGAGTATGATTGTGGATTCTGTAAAAATTGAACGAAAGAAACACATTTCGATCAATTTCGTTATGTATCACAATATTGCATACTGTGTAGATTTGGGAACCTACTGAAAACATCGGTTGTGCCACTTGAGATTTTACCACTACCTATAGTTCTGTTGCAAAGGCATCCTTTCTTAACATACCAACGGCAACGCATAGTGACCCCTCGATCATACACCTATTATCTGCTCATCTTTCTGAAAGGAAAATATACACTGAATTTAGGGGAGAGTGTTTCGTTGTATTGTTTACAGAGGTTGGTATGCCCCATGACATGCTGTGCATAGTTCATTTCCCTTTTCTTTTGTTAGGAGTCGTCTACGATGAACGTAAAGATTCTTCTTGAATAGATAGGTCATGCTTCTTTATTATGCCACTCTTATTTCAATACATAATGTGCAAATAGTAAGGAAGAGCGTCAGCTGAAGATTAACCCATCAGTCAACGAAATGAGTGAAGTTGCAATAATTATCCAATACACCATATCACTGCACTGTTTACATCTACGGCGGTAACCAACACACGTCATGGTAAAAGCAATCGTCTCGTGAAAAATCTGAAGGGATATCATCACGGAATATATTCCGCCACACATCTGATGGCAACCAATTCCTCAGGGGAAGTTGATGAATTCATATACTCTGAGTGATACACAGAAAGCATGAATGAGTTGATGGATTAATGGTTGGATGAAGTATTAATAACTTTACAGTTGTAATCAGATCCAGAAGAAACGTTTGATCGGAAAAATAGAAAAGAATCAGAACAGTCTGATTTCTGACATAAAGACAAGAAAGAAGACTAAGCCGAAGTAGAGCTGATGGAATTCTGATATTTCAGAAATCGGCACAGGTTAATCATCAATATGCCCGAAGCCGATTAAACCATATATTTCGTTGTTTACATTGTATATTTTGATCGCGAAAATAAATACAAATGACCAAATCATCACAACAACTCAATATGTAATCTCAGCGGGTGAATCGAATACAGGAGACGGCTGATGAGTGGGTGAAACCAGTGTTGATAACTGGAAAGATACAAGTAAATTTCGATAACATCATGCTGAATACTACTGAATGACATCAGTAGTTGAAATCACTCATCACCTGATATTTATGGTCGGCCTGCGAAATTTGGGCTACCGAAAACCACGCTGAAAATTCCATACTTCTACCAAAAATACGGTGTGGAATCAACCAGTAATCAAAAATATAAGATAAAAATAAAATAAACAACAGCGTATATCATCATGCTACTTTTGCTTTCTTTACTTACATCATCTATGACATTGAGCAGATCACATACTGGGATGAGATCCGCCCTACTTTATTGAACTTTGATGCTTTTCTCAGCAAGTACCATCGATTATTTTGAACAAAGCAATAACAACACCTGAAAGAGGCCAGAACGGATTCATTTTCTCCGCCAGTCTCTAGTTGAATGCTGGCAATAATTCAAAATACTACGAAGCGTCTTCGTCATACGATAATTATATCTGATATGTGTAGCAATCAATCGTCATTTGTTTAGTCCATAAGCATTGATGATAGGTAATAGGACATTGTATAGACTTAATTTAACAGGAATTTTCGTAAAAGGCGATCGATATGAATGATTTGAAATGATCCAAGCAGTTTTATCGATTTTTACTGACTGATACATAGTTATTCAAGCGATTTTGTCTTATTAGACGTTCCTTCTTACAAGAATTCATGAAACATGCTGTTAAATTCGGCATTGACTGTACTAATGCAACTAGTAGAGATTCTGATCATTCTGCATATGCACGGCGGGGGTTATGGTTTGTTAATAAATATGAGTTTCGATTACCATATAATTGATAAATCATTACATGAGTCACTTATTCTTTGTGTACCACCTGACTGTGACCGTAATAAGCCATCAGAATTCACGTCCTGTCTATATCAGAAGCTTTCCTATGAACACGAGAAAGTACAGTTGCATAATTATATAATTCCTGCGGATTACTTCCCACAGGGAGTCTATCTCCTTACGTGTGATGCACATTTCACCACTTTATTCTTTATGAACAATCTGATTCGCTATTTGGATTGCTCCGCACATCCTGATGCAATATTCGTGGATGATCAATCGTGGAACTCAGTGAAACTGTGTGTGCATCGTCCTCCAATGACATCAAACTGGATCAGTTTGCTCCCGAATATTACCGATATAACATTTGGTTCCGTTAATTGTCACAGTGTTCGCGATCATGTTGATTTTGTGGGGAGTGAATTAATCATAAGGGATCCTGATGAGGTGAAGATTGGTCAAATGGACGTAACATGCGATAAGGAGAACTATATGAAACCGATGTATTTACTGAGTAAGCAATTTATTTATTACTGTTGAATATCACTGGTTTGGAGAGTAATAAATTATTTATTAATGTAGTTTTTGAGATCATCACAATTTTTCAGCATAATATGTTTAGATCTCTCTTTTTATAATCCCCTGTATTAGGGGTAAAATGTTGGATTAATTTAAACTTACATTAAATGGAATTTCAGGCAAGAAGAAATCTGAAGTTGCTGGTCTACGTCCTGTCAGAAAAACTGATCACAATAATTTGAATTTAGAAATTGTATAGTTTGAGGATTGTTGTAGGCTGACTGAAGTATTTCTCAGATTAAGTTAAAATCCCAAAATCAACTTCACCAACTGTTTGAAACCTACTTAATGTAGAAACCAATTTTGTACTCTATCAATTACCTGACGAAAACACTAGAGCAGTTGAGTGTCACAGATGTTTCTTTTTCAGTTCTCACTATTCCATTTGTTCTCTTATTCCAACTGAAATTCCTAACCTCTTTCAGCTCATAGATAGTCAAACAACTTCACGTCTGAGAAGATAGAATGAAATAAAAAGTAGTGATAAATCAGTTATTTGATGATGGGTGCATTCGTTAGAATTTCCAGGTGTGAATGTAATCATACTGAGAGCAATTAGTAATTAATGCATCGATTTGAAAGCAAATCAGACAAGTTAGTGAACGAATTTCCTGAGTTGGTTAGTAAATGTATCCAACACACTACTGCTCATAGTGTGTTCTGGAAAATAGAATTCCCGTCAAACTGAAGTGTGATATTAACCCATGAGGTCAGTAAGTCAACATGCGTTGCACCGGATAGTCTATGAAACACTTCGGAGCACTAATCTACTGTCAGGATATAGGCCTGAAACTCCTTAGTGATATGACAAAAACCGATGAATTTGTCATTACCATTACATGACATTTTACTTCATACTATTTTTTTGTATAAAAGAAGCCATGCCAGTACAAAATAAGCAGCCTGAGGTTTACCTACAGAAGGGATTTGTGCGACCTCTCCCTTTAATTTGATCCTCATGTTTCATAGTTTACACAATGCTGACAAAATTCCTTCAGGTTAATATCCTGTTTCACTTTATTTCGCCCCACTGATGCAATAACTAATGAAAAATCTTACAGGGATAGGTTTCATGAGTTACACAACTATCATCATAATAATAATCATAATAGCTGTCATAATACTGCTAGCAAAGCGAAACTTGTATTTCAGAAAATATCAGCAAAACATGCCGAGTGGTTTACAGACTGCACCAAAAGCCACTGTCTACTAACAATATTCTGATATTACCCCGTCGACTAAGTGTGCAATATATGCTAATAATAACCATGCTCTGTGCACTATGGCTCATTTCGACCTGATATTATGCGTGAAAAGAGAGAACTGACTCCTCCCTTTTAGTGAACGTTAGAGTGTCATTGAAAAATGGTATTGAAGACAGTTGTGGAAGAATTCCTACTGAGAAGATTCTCACAGTGGTTTAAAAGAGTATTTCAGCGGAGAAAAGTTCCTACCGGCAATCCACCTAGTATTTAAATGCAACTCTACTTATTACGATGTAATGTAGTCAGGTAAATCATTCTATTTTCAGTAAGGACCAATTTGATCATTTTACTCCTCATAAAGTAGTCACTACAAACCAGATCAAAACTGGCTATGCTGAAGAATTGTGATGATCTCAAAAACTGCATTAATAAATAATTTATTACTCTCCAAACCAGTGATATTCAACAGTAATAAATAAATTGCTTACTCAGTAAATACATCGGTTTCATATAGTTCTCCTTATCGCATGTTACGTCCATTTGACCAATCTTCACCTCATCAGGATCCCTTATGATTAATTCACTCCCCACAAAATCAACATGATCGCGAACACTGTGACAATTAACGGAACCAAATGTTATATCGGTAATATTCGGGAGCAAACTGATCCAGTTTGATGTCATTGGAGGACGATGCACACACAGTTTCACTGAGTTCCACGATTGATCATCCACGAATATTGCATCAGGGTGCGTGGAACAATCTACATGGCAGGTCAGATTGTTCATAAGGAATAATGTGGTGAAATGTTGATCACACGTAAGGAGATAGACTCCCTGTGGGAAGGAGTCCGTTGAAATTATATAATCTTTAAACGGTTCTTTCTCTGATATAGACACGACGTGAATTCTGATGGCTTATTACGATCACAGTCAGGTGGTACACAAAGAATAAGTGACTCATGTAATGATTTATCAATTATATGGTAATCGAAACTCATATTTATTAACAAACCATAACCCCCGCCGTGCATATGCAGAATGATCAGAATCTCTACTAGTTGCATTAGTACAGTCAATGCCGAATTTAACAGCATGTTTCATGAATTCTTGTAAGAAGGAACGTCTAATAAGACAAAATCGCTTGAATAACTATGTATCAGTCAGTAAAAATCGATAAAACTGCTTGGATCATTTCAAATCATTCATATCGATCGCCTTTTACGAAAATTCCTGTTAAATTAAGTCTATACAATGTCCTATTACCTATCATCAATGCTTATGGACTAAACAAATGACGATTGATTGCTACACATATCAGATATAATTATCGTATGACGAAGACGCTTCGTAGTATTTTGAATTATTGCCAGCATTCAACTAGAGACTGGCGGAGAAAATGAATCCGTTCTGGCCTCTTTCAGGTGTTGTTATTGCTTTGTTCAAAATAATCGATGGTACTTGCTGAGAAAAGCATCAAAGTTCAATAAAGTAGGGCGGATCTCATCCCAGTATGTGATCTGCTCAATGTCATAGATGATGTAAGTAAAGAAAGCAAAAGTAGCATGATGATATACGCTGTTGTTTATTTTATTTTTATCTTATATTTTTGATTACTGGTTGATTCCACACCGTATTTTTGGTAGAAGTATGGAATTTTCAGCGTGGTTTTCGGTAGCCCAAATTTCGCAGGCCGACCATAAATATCAGGTGATGAGTGATTTCAACTACTGATGTCATTCAGTAGTATTCAGCATGATGTTATCGAAATTTACTTGTATCTTTCCAGTTATCAACACTGGTTTCACCCACTCATCAGCTGTCTCCTGTATTCGATTCACCCGCTGAGATTACATATTGAGTTGTTGTGATGATTTGGTCATTTGTATTTATTTTCGGGAGTAGAATATTTGGTGTTTTTTTTAGATCGATAGATAGTTAAATGGATTGGTTTTATCTTCTGAAAACACACGTCGTTTTGTTTATGTTGCCTCCTTCTTTTACATCAGTAACTGTGAAGTAATTTATCTTCAAACGACAATGCCTTTGAAGTGGAAACTCTTAAGTACAAGAAAATATATGTGGATCCTGCATCACTAGAAATCTGCTGTGGTTGTCTATGTCACACTCTCTTTGCATTGATTGTTCATCAGTGAGTGTTTTTTTTGATTTTTTAAATTCTTAATATGTCCGATTTACGTTGATGCAAACATTCACGACAAGGATGTGATAACACTTTTTGAAAGGCTATCTTTGGTTTTCGCTTCTTCCATTAGTCAGGCCAATAATATCAAACGGTCTCTCATTACAGTTTCACTGTTCAGATCAACAGAGAAAGAAATTGGCTTCCTAATTTATTGATTTTGATGTATACTCGACGACTACAAACCCAAATATGAATACTTGGTGTACATCTGGTTAAATGAGAACTAGTTCTATGAATAGCTGGAATCGAATATCCCACAGGTGGTTCGCCTTCTTCAACTGATGTTTTCGAATTCTATTTCACAGATAAGAATTTTGAAGCACGGTTTTGAACGATTTTCGTGTCAGGTAATATGATGATGTCTGGGAACACTTCTGACCTGTGTTGTCCTCCATATTTGATGATATGCGAAACACCCATATGGTTTAAATGAAAGCGAAATAGACGAGCAAAGAGTATTGTTTCGGTGGCGTCTTGTGGCGTTACGTAAACGCCTACAATGGTTAGTTATTAACATTGGTTTGTGAAATAACATCTGAAGTCGTGTCACAGAAAATAATGATGAATACCTTGCAAAACTTGATTGAGTACTGCTAGGTAGTCCGAAAGACTTCAGTGGAACATTTCACCCAGAAATGAATATTACTGAATTTGTAAGAGCATGGAAATAGGAATATCGTTTATAAGAGGAAGAGATTCTAAATATGTAGAAGGTGTGTTGTAAAGTTAGCAGTTTGAAGAGAAGGAAGAAAAAACGAATGAAGATTGATGACACACCGAATTAACGTACGAATAAAGAATTATTGTTGAGTTGTAAGGGAGGTTTGAATCTGTGGTAGTGAAATGGGTCAGTAAACTGCTTTTTTACCCACCTTTGATAATTTCCTGTGTTTATTCCAGGGGCTTTTACTGTGGACAAATCAAGGTCACAAAGTAATATGTGCATATACAAATATACGTGTGAACTTCAAGAGATTTCTATTTTGATGCAAAATGATGTGTAAGAACAGGGTTCTTATGAAGTGAACTCTTGATTTGACTGATTCCATCTGCGTCACGATATAACAATTGCTTATCTTTTAAATCTAACTGTTTCAAATGACCACTGAAGCATGCAAGCTCTTGTTCTAATAAATTGGGACTTCTCTGTAAACCTGGTAAACCTTGTTTTCATCCAGAAGCTATGGAATCTGATGGAGCTACATGACAATAATTCTGACTATGACATATTCGCTCTTCAAAATCCTACTACAGTTTATTTGTTTGGCGATGAAAATAAAAATGGATGGAAATAAAAGTATCAGGTAATTGTGGGTAAAAGTCAAAGACTAATAGCTGACTGAAAGACGGATCTGAGGAATTTCGTTGAGAAATTGAAGTGACAAGACGTTGTTTTCTTGGTTCTTATGAAATGAGAGTGAATCGACCAAATGGATGAAATCAGGAACAACAAATGCCTGTTTGAAAGTATTCATTACATTTCGAAGTTGGTTCATGAGGAAAGTGTTTGTTACATTGGTAAATGTGTTAGTAAACTTGTTAAAATCTTTTATAAATAACATCTGAATTTAGTAATAATATAATGTAGTATACTGTGATCACACAATGAGCAACAACTTTCAGTCTAGATTTCAGAGGTCATTATTGCATTTAGTAAGGTTAATGACCTGTCCTTTTTCTTTGAAATGTATTGTACTGAAATTGTAGTAGTCCATATGTCTACCACAGTGGCCAAATTCTATTGTCACTAAAAGCAACTTATCTACTGAAGTTTTCGTTGCCAAATATTTTTAGGCATTTTGGCTATATTTTATTTATTTATTTATTCTATTAACATTTTGAAATCCACTTTTGTTAGAAGTCTTAGGCTATGCGTATTGTTGTAATTTTTAAGCTCTTTAGGATTGCGAAATTTGCAATAGAATCACGTAAGTGTAATTCACTAGACCAGACCCCAATAGCTATCCTGCTGATTAATGTGTTGTGAAGTCGTCATTATCTTTTCATCCATACATCTGTGAGTTTTTCATATGTATCCACATGATATGTGTTTTGCTTTTGACAGTCTATTTTATTTTGCTGTGTATATGGATCGATATTTCATCATAACTGACAAGATGATTTTGTCTGATTTCCCTCTTTCCGCGTCCGGACTATTAACTACTCGACGAGTACATAACAGTTTTAGCGTGAATAGTGTTTCAAACGCTTCATCAGTGAACGTGCAGCGTAGAAAAGTAAACTGTTTTGGTTGGGGTTCCTCAAACCTATGAAAAGTATCGATAAGAATTACTTCTTCAGTAAAATTAAATAAGAGCGTTTTAAATATGAATAGAAAAGTCGACTAACTTTGCATAAAGCTTTTACTCTTGGTCTACGATTGTTGGCTTCGAGTATATGACTTTTTAGCTGTCTTTGCAAACAGTGTATTACCATTAATCTTTGACCAATTTGATAGGCTTTTAATGGATCAAGTTCCAAAGCTTTCGATAGGTTTTCAATTTGTGACAACTTCTCTCTGACCCATGCACCTTCCAAGGTTAGTTCTACCATACCTTTAGTTGATGTTTGCAGAAGTTGTAAATTCATTACTTTTTGATTCAGTGGTTCATTTAATGCTGATAATCTACGCTCAAGATCACTGATAATTGCAGAAAACTCCTCTCTTTGACTGAAATCAGGTGCACTAGCTTGATTCTGAAAGGCATTGAATCAGAGTAAAACATGAATGATATTTTATTAGTGGTGAATACATGAATTCCAGTGTAGATCTGGAACTAAATTAAAATTATTCGTTCCCTCGGAATCCCACATCGTCACTTCCAATTCTAGTTCCACTCGAGTATCAAGGTTGTGATGTCACTTGAACATCTCAGCTTATGTCCAATCCATGTGCATTTCCCTCTGCATATTCATTGGATGAGGGTAAGAACACTGAAGAAATGCATAGTAGAAGTGACTGCTACTTTAACGGAATAATTGTTTAGAGAATACCTCCTGAACGGTACAGTTACAAAATTGATATTTATTTGGATGTTTCAACAAACGTTTTAATTATTTGCCTCTTTTCTCCATCCTACATATCAGTGTTCTAACGTGTGTATATTACCGACTGACTCAATCCATATTGTTCGTCTTTGTTCCCATTCAAACTTTAATTTTACTGCTTCTCTTTGTGGTTATGTGATGAAATTAATGGTGTGTTGTCTTACCACTGCCACCTTGTTTGAGTGAGTCAAGGTCATTCTGACCTTGGACTATCCAACGGAATCGTTTTGGCGTCTGATTCGTGCCGACAGATTGATTATCCTACTTTACTGAAAATATTCTGCTGGATACTCAGTTACTTCCCGCGGTTGATTTGGCTAAATAACTTTGTTGTAGGGTATTTAATTTATAACTGAGAGGGAATTTGGGGTGTATAGCTGCCTGACGGCATTCTTGAGGTAATTTGGCTTCAGGATATGTTACTTTAGTTAATTAGTAAGGTAGATTTTATTGGAATATCTCTCTTTCCACTTTCGATGGGACGTTTCGTGATTATTAGTAAGTAAATGTAGGAAGTTTTGTTCAGCTATACAGTAGAAGGAAAAAATCGGCTTCCTGTGTTCAGACCCCAGCAAGTCGGTTTCGGTCATCACGGCTACTACGGTCTTATTTGTAAAATTTTCCTTGTACAACCCTAGAATGAAGAATTTGTAGAGAAAATGCCGTATAAACATTCACCGTACATTGAACAATTTGCCCAAGAAATCCGCTTTCCTCAGTGCTTTCATCATTAATAAGAAATTAGAAAGTGCCAGATATTTGAAATGATGGATACGTTAAGATGCGAATACTGTCAACCAAAATCACAAGACGTTTTATGCTTCACAACCATCTGCATAATCCTTGATTACATTCGGATTCAAATTACCTTCGTCCTAACCTAAGTTCCAACTAAACCAAGACTGTTAAAACATAAGGTTTGTTTCATAGGCCGTGCATTTATACTTCTAGATTTTAATCACCAAAATGAATAATCGATTACGCGAGTAAAATATATCATATTGTCACTCATCAATACATCAAACCTGTTGCCAGGAGAACGTCTCTTCATCTGATTACACAGCTCTTCATATGCAGACGCATTTCGCTTTAAAACATTTGACGCACACTTTTGCAAATTTGTGGCTACATAGTTACTAGATGGCCACATTTATAATGAACGTATTCACTTTCAACAGGACAATACGTCCGAATTACACATCGTAAATTTTTTTTCGGTATCCAATGTACTAGACTTTAATTAAGGATGGCTCTCTATCGGAAGGTTAATATTTCTCACCTAATTTAAGCAGTGTTTAGTTTAATATTCACATAAGTCTCATGAAAAAATTAACCGTCATGAATTAGTCTTTGACATACGTACTTAGACTGCAAGTTTCTAAAACTGGTATAGTGTCACTAGGGTCAGGTTTAGCTAGACAACGAGCATTTTTGGATATTGACAATTATATCTTACAGATTAGAACACCAAAGTTTACTGTCAGATGAAACCAGAGTGATAAGCTCAATTTTTATATTTATATCAATAACGTAGTGATAAGCACTAAATATTGAGACAAAATCAAAAGACATAGAGAAACGCTATCGAGCGACATTAATAGCTGAATCGAGTCGAATACTTCCTAAGATTCCCCTTGTTTTACCTTTAAAATATTTATAACACTGATCCTGTCTGCATAATCTTTAAGTCTTTTTTCAAACTCCTTTATCTGTGTTTGCAATGTGGTCATATCAAGTTCATCAGGTGGTGGTAACTTGTCACATGAAACACTTCTAAATGTCTGTTTTGCTTCATATTCTAATCTGTGGTTCTATATGTGTGTAAATTTATGTGCAAGACATCTGACGGAGCTTTACAATCTTATGTTGCAATGTCTGCTTATATTTTTGAAAAATCCTAAGTATTCATAAACTATCAAAATCATGCCAACTATGGTGCTTCGTGGTACAGAACGGTTTATGATGAATTTAAGTAGTGGGAAGTTGAAATATCCTGATATTTCAACTGGTGAAGCAACAAGTATCACTTTTATCGATAAGACAACATGATCTAAGCAAACCATGTTGCATTTATCATAGTAATAAATAATTCCTGAATATGACTGTAGGAAGAGTGATGATATCTCCTTGCGTCTATACGAAGCTAATTGGCCGTTGTAGAGTCAATGAGTGAATAGCCGTCGTCACATCAGAATTTCATTTATTCCTGTTAAGGCGAAAAGAATTCAGAACTCTCTTACTTAGTGAATTTCATCGTACGACTCATGATCACAATGAATCCGCTTCTCAAGATACTGAAGATATACAAGACATAAAAGTCTAGTTGACTGGGTAGGACAATTAGTCAGGGAAAACAAAAGATAAGGAGCACAGGGTCATTTGATGTTTGATCAATTAGGCACACAAGTGACATATACTGAAGTTCATCTAACTAGTACGTTTTCGCAGATTTCGGTGATGTTACTATTCATAATTATATATGTACACTAAGCCTAATTAACTTTGATATTTGTTATTCGAGTAAACAGGAGTACTAACAGGACTTAGGTGATTACTCATTCAATTCACTCTATTTTGACAACCTACTTTGTCGATTTACAAACCTGTTTCAGGAAATTAATGATTATACCGTCTTAAATATGTTATGGGTTAAACTTGTTCAACATACTTCATCTACTGCAAATTAATTATCTCGCGAACAAAAGTGATTTTCTTGACAGGATCCATCATGGTGAAGTAGGAGAAAGATACAATCCATAAAAATCCCATTCGCTTTTCATGTAGTTGATGGACATCTGAATGACACCAACAAAGCATCAGTCCGAAGTGTCCAGCATACTCGAAAATGTGATAAAATTTATTGCGTGAAAGCTAAAACTCTGTTTGGAAGAAACTGTCTCAGCTTCACTTAGCATGTAACGACGCAGGACAGCTCAACATACATGGAATTCAAATCAAATATAAAGAAAGTATAAAAATATCCATCTCATCAAAGTGAATAACTTGTTCGGAGTAGTATCAACTACAAAACGGTGTTTACATCAAATGTTTATTCGTGATGAAGCCTATTGAATAAAGTCAGATTTGCAGTTTAATTTCTTGTGGATTGACATTGGTGGATTCAATCTAAACAAACCTATCCTACAATCAAATGTATGCGTGAACAAGTCTGAATATATATACCCATTAAATATACACATCTCGTTGGTTCAGCTACATATGTGAATCACTAAAAGCCAGGTAAAGCCTACTATCCATCAGAAATGGCACTGATGCTGTATCATATAAATTGACATAATTTAGAATGCATGGGTCAATGAATTCCAACTTGGTGGCTTCAGTGGTCATGATACTCGTCAAGTGACCTGGTGGTTGTCGATTCAACCCTTGATGAGGTGGCAGGTGAGCAGTTCCGAAAATATTAAACAGACACAATAGCTGCTCATGGCTACATGATTATCAGTGGATTCATGATTAAATTTGCTTTGAAATCAATATTTTGTTGGTATTCGAGGAATGTGGAATCTCAACAGCAGAAAATACACTTTATCTTTTCTAACACTTCTCACCAATTCTATGTGTGTCTTTGAATCTGTGGTGTTGCATTTAAAATATGTTGTTTGCATCCAATAAATTCCAATGAAATTCTTCACTTACCTTTATTATCTTGACCAATTACATTTGAAATATGTCGAACTAATTCAACTAGTTCCTCCCAACGTGTATGCAGGCGATCTAGATGTCTTTTCACATCATATTCCAAATCTGGATAAACTTCAATAAGCTTCTGACCAACCTTAAGAAGAGAAAAGTATGTCAAACAATCAAGGAATAAGGAAGTTTGTTTGCAAATGTAACTGTCTTAGATATTAAAATTACATAAAAAGATGCTTACTACGCAGAAATAATTAGTTTGTCAATGCTTCTATGAACAAGTCAAGTAGAAACTAGGAGTTGACAAACAATAACAGATCATTCACATACATGTAATGGTGTGAAAATACTGTATTCGTAAACAGTTATAAATGTCTTTTACAAGGCTGAACTGCCTTTTCTGTCTCCTACTTCAAGAAGTAGCCTAAATATCCTGATTAGAGAGTAGATAGCTTGCTGTAGCTTCGTTTTCCGTGTTTGTGTGAGTATCGGCGATCAGGTTGTATTAAGTGTATTCAAAAGTGTAAATGGTTTCCCGCTTTCGGATAATTTCAAGAAGTATCTCGAACCATAACAAAAATAACAAATCTTGCAAGTTAACATGTCAGAGAAATGTCTCTTGTTGTACAAATATTTATACTGTCAGCATGATTCTGATGGGTTGTTACAGATACGCAATAATTTCTGTCAGGTGGTGAAGGTTTAATAGTCGGACACTCCTCACTCAGTAACTGTAGTTCTGTTTATCTTTTCACAAACCGGAAACTTAACATACAGTAAATTTCTAACGGAAGGATAACAATAATTCAACTGATTGTCCAGTGGAATCATATTAGCGATAAAAATGTTCAGGATTGTTTAAAACAATAGTTTTATTGATTAATTGAGAGAAACAGCCTTCCACTAATACCTTTAACTTCAAGGCCTACCTCATTCAGAACTGGAATATTGTCATCCAAGATAAAACAGTTACAGAGTGTTTCTTGATTAGCAGTCGGTCATCTTCTGGTTAAATGCACTTGCTGAATTATTCTACTTTGCAATTAACTGAATATTCGAAATCTCAGCAGCTCTAAACAACAGTTGCAGTTATAATTATTTCATCTTCATTAAATTAAACCAGTGGAAATGGAGACACGTAGACCAAGATAAAATTAAGAATGCATTAAATTGTTTGGAGATAACAAGTTTCAAGTGTTACTTTGATGCTGAAAGCGGTAGGAAGCCGATTAAGCCAGTCCACTCAGCCTCTTAAGCGAAGGAGAAAAAGAAGTCAGTGTAACCACATCTTAAATGCTTCTGATCACAACCCTATTTCAAGAATCTTACGCATGGAGTCATGGTGTAATGGTGAATAATTTTAGTCAGTCCCGTTGTCACATAAACTAGTATGACGCTAAGAAAAGATGTTATCACACTTTCTTGGTATTGTCACAGCAATCTACAAAGGTAACTAGAGTTTAAATCTTACATTGTAGTGAGAGATAACTAAGTTCACTGTTGTATCGCAATACGGACAAAGGATATATAGATGCAAGCCCTCCATGAGTGACACAGATTTCGATCATCACACTACTACTGTATATCAGTCAGAAGTTGAAACTTCACATAGAATGAACAGTGATTGTGTTACAAACAACCGATTATAACATCTATCATTTGTTTGGTATCGGTTAACTACCTACCAGAAAGTGGGTTCCATGAAAACCCTGACACCTTCTCGACCATGGAATAATTGCTGTTGCTGTTAAGTCTGAGACATTTTAAAAATGACTTACGAACACGTGTCCACTAAATGCCTACTTTCACCCTCGTATCCTTCATTTGTGTTATACACACAACTATCATAGGAAATTACTTAGTTCATTATACAAACGAAAGTTATAAATATCGTCGAAAATCGTTACTATCCAACTTCTGACCTAACAGGTTACAGTATTTTGTACGACTTATTATGCCAATCTTGTGTGACGGCTAGTATTTCGACTTTGGTGGCTACCACAAGATTGATATAAATTAAGTTTATTATCAGCGTCACATACCTCTCAGCACTTTCACCCATTCAATCTAAATCTGAACGGAATGAGTCAATATTGTCGGTGCGACTACAATATGATTCTAGGAAGATATCACACGAATATTAGTCACACACATAGTAAAGATCCTAAGAGTTCTCCATTGAACGTCTTCAGTGTCTTATCGAAGTCGAATGCTATTGCTGGAGAAGCAGTTGTCGCCTCAGATCACACGCAAAGACGTCTGCATCAAATTTGAAAAGAATAAATGTTTTGGAGAAGAAACAATTCTCTGGCCGTAGTAGATATAAATAAAAAAACTGCATTAGGGTAGCTTGCTAATACGTGAACAATCGACGAAACTGATTACAGATAAACAAAACCCCGATGCTAACCAATTCATTAAGTGTTATGTGTTGAGAGGTGTTTGTGAGCAGAAATTACGTATACTTAAACTTGGCGTCCCATGTTACTCTTCTCCAAACTATGTCTGAGTGAGCAGTTCCATGAATAATTAGTACCATACAGCATAAACAGAGATTTGAAAGTGTAATACATATAACATTCTCTGATAAACTCCGTAGTTCATTAATCTGGTAAAGGATAGACTCGTTATTCGAGTGTTGAGTTGCACTGTGAGCAGACATTACACAGCTTCAATTGTTACAAACAAGTTACTTCACTTTTAGTATACTGTCTCATATTTTATGAATAAAACCTTTAGTAAAAATGATTCATGGAAATAAAACACGAAATGGTCTCCTAAAATGTTCTACTAGAGCAATTTAAAACGTAACACTGTTCTATGTCAGTGAGGTAGCACTGTGCGTTAGTGGCATAGTGGTTAGCACGCTAGATGACCATGCAAATGGTCCGGGGTTCGATAGCCTGCCGATGCACACCTGATATCCATGGTCGGCCTGCGAAATTTGAGCTATCGATATCACATGCTGAAAATTTTATACTTGTACCAAAAACACGGTGTAGAATCAAGCTAAAATAAAAAAGAAACTACTCCTTAGCACGTGTCATGCATTTTGAAAACTCAATGAACTTGAATTCGAAATAAAATGATTATTTGCTTTTCAATGTAAACGTTTTATGAATGTGCAGTCAATTTAAGATTATAGCAGGTACTTTTATGACTGAAATATGAGCAGCACTCTGATCTAAAGAGTGATTAAGCAAGTTTTTTTAAATTTTATATCTAAATGAAATACTTGACGGCATAAAATACCGGAATGCATAAGACTTCTTAACTGAGGGATTTCAGAGCGTTACATACAATGTGTTATTAAGCCCAATTGGAATGTGTGTTGTGTATCCAAATGTGGAAATTGTAGTTTTGATATTTTACTCTCAGTGCAGGGGAAATGTTTAAGAACGAACGTTTTCATCCACTGATTGATCGCTAGGATTCACTCAGTGTCATATATGCAGTCCTCATTGTTATTACTGGTTAGATTCTACCGACCAAGCTTGTAATGTGGTCATCTAGCCAGGTAAGACTTATCATCACGGTGCCTTTGGAAGAAATACTGGTTGGTTGGAAGCAAACGATAGGAAGTATTTATAACACATCCTGTCTCAATTGGTATTTTTGGAAGCTTAAACGTCTGTAGTTTGAAAACAAACTCATAACCTGATAGGAAGGCGTATAATCATACAGATTCCATTGTGGGTAAAATTTACTTTGATAAAGTCTCACAGTTTTATACATTATTATTTTCTGATGACGTTTCGAGCATAATTTAGTGTTCATAATTCTATCAAGTTACTGACATTACTTTTTAACTTCGTCTATATAATTCCATTATTTTTCATCACTTGACTTGATTGGTAGTAGTACTTTCCATGTTTTTATGTATGATTGATGAGTCATTCCCACTTTACGTATTGGGTGTAGATTCTATGATCAAGGATTCAGTAGTCAACCTCTCTCTCCGCCTACCTATATTACGAAATGTTTGGGAAGAAGGAAAGGTACCTACCGAGTGTAAGAAAGGCTACTTCGTCAAGGTGCCAAAGATTGACGACTTGGGCCTTTGCAAGAATCAGGCTATTGTCCACGCCAAGTAAGCTACTTAATCGCATCATCCTGGAGAGAATGAAAGAGGCACTGGACACAGAACTCTGCCAGCACGGGACAAGCTGGATTCAGGAAAGGCAAATCATATGCTAATCAAATTGCAACTCTACGAATCATCATCAAACAAAGCATATAAATCTGCTGAAGAAGCTGTGGCTTACACGGCGAAACGTTCAGAAAAATCTTGTTTTGATTTTCTTAACACGCTGGGATTAATTTAAATAATTTATAATGAAAGCATATAATGGTAGTCAAAACTCTACCTCAGCAGCCTCATCGACTTCGAAAAGGACTTCGCCAGACAGCGTAGACCAAGATGGAATTTGAAAACTACTTCAACACTACGGTGTGCAATGACCAAGTCTTTATCAACCTCATTCAACAGATATATGACAGGTGCATGTGTCAGGCGATCTACAAAGGAAAACTCAGCAAGGCGTTCGAAGTGCATACAGAAGTAAGACAAGGCTGTTCGTCTATAGTCGCCGATGATATTCTTAATTGTGGTGGATTGGGCTATATGTCAGACTTTCCGTGGGGAGCGAGGAGACAGGAGTGCACTATACCATCGATAGGAAGACGCTAGAAGATCTGGATTTCGCGGATGATACATGCCTAATGTCACACAAACTCGAAAACGTCCCGGTGAAAGCCGACAAACTGGCTGAGGAAGCAGTCAGCGAAGACAGGACTGCAAGTGAACTTATAGAAGACGAAGCTGATGAAGATAACCAACGAACCGCAACAACAACAACCATTACCAGTCACTATCAACGGAAGAGATTAGACAGAGGTTAGCTCCTTCACTTGCCTACAAAGCATCGTTTCAACCGTATGCCGATGACACGGATGGGAATGCGAAAGCCAGCCAGACAGTATCGGAAACGTAGGATAGATCTTCATCAAACTGAAACCAGTTTGTAGATCTTCTGAACTCAGCCAGCATCAATTACAAGGTCCGGATTTTCAACACCAGTGTCAAGTCGGTCACTGCTTCTGTACGAGTCAAAATCTTGCATTGTGTGTCAGTCATGAAAAGGATTATCAACAGGTTTCAGACTTTTATCAACAGCTGCCTTCGATAGAACCATACTGAAGATCAAATGGCCAGTAAGAGTTATTGACAAGAAACTCTGGGAACAAACCAACTAAGAGCCAATCGCTCAACACATATATCTGAGAAATTGGAGATGGATCAAGCATACATTGAGGAGGCCGTCGAGTGACATCGCGCGCCAGTCCCTCGAGTGGAATCCAAATAGGAAGCGACAAGTGGATCGTCAGTGCGAGAGTGACATGGAGGAGATCGTGTGAGGAGGAGACGAGGTATGATGGGCGATCGTAGAGCCAGCTAAAGAGGATAGTGGAAAAAGAAGAAAGTAGAGATGAGTTGTTGAAGCACTATGTTCTAAGGGAATGATAATATAATAATAAAAATTCGTTCAACATTAAGTTATAAAACATTTATCTGTTATACCAGAAAGGAACTAAATTCAAAACGGTAACGCAGGCAGGCTGGTAGGTAGGCGGGTAGACAAAGTAGTAGTTGTAATCACTAATCGTGTCATTGAATCAACAGAAAGTGTGTGCACCAACAATGCTACATCGGACTCCGCGATCATTTACGTCAACCACTAGCTAGCTGTCGTTGGCCAGATTTAGGTAGTTGGAACACTAAACAGTTTCTCCACTCTCACGCTTATTAACTGTGTATTCGAAGTGAAGAT